TGTGGTCACTTTACTCAAAATTATTTTACTTCTTTTTCTACTTATTAATTATTTCCAGTTCGCATACACAGACATGAGTTTCTAGAAAACAGGACATGAGTTTGAAATTCAAAATGTGCTGAGTTAGAGTCTGGAGGCTTGTACCACATGCTTGTATGGCATAGACACTGAAATTATTCTTCCTACATGCTAGCTAGGATTCTTTCTTTTTTTTCAAGCTGCTGCTTGATTCATTATTTTTAATGTCTACCCCCTTGTCTCCCAAAATCTTAGACCTACAGCCTTACCCATGATATATGGTACTGCCGCCATCCCAATCGCAGCTTTTCCTTCTCCCAGAATTTCATCATCTTGGCTCTATTGCTATTTATATCTTTTATTCGGGCTTTGAAACCTCATTGCACCACACTGAGGCATACTTTTGTGATAGCATGCTAAATGGAATCTCCTGTGGCTTATTGTACTTGTAATAGATGATAGTATCACCAGCCAGCAGTACCTGCTGAGGTTCATCCAGACCTCTGCCTTCCTGTGAAGTAGCTCACTTAGTTTTGTCGTCTACCATTCCACTATGTGTCAGGTACTCTTCCTCTGGCTTAATGGGTGTCTGTGCAATTCCCAGAAGTTTGCTTTTATGAACCATGTTACTGGTTGACTCTTGTCTCCTGTCTCGATTGTGCAAGAACTATGCAAGAGTCACAGACTTGCTAACAGGGTGACGGAGCATCAAAATCAGCAACTGTCTCGCTGTGGAAGGAACTGGAAGAGATGTGCTTCAAAGAGCTTGCAGCAATTTATTTTTTCGTTAGGGTTACATAAGAAGCCCCGAGGGCTCACATTGCTTATATTGGACCTACTAGTTTATATTTATTGTAATCATGACTAATTAATAATACTTGTTACTATTTGTCTTGTAATACCTAATTTTTGTAAACGTGACACAATTTGACATACCTGGGAAGAAGGAATCTCAATAGAGGAATTGCTTCTTTGTGTGTCATTTTTGCTGGTCATTTGTTTTCTTGATTCCTGACTGACGTGGGAGGGCCAAGTTCTCTGTTGGCAGTGCCGTCCCTGGGCAGGTGGGCCTGGACTATAGAAGAAAGGTAGTTGAGCAAGCCAAGGCCGAAAGCCAGTGAACAGTGTTCTTCCCTGGTCTCTGCTTCAGGTTCCTGGCCCAAGTTTATGCCTTGCCTTCCCTCAATGATGGACTGGAACTGATTATCTGAAATAAACCTTTTCCCCCTCAAGTTGGTTCTGGTCAGTGTTTTACCTCCGCACCAAAAAGCAAACCAGGATGTGTATTAACTGGATTTTATTAGGGATAAAATTAAATCTTCAGATCAACTTCAGCATAATTTATATCATTATTATGTTGAGTTTTCTAACTTATGAACACAGGAGTCTCTGTACATATGTGAGTGGCAGTTTTCCTTCAGTGTTTTCTGACTTGAACCAGTGTTTCTATGTACGTTTTGGTAAATATACATTTAAGCATTTTTCATCTTTAGAGCGTTAGTAAGTGGCAATGTATCTATTAATTTTTTGCCGGCTGAATGAACATATATTATATTTTACTATGATCTTGTTTTGACCACTAAAATAATTAAATATTTCTTTGTTCACTCATTGACCATTATTTCTTGTCCTCTAGAGTGTCTGCTCATGATTCTTTACTCTTCAAAGGAATGCTTTTCAGTTTTCCCGATTGTATAATGTTTCTTCTTAGCGTAATCTATCATTTTCTTCTTATTCTGTTTGTTTGTTTGAGATAGTCTCCCCATACAGCCCCAAATCTTGGTGATCCTCTTGCCTCAGACTTTCTAGTGATGTAGTTATAGGTGTCAACCACCATGCATGGCTTTAAAGAATTTTTTTAAAGTGTTTTTGTTATGTGAACAACTTTTCAAGCTTGAGTATCATTAAAGTTATCAATATTTTGACTTACAGTCAATTAATTTTATTTTATACTTTGGGCCTAGATATAATTTGTTTATGAGTGAGCTTAATCAAGAGCATATTTTCATTGGAAATCATTTTGAAAATAGAAAAGTTAAGTTTCCTCACTCTTCTGGATAAGAAGAAGGGATTTTCACTCTATCATCTTTCCTAAGCCTGGGAGGATAGTTCAGTGAGAGAGTGCTTGCCTCAGATGAGTGTGGCCCCTGGTTCAATCCCTAGCTCAGCAAAAACAGGCAGCCATGAAACCCAAGAAAGTGTAAGCCAAAAGAAAAATTCTAAAAAAATATTCTGTACATTTTCCAATTATCTAATAATATTTCTAGACGTTTTGAAAGAAACAAACCCACACCATTTGTGAGTAGGTGTTCTTCATTTAAAAACTAATAAAAAATGAGTTCTTGAAGCATAATAAGATAACGACTTCCCCAGATTATGACCAAAAGCTAAGGAATTTCTGTCCCATGGACTGTGGCAGTATCTGGTTTAGACTGTTTAAAGTTACAGTAGGGCTGAGTCCAGTGCAAAGCTGGTGTCTTTCTTCTATTAAATAAGGGGAATTTAGGGCCAAAAATGTAAGTAATCGCTCTGAATTGAGTTGTACTATTGAGCTTCCACAATGAAGACTGGAGTATTCCCTTGGCAAGCACATTTCCCAGCATCTGGTAAAAGGATCTGGGTCTTCCATGCATCTGTATGTCTGGAAAAAAGAAATCAAGCTCCTTTAAGTAAATGTGGTGTGGTAGATGCAAAGGCAAATTTGTTAAGCTGCCTGTCTCCTTTGCCAGCCACAGTAGTTCAGCTGTCTCTTTATGTTGGAAGCATTTTGTTTTTTCAGTTTTTGAAAATGTCATACACATATGACGTGTCTTGGTCATAGCCACCTCCCTCCCTCTTCAGCCTCCACCCTCCCCAGTACATCTCTCTCCCAAATTCATTTTTTTTGTCATGACCCACTGAATCCAATTAGTGCTGCCCATCTGCACATGGATGTAGTGTTACCCACTTGGAGCATGGGCAACCTACCAGGGGCCACCCACCCATTCAAGGTGACTCTACCTTCCTCAACAGTCATCAACAAACTGCCAGGAATTCCCCAGCTAGTGACAGGTATCAGAAGCCTCTCCTCACTTAATGCTGGAATTTTTTATTGGCTTGATCTTGCATAGGCAATCATAACCACTATTAGTTTATGTATATAACTGCCATGACATCTCCAGAAGAAGCATTCACAGTATATACCTCCATCATTTACATTCTGCGTTCTCTTCCATGATCTTCCCTGAGTCTTGGAGAGGGTGGTTGATATAGATGTCCATCTGTGACCATGCACTCATAGGCATTTATTTTCAGCATTTTGAACTGTTAAGTGTTTCTGGGCAGTGGTGGGCATACACCTTTAATCCCAGCACTCGGGGTGCAGAACCAAGTGGATCTCTGTGAGTACGAGGCCAGCCTGGTCTACAGAGTGAGATCCAGGACAGGCACCAAAACTACATAGAAGAAACCCTGTCTCGAAAAAGTCAAAAAAAAAAAAAAAAAAAAAAAAAGAGTTTCTGCATTAGCCATTCCCCACTGCCATAAAGAGCATCTCTGACCAACTTTGAGAGAGCACAAATCTGGGAATATAAACATGAATATTTAGAAGGCAGTTTGACACCATGACTGTTTAGCAAAACAGCAATAGGTTCTCTTCCAGGGCTGATGACTTTCCTAACCATGGGTTTTGACCATGCTCACAGTACTGCATATGAATTCCCTCCTTTGTAGCAGACCTGAAAAATTCAATCAAGATAGCCATTGCCCCCCACCCCCCAGCCCCCCACATGGTCTTGTCACTGTGGTACCAATGAGCACAATCTTGCCTATGGCTCATGTTCTTTCTGATTGTGATTTTCTGCATTTTGATTTTCAATATGCAATTATTTTTCAAATATTGTTATGTTGTCATTTTAATGTTAAGGCATAAACCAAGTAGGGATTTTCTGGATTGTCAAAAATTAAAATCAATAAGAGCATGTATCTGCATGCACGCATGGGCACACATACATAATTACTTCTATTTTATTATGAAAATCCAGCAAGGATGAGCAGTTATGGGTAGGATAACCCGTAGTATGAAACAATGCCAGATAAGACACTAAAAGTGCCATAATATTTTCAAGGATTTAGAAACCACTTTAGGAATATCCCACCATCTTGGCTCTGTGTGAATGACGATGGCTTTCACTTTTTCAACCACAGACCTGTGCTTTCTTAGATAACTATCTATGGTTGTGAAAACAGCTTTCTTCTCTTTCCCAGCATTCCTGCAGTGGGTGGGCACCATCCCTGATGGTCAGGCACTGGTAGTACCATGCCAACAACATGCTATCCTTATGGATCATTATGTGAAGTGCTCACTGAACTATTGAAAACACCAGTTACCTAGCCCATCTACATGGGTAAAATCTTACTGTCACAATGAAGCAATATGAAAATCTACAACAATAGCAACAAAAACACAAAATAGACTTGGGAGGTCCTTGAACCCTTCCTCCATTTTCTTTTTTCCAAAGGAGCATCTTACTTTAGCAAAGGTCTCCGTGCCATTTTTAGATTAAACACCTAGCCTAGGTTTATCTAGTATAGGCTCTTCAGGGCCTTTGCGCTTCCTGGCCATTCGCCCAACCCAGGAGGATGGCCCTACCTGACACTGGTGAGACCTTTCCTGGAAGAATCTACAGGCTGAAGCCCAAGGCTGGAAGATTTTGTACAGACACCACTTTCTAAAGCACACAGCAGGGTGAGTTGCCAGGTTGGCCTGAACCTGACAGCACTTTGCTAATGCTTTCCAGAACCCTCCATTCTGCTGCCAACCATTACTACAAATTTTTCCTTGGAAGAATGCATTTAAGGGAAGAGTTACAAAAAAGATGGCAGCGTTGATGGGAACTTTATTGTGTTCTTAGCACTAAGTTATCTGAGTGACACTGAAATTGACTCCCACTTCTAAAAGTTCCGACAGTAACACATGTGCTTTTGTGGTTTGCACTTTGCAGAAATAAAATTCTTCTGTGAGACTCCAGCCATTGCTGACATTGTCATCCTGGTGGATGGGTCATGGAGCATTGGGAGATTCAACTTCAGGCTGGTGCGGAATTTCTTGGAAAACCTGGTCACAGCATTCAACGTGGGCTCAGAGAAGACACGAATTGGTATACCTTATGGACCAGAGAAGCTAGTTGATATTGCAAAATTTCTGGGAAGATTCTTAAGAAATTCAGAAACCCTTTACGAAGCTACTTTCAAAGTTATTGAAGGATCAACTACGCTGTTGTTCCTGAACACACATATTCAGATCAATAAATATTTATTCCTAAAAATTTTACATTGTCCCTACAAATTTTCCAATTCATGCTGCCATTCACTTGACTATTGAAAACATTAATTCTCTGTGTTTATCCCTCTTTTTACTATTAATTATAATGAAGCTTTAGAACAGAGCTTGCATAAGAATTCTTCACACAGCCATCTGTGTTTAAAAGAAGCAGCCAAGTCCAGGGAAATGTTGCATTGAAAAGCTGGAAATAATATCTTGGCATTATAATCTTTGTCAAGGTAATTCTAGTTAAGATAAAAAGAAAAAAAACTCTTGTAAGTCTTTGTGTCATATTCTAAGCAATAAAATAATATACTTTCTATAAAAAGTCATAACTTTTAAGTAATTATTAAAGAATATCATTCCTTTGAGAATGAAAGGACACAAATCTGAAACTTTCATCTACACATGACCGGCCTTTTTGCATTTAAGTGCCAAATACCTTGTTATTCGATAACTTCTAAATAACTAGAAAATATGTGAACTCCCTCCACTCCTAGATACATCCATCTAGACTCCTTTAGCTGATGCCAGGATTTCTCTTTGAAAGCACATTGCCAGGCAAAGAAAAGGACGGTAGACAGATTATGCCTTGAGTCATCACGCTTTTGAGAGTGGTCATGTGATCTTGAGCAGCATGTAACTTCCAGTTTTCTCTTCCTTCTCTCCAGGATTGGCACAGTACAGTGGGGACCCCAGAATAGAGTGGCACTTGAATGCCTTTAACACCAAAGATGAAGTGATTGATGCTGTCCGAAGCCTTCCCTACAAAGGAGGGAACACTCTAACAGGTATGTTTTCTTCAATGCTCATTCTTAGCTAAATATTTTGCTGAAGAGCAATTATATTACTTTATTTTGCTCTTTTTTAAGAGGTGGCATAGTGTTTTTTTTTAACCATGTAACATCAAAAGCTCTTAGATGGCCTTTTTTTTTAATCAAACAGATTATTAAGACTTAATCTAATCCAATCCAAGATATACTGATTTTATACTTAGATTCTGAGGAGTGATGACGGAAAAATATTAAAAATGTTGGTTTTCCACAAACAACTACATTTTCTTTCTTTTTTTTAAGATTTATTTATTTATTTATTTATTATGTATACAGTGTTCTTCCTGCACGCCAGAAGAGGGCACCAGATCTCATTACAGATAGTTGTGAGCCACCATGTGGTTGCTGGGAATTGAACTCAGGACCTCTGGAAGAACAGCCAGTGCTCCTAACCTCTGAGCCATCTCTCTAGCCCCACAACTACATTTTCTATACAAGTAGGAAACTTGCTATGGTCAGTAAAACACTGCAATTCATAGCACACAATAGCCTTGAATCTGGACCCAGGTGTTGGCAGTGTTCATTGGCATGGTAGGGCATGATGGTACACACAGTGCTGTGTGCATATTACACATCCAGAAGTAAGGCTGCAGCGATACATTGTGTGATGCGATATGGATGAGTGCACCCAGAAACACCTCAGATTCATTACATATCATTTATTTATCCATCTATCTATATATCTAGTTATTTGTATTTTCTTGAGACAGTGTCTCACTATGTGGTCCTGGCTGGCCAGGAACTCTTTGTGTAGACCAGGCTGACCTCAGACTCATAGAGGTCATCCTGCCTCTGCCTCCCCAGTGCTGGGATTTAAGACGTGTGCCCTCTTGCCTGACTCATTGCATATTTGATTTTGAGTTAATTTGTGGTCCAGTGTATTCGGAAATCTTAACTGTTGGTGGACTTTTTTTTTTTTTTTTGGCCAGCCTCATGATCCCAGATATCTAGGGGTTCATGTGACCCACAGTTTAGGAAGCTAGGCTCTAGAAGAAAATGAAGCCATCATGGAAGCCATAACTGTCAGCAGCTGCCTGGTGTTTGCCATCTTGGTAGCCTCTCCTTTCTCTTTCTGGAGACAGGGTTGGAACTCAACAATCCCTTGCCTCTGCCTCCTGAGTGGTGGGATTCTGAGTGTGCATCCTCACACTCAATGTTACCTTATTTTTAATTAATGATTTTTCTTTATCCTTATTTAAAACTTCAATTACTAATTATCATGAAAATATTTGAAGACTTTTAACCCACTAGTATTTTTAATAAGTGATTAATATAGCAATATTTATATTAAAATTATGTGTGGCCTGAGCATAAGTGGTTTGTGTAGATGTGATTTATTTCGGATTATTTTAGTTTTTTAGTGCACTAATGAGTTTAATGGATAAAGTAGATGACATACAACAACAAAGGAACAGTACAAGGAGAAAGATGGAATTCAATTAAAAGATCCAAAAGAAATACTAGCTGTAGGAGGGGGAAAAAAACCAAATAAACATCCACTATAAAACAAATGAAGAACATATTTGATGGGTTTAGTAGACTGGCCATGACTCACGAAGAATCTCTAAGCTTGACGAGCTCTGTAACAGAAAAGAGGAAAAAAAAAACCCAAACTAGAAATCCAAGGACTATAGAACAGCTGCATAGACACACGGATAACAGGAATTCCAGAAGAGAAGGGAGAAGGATGAAGACATAATACTTGAGATAATAATAATATTCCCCAAATTAATGTCAAGCACCAAATTCTAAATTCAAGTTCCCCTTTCTTTCTTTCTTTCTTTCTTTCTTTCTTTCTTTCTTTCTTTCTTTCTTTCTTTCTTTCTTTCTTTCTCTCCCCCCCCCCCCCCCCCCCCCCCGCTTCCTTCTTCCCTCCCTCTCTCCCTCCCTTCCTTCCTTCCTTTCTTTTTTTTTTGATTCTGGGATTGAACCCAGGACTTTGTACAGTTTAGACATGGGTTCTACCATGGAGCCACATCTCCAGCACCATTTGAACAGATTTTAACCTTAGAAAAGCTGTTGCCTTCCACTAGCATATAGTTTGGATGCTCAGCTTTAGCCATGAAGATCTTAGTATGGACTTTTAGGCAAACTGTTGGCAATTTGATAATTAATCTCCTTGCCAATTGGAAGCATACCCTAGTGGAATTGTTAATACCTGTGTAGAATTATTAAACACAGATACAATATTGCATGTTTTCTTACTCCTTTCCAGGTGAAAATTGACCCAGAAAGTAGTGGCATGAGTTTAGACCTCAGTTGGGCATGTAGATTCATGGTTAATTCAGTGAAGCATGTGTGAGGCTCTAGAGTCAGTCTTGGTCCCCAAATAAAGGAAATGAATAAATAAGATCTATGACAAAGAAAAAGGGAGCAGTTTTATCATCTAACCTAATTCTTGATACTTAACAAGACTGCAGTAAATGTTTGTTGAGTGATTTGGTGGCCTAAACGATTTCTTGCAATAAAGAAGGTTGTTGTTTTATATATTAATTTTAAAAGAAGAAAAAGAAAAATGAAGAAAATATTTATTAAATAGCTTTGTGAGAGACAAAAATGCTTGTTAAAGATTGATCCACAGAAGTGTGTTTATTGTTAAGATGGATGAAATGTGTTATTCTGCAGTAATTAGACTGTTATTGCTATGTTTTCCATTCTCTGAAGAAAAGAAGTCTAAGGAAGAATCCAGACTGTGTTATCATCTATGTTGTATACTCCAATGCAATAGCAGGCTCTCTTTTTTATTACCTTTATTCTAGTGGATTTGGGTTTTTCATTAGCTCCTATCGAATTATTGTGGAAATGAAGGCTCACATCTAATAAAAACCCTTTTAGCTCTACTCATCACGGGGATACGATTTCCAAACCAGAATACTCTAATTAGAAATGTTTGGTTTGTGTTTATTTCTCCTAGGTCTTGCTCTGAACTTCATTTTTGAGAATAGCTTTAAACCAGAAGCAGGATCAAGGAGTGGGGTTTCCAAGATCGGCATTTTAATCACAGATGGAAAATCCCAAGATGATATTATCCCACCCTCTAGAAACCTCCGTGAATCTGGTGTAGAGCTGTTTGCGATAGGTATGCTTTCCTTTTAAAATCTCATTTAATTATGTATGTGTTTACTGCTTGTTTATTTAGCATGTATCAGTGGAAGTGTGTGTGTGTGTGTGTGTGTGTGTGTGTGTGTGTGTGTGTGTGTGTGTTCAGAGGATAACTTGTGATGATTGGTTCTCTGCTTCCACCGTGTGAGTCCCAAGAATGGAATTCATTGGGCTTGGCAGGAAGTGCCTTTCCCCTCCAAGCCATCTAACCAATTGTTTGTTTTTAAGACAGGTTTGGCTAGTAGCTGACATTGCTCTTGAACTTGTGATCCTCTTTCTGTTTGAGTGTTGGGATTACAGGTGCCAACACACCCAACTGCAGGATGTTGCTATGTGTCTCGAATGGTCCAGCTTCCGTTGTGGATATAGGTATATACCATTAGTGCAACATGCACTACTTCAAAAGCCAGAGGCTAGAGCACTTTCTGTATCAGGCTTTCTATCTGAGTCCAGCTTCCTTGCATTTAAAAGAAGAGTGATTCTGTCACGCACACCACAGTGTTTGGAACTTTTAAGACAAACACTGAGCACCAAACTTTTGAAAAGGCATATAGTGATGTGCTAAAGTTAGGTTCACATTTGTTTCCATTTAGTCAGTGAGGATTTGCTCTTCAGGGTCAGTTTATAGCTCTCTGCTAGTTGTACCAGAAGAAATCACTTCCCACATACTCAAGGACTTAAGAGGCCTGTAGTTATTAAAGACATGTGGTGTTGCCGACTTGCATCAAGCACTCTCAAAGCTATCATTTTATGAAAGAGGATATATACAACAGATCCAGAATAATTACAAAATATTTATATGATAAGCTTTGCCTTCAATCAAAATGTTTACAATTTCTCTGGCAAGAGGAAGGTCTTCTGTTTAACAGAGACCAATAAACTCTGGCAGAAAACAAAACAAAACAACAGCCTGATTCCCAAGGACACCGAAACATTAATCAAAATGGTGTAGCAAATCCCTCATCAGGGCTCTGAAGACACTTACAGTCTCTTGATATGAATGACCCACTTAGTTATATTTTACACAGTTAATTATTCTGCTGTCAATCTTTAGTCTCATTAGGATGTTCTTATCAAGAACCTGCTTCAGTCTTTTCATGGACTTTCTGTATTCTTCATCAGCAGAGAATACTTTCAGGTTCTACAGAGGTCAGAAAAGAACAGTGGATACAGTACTGAAATGGACTCCAGGCTTCTGTTCCAATCCTGCTTTCTTAGTTAGGGTTTCTATTGCTATGAAGAGACACTGTGACCATGGCAACTCTTATGATGTTTAATTGGAGCTGGCTTATGGTTCAGCGGTTTAGTCCATTATCAGCATGGCGGGAAGCATGGCAGCATGCAGACAGACATGGTGCTGGAGAGGTTACTGAGAGTTCTACATCTGGATCCTTAGGCAGCAGGAATGTAGAGTGAGCCACTGGGCCTAGGTTGAACTTCTGAAATCTCAAAGCCCACTTCCAGTGATACACTTCCTCCCACAATGCCACACCTACTCCAACAAGGCCATACCTCCTAATAATGCCACTCCCTATTGGCATATGGCTTCCACTTTATTCAAACTACCACACTACTAAATTGAAATAGCTAAGGAGAAGGTGTCTGGAAAGCTATACTTTAAAAATATACCCAGATCAGGCTACATATAGTGGTGTATGCCTTTAATTACAGCCCATGGGAGGTAAAGGTAGGCAGATCTCTTTAAGTTCCATGCCAGCCTGGTCCACACAGAGAGTTCTATACCAGCCAGGGCTATCTGTGAGACTCAGTACTTTGAAAATGCTATTCAGGATTGAGAACTACTGAAAGACCCATTAGAGTACCCTCTCCATGATGGCTGATCCATTTTTCTCCTCAGAGAAAGATCTTAAAAGATTCCTGTTTACACATTTTATTTTATTCTTTTTTTTTTTTTAATAGTAGAGCAGGTTGCTGCTTGGTCAATATTTTTTAGGACTTTTTTTTTAAAGAAAGTAAAACATTTAATTGGGGCTTGCTTACAGGTTCAGAGGTTTAGTCCATTGTCATGATGGTGGGAAGAATGGCAGCATGCAGGTAGACATGGTGCAGGAGAAGGAACTGAGAGTTCTACATCTGGATCAGCAGGCAGCAAGAAGAGAGCTTTTTTGTTTGTTTTGTTTTTATGAGACAGGGTTTCTCTGTGTAGTTCTGGAACTCACTCTGTAGACCAGGCTGGCCTTGAACTCAGAGATCCACCTGCCTCTGAGTACTGAGACTAAAGGTGTGCACCACCATTGCTGGCATAGGACTTAGTTCCTACAGTGTTTGACATGTCTGACAATAGTTGCAGAAACCATTGACACTGTATTCTTCCCTTCTTTTCCAACTCGCTGCTCCCTCTCTAAACAGTGAGTCACTGGAGGGTAAGATGGTACCTTCATCTCTCCTTCCCATACCCCACCCAGTGTCGACACTTGCCAAGTGCTCTGTAAAGGACCGGGTGGTCTAAAATATTTCAAAGATAGCATTCTTACTCTTTGCATTGAAAATCAAGATGCTCATAAATGGTGCATCTAAGAGAAGTATATTATTTTTGTTCAAGTAAGCAGGGGATATTGTTTTGAACTATACAACTGTTACCGCTGCATTTTCCCATTCATAGAAGAGGGAATAAAAGAGGTCCAAGGGAAAAAATTAAGAATGGATCATATTCAAACTTTGCTTTAGTTATTTTTATATCCCTGTTATTTTGCTTGCATGTGGTTGTGGAAGACAAGGTGAGTATTGTATCCTAGCGGTATGGAGGAGCCATCTCATACCAGTTTTCAAGAGCCAGCTGTCCAGCTGTGCACACTGCAGCCCTCATCTGCAACTTTTGACCTGGCATAGGTGCTTGACATAAGGCTTAGGTATCTATATTATAGAAAATGGTAGATACCGGAAATGAGGGCAGACAGATGACTGTTGAGTATTTAGCAGCATACTCCTGGAACACAGAAGGGCAATAAACCATGCTATCATTTTCGTCTTGGGAACTGATTCAGTTGCTTTTACTAGGCATTAACATTTATTACTCTGAAGTTGAACAGTGCATCTTTCAGAGCTGCCAGTGAGAGAAAAAAAATGCCTATACTCCATTCTTAGACTTGCTGTTCAGATTGTGGGTTATAGAATGCTTTATTCAAGACTCACTCACTTCACTGTGTGCCAGGCATTGTGGTGAACTCTGGGACGCAAAGATGAGTGGCGCAAAACTCCTGACTGCATAAATTCCTTCCAAGTCATCGCCACCATTTCCTTTATTTTCCATGCAGTTGCAACAGTCCAACTATTTTATTCATGAAGACAGGGAAGCAAAAATATGGGAAGGGAGAGAGACAAAATCTTTTCTGTCAAGTGTAGACTTGCAGGACATGAGAAAACATTCTCTCCATTAAGTTTTAGCACACACTCAACGTTATATTGACTTGGTTGTGTATTCTAGAAGTCCTTTGGCAAGAAACTTCAGATAGCATTTCTGTAAGTCCGTCATCCAGTAAAGAAAGCCTCTGCAGAAGAGCAGAGCAAATGGAGGATTATTTTGTGTATTTATCCTGAATTTTATGCTTTTGTTACTAATCCTTAGAAGAGTGTTTAAACACAACTTAGTGAATTCATCTAGATGTTATTTGAACTTCTCTGGAAACTTCCTGGAAATGAGCAATATTCTTGCTCGACTACTAAAGCTTTCTTACTTAGCATGCTGAGTGTGAAAGAAGTGTTCTTGGCCCAGCCAGGCATATAAGAAGTCACCTGTGCTGCTCCAGGTATCTCTAACGGGCATCTAAAGTGCCCCTCTGTAATACCCTCAGATGGTTGACACTGCAGGAATTTCTAAAGAAATCCTCCTTGTTTGCTGACGCTTGGAGAAATCTCCCCTCACTCCCATGAAACCTAGTCATGTGCCTCTCCTTTTCCATCTCCAAGTTCCTTTGCTCTTTGTGATGTACCATTGGAGAGGCAGTGCGGTGTCATGGAACCACCCCACGCTTTCCAGTCGCGTGTCCTTCAGACAAGTTCGTGAACTGTGCATGTGTAGAGCAGCACAAACAACAGTGGTTGTTGTGGGGATTGAGTGTATCGATGAAATGGACAACGTGGTGCTAGGGGCAGAGTAAACATACTGCAAGTGTCTCCAGCCACTGCCTTTTGTCCTATGATTTTGCACTGTCTTCCAGACACTCAGCATTCTGCTTTACCTGTGGTGATGGAATTCAATAGAGACAGTAGAAGGAACAGAACTTCCTTATGTGATCCATCAAAATTTGTAGAGATCACTGGGCAGTAAATTGTGTTTGAGTCCATTAAAAAATATCTTCACCCGTATTTCCCTGTAGTTTAGTACTGTATAAAATAATTATGTATATAAAGTTTTCATTCTAGCAGTATTTCTCAGTTTTATTTTTTTGAGGTGCACCATCTCACATTATAGATCAGGCTCGCCTGGAACTCACGATGTAGCCCAAGCTAGCCTTGAACTCATGACAGTCCTCCTGCCTCCAGAGTGCTGAGATTATAAGCATGCTTCTGAATGTAAATAAACTTATTTTGCAGAAGTTTAAACCTGAAGATGGATAGTTTTGGTACTAGTTTAGTTATTCTTGATTCTGCAATACTTGTGTGAGATAGAAGTTATGGTGCTAGAGAGATGGCTCAGTGGTTAAGAACACTGGCTGCTCTTCTAAAGGTCCTGAGTTCAATTCCCAGTAACCACATGGTGGCTCACAGCCATCTGTAATGGGATCTAATGTCCTCTTCTGGCTTGCAGGCGTACACGCAGGCAGAACACTGTAGACATGATAAATAAATAAACCTTTAAAAAAAAAGATAGAAGTTATATCCAGTTATCTTCCTGTTGGGGTGTATTGAGCAAAATCACTACCTAATTACTTAGGAAACAACTCACATGAAACATTCCCTTTTTCATTTCCTTTGGTTTTTAAGTAGAGCCTCACTATGTAGTACTACTTTTTGGTCTAGGATTCGCTCTGTAGACCAAGCTGGTCATGGATTCACAGAAATCTGCCTGCCTTCGCCTCCCAAGTGCTGGGAGTCAAGGTGTGTGCCATCACACTCCACCATATGCTTTCTTCTGGAATTAAAACTAAACACTCAAATGAATAAATACCGTGCATTCAGTATATCCCCTCAACCCTCCCACCCTGCCTTTTCTTTCACCTTCTCCTTTTGAGAGTCCCCCTCCTTCCCCTAAAAAGTTTGTTTTGTATTTTCATGTCATATTTATGAACAAGATTTTATATATGTACCTAAAATCTAGGACAATAAATGAGAAAAATGCAGTATTTGCCTTTCAGAGACTTGCTTAATTAATATGATTATCTCCATTTACATCCACTTTCCTGTAAATGACATACTTCCTCCCTGTGGCTGAAAAATATTGTCATGTATATATACCACATTTTCTTCAATGTTATTGGACCCATAATTCGATCCAACCATCCAAGTAGAGGACACTTTGGTTGTGGTAAAGACCGATTGGGTGAACTCCACTACAGTTGCTCTTTCTAATGGGACATCGAGATCATCCTCCTCCCTCTCATTCTCAATGGCAGGGGTTAAAAATGCTGACCTGAATGAGCTGCAGGAGATCGCCTCTGAGCCGGACAGCACTCACGTATACAATGTTGCTGAATTCGACCTGATGCACACGGTAGTGGAGAGCCTGACCAGGACTGTGTGCTCCAGAGTAGAAGAGCAAGACAAGGAGATTAAAGGTAAGGAAGACAGAGAGGTCCTATGGACGTGGGCAGCACAATGTGCACAGGTTTGCATCGTCTTCACAGGTCTCTAAGCACACACACATATCTAGCACTGTGCATACAGCCCTATCACTGTGGACACTGGACCGCACATGAGAGAAAGCACATCCACAGGTTTACCATGCTCACAGGTCTGTGACCGTGCACATAGGTCGGTCACCATGCACATACGTCGATCATGGTGGGCACATGGACTACAAAAACTCCTATTTTGTTTTTCAAATTGACTTTCTTAATACTCCATTTCTTTCTGGTGCCTGAGTCATCAGTCAAAAGGAGACATACTCATTGGCAGTCTTGTGAGGGTAAGGGACACCTGCTTCGACCATTAGGGACGTTTCTCTGATGGGTTAACATTTAAAACATTCTGTTCTTTAAATAAAATGCTTGATTTCGAGATAATTATATGATCACATAAGTTGTAAGGAACAGCACATAAAGAGCTAGCATCTTCTTTTCCAGCTTTCTCCTAATGGCAGCACCTTGTAGCACCACCATAGCTTCAGTGTGCAATGAGTAGCAATAGATTCAGTATGGAAAACATTTCCATTACAGGAATACTCCTGCCGCTGTTCCCAAACAGTCTCACATCCTTTTAGCACCCTCTTGCTAAATCTTGACAGTCAATAGAGTGGTCTCCATTTCTATTCTTTTTTTTTTTTTCATTTCAAGACTATGATACAAATTAAATTATTGAATATTCAGCCTTTGGGGATTGGATTTTTTTTTCATGCAGAATAATTCCCTGGAGATTTAGCCACAGTATATGTGTATCAATAGCTCTTTGTTTTCATTGTAGGGCTATCTTCTGTAGCATGGATAGGCCACCATTTGTTTAAGCATCTGCACATTCTGGATGCTTTCCAGTTTGAGGCTACTATGATAAAGCTGCTGTGAATATTTGTTTATTGATTTTTGTGTAAATATATATTTTAATTTCTCTGGAATAATGCCCAGGAATGCAGTGACTGAACAGTATCTTGAGTGCATGTTTAGTTCAGTTTGGTTCTCATTAAGAAACTGCCAGACTATTTGTAGAGTCTACAATTTATTTTCCAGTGGCAACATGTAAGCGATCCAGTTGCTATGCATTGACACTGATATTCATGTTCTTTTTGGTTTTCTTTTAATTTATGCCATCCTGGAAGGTTTATAGTCATACAACATTGTGGATTTTGATTTTGATTTTCATTTCTCTTATGGATGGTAATATTTGCTTGTCTTCTCTTCGGTTTGTCCTCTGAGGTGAAACACCTCTAAAGACACATCCATTACAAAGACATGAGGCATTTCCTAGTTGAACGTTGTGTACCACCATCAATTCGGTATAATTCTGTAGTTTCATTTCAGGCTCTTTGTCTGTTCCTTTAGGTCATCTTGACAAACTTTCTTCCAATAACAATTTTTAATTTACTGTAGCTATATAATGTCTTTAAATTGTGTAGAACTTGAGTTCTTCCATTTCATTATTATTTATTTATTTATAGATTTCCGTGACTTCTATGTAGACATTAGGTTACAGCCTTTGGGAGTTGATTCTCTCCTCTCCTCCCACTTTATAGAGACAGTGTCTCTCTTGTTTCTGCTGCTGTGCTATTTGAGGCTGGCTGGGCAAGACATTCCAGCCTAGTCTGCTCTCTCTCTCTCCCATGTCCCTGCAGGAATGGTGGGGTTGCAGATGCAGACCACCACACCCTTGGGTTCTGGGGAACCTAACCTAGGATGTGACTTGGGAAGCTTGTGCTTTTACCCATTGGGTCATCTTCTCAGCCCTTGATTACTCTTTTTACGTTCTTAAAAACTCTTTCCAATTCTTTTATTTATTTATTTATTTATTTATTTATTTATTTATTTATTTATTTATATTCATTTTACATACCAACCACAGATCCCCCTTTCATCCCTTCTCCTGCTCCTCCCGGGCCTTCCCCTCTGACCCACCCTCCCATCCCATTTCTTTATTAATCTACTAAATACTAGGATATCTTTATTCCATAAAAACTGTACTTGGATTTTTGATTAGAAATGCATCATATAAATTATCAGTTACCAAATATCCACTTGGGTGAAAGAATCATTTTTTTTTTGGTATCTGGTCCATGAATATAGTACACCTGTCCGTATAGTTAGATATGATTTTATTTCTTTCATTAGCATTTTATAGTTTTCAGGACTTATGAGTCCTATCCGCTTGTTTACTATAAAGACTTTGTTAGAATTGTACAAATTATTTAACTTTATATGAATGATTTTAATTGCATTTTTAATTTCAGTGTCCACATGTTTATTTCTTGCAAACAGAAATAAATTTGATTTTTGCTTATTTATCATGTATACCATATATATGATTTGAAATTACTAATTAGGTTAGAGGTTTTCTTCTGGATTTAAAATACTTTTTTTATATAGAAAAATCATATAATTTACAAATGCAAATCATTTGTTTTTTCTTTTTTTATTTCTGCAACTTTTATTTCATATTCTTACCTTACTGCATTTGCTATAATTTTCCACACAAAGTTGCATGTAACTATTGCATAGGGATATTGTTGCCTAATCCCCTGCTGTAGAAAGAACATTTTGGTTTTCAAGTAACTGGCCCATTTTATAAATGTTGGAGAATTGTGTAGAGTTCTTCACACTCTACCATTATATATACTCTTTTGATATCTGTAGGGTCTATAGTAATAGCTTCAAATTTCTCTCTGATTGGTGAGTGACATGTACAAAATTCTCTTACCTTCAGCCATTTTTTTCTTTACTACAACTGTGTGTCATAAACTGTGTTATTCCCTATTTCTCTGTATATGGTAGAATTATACTAGAAATTTTATAACTCCTGCTTCAATCATCAAACAGAGTATCCCAGGACAATGTCTCCAATAGCTCGGGGTACTTTTTGTACTTGCTGTGTTTCTGAGGATGACCTTGAACTTTTAACCCTTCTGCTTCCACTTTGCAGTACTGGGATTACAGGTGTGTGCCAGTTTGCCCAGTTTATGGGGTTCTGGAGATTAGTTAGACCCAGGACTTCATGCATGATAGACAAGTACTCTGTCAACTGGGCTGCATCCCCAGCTCATCTGTCTCCCTCCCTTCCTCCCTTCTTCCTTCCCTCCCTCCCTCCCTCCCTGCCTCCCTTCCTCCTTCCCTCCCTTCCTCTCTCCCTTCTTTTATTTTACATCCTGTCTGCAGTTTCCCCACCCTCCTCTCCTTCCAGTCCCTCCCCCAACCTCCCCTCTGCTCCCTGATCCACTCCTTCATTTCTATTCCGAAAAGGGCAAGCCTCTGCAGCTCACATTAAACGTAATTTGGAAAACTTAAGAGAATACATTTTATTATGTTTTCTTTATTTTGTGTTTTCTGATCCTTCTTTTTAAATAATTTTATTTCTAGTGAGAGAGCAATGTCCCTTTAGCCCCTTTAGAAAGATAGTCTGTTGGTGACAAAGTTTCTTCTTTTTTTTTTTTCTGAGAGTATCTTGGTTTTCCCTACATTGCTGACACATGTCTTTGCTGGATGTTGAGATCTTGTTAAACAATTTCATTTCTGAACATTTAGAGTATGTCTCTTCCTCTTGGTTTCCAGGGTTTTAGAAATAGTTTTCCTTCTCCAGGTAAGGGGTATTTCTTTATTTTAAAGATTTTTTCCCCCTCATATTTAATGTTCAGAAATTTGAGTGTGGTTGGCTTAGTGTGAATTCTTGTGTCTCTATCTTGTACAGAGTAAATTTTGTTTCTTCATATACTGCTTGAGTCCTAACTTCTTTTTCATCCTCCTTTAAGATTCTGATGTTATGAATTAAAGATTTTTTTTGTATTCCCACGTGTGGTTGAGTCTCTGTTATTATCACTTGTAGCTCTTTAAAAAAATGTTCTGAGACAGGTTATGTACCACAGACTGGCTTTGAACTAACTGTAGCTCACTTTGGCTTTGAACCCATCCTGTAACCAGGATCTAAGGACCTTGAATTCCTAATCTGCTGTATCCACCTCCTGATGTGCTGGGAGTGGTGGACCTCCACACCCAGTTCTACTGAGTTTTGAGTCTGATTGTTCTTTCTCGTTTTGACCATGCCGTTTCTGTTCCAGCAAATAAGCTTGTTGATTCTTCCCTCTGTCCACACTGATGCTGTTGAGCCCATTCATTAATTTTACTAATGACTTTTTATTTTCTGGGAGTTTTATGTTGTTTTTGGTTTCAATCGTGTTTTTCATTGTCCATTTGCACGAAAGCATTCCATGGTGGCTGCACTTTCTCTGATAGTACCCTGCCAAGAGTGGAGAGTGATACTGCATTTTTGCTAGTTGGATTAGAAGTCTGGATTACTTATTTTACCTACTTTAGTTTCTTAGGAGAAAAGGGCTACTTACTGGCCTGCTGTTAATCTACACCTTATTAGAGAAGCAGAAATCTCTCATTTTTGTTCTGAGGTGACCTCTACTGACAGTAGAGTGGGAGTGGCCTCCATATTGTAGGAAAGTTGTGAAAGACCTGACATACTACTATATCTCCCCATTTGAAGGGGGCTTATATCATGATTAACAGCCTGGGCGGAGCTTAAGCAGGCCCTTTCTGTGATCAATACTGCTGTCACAGATAGGGAGGATGGGATAGGAAGGCTTTCCTTACTCTCCATCCCACCCCGGCTTGGATGGAGGGATGGGGATGGATGTTGTGATACACTATGAAAACCAAATCAGAGTAGAATTTGGGGACCCATTCAGCCTTTGGATGCCATGGTAACAGTGTCAAAGAAGTAGAGTGCAGCTCTTTTCCTTAGTGCATGCCTGGAGTTACTGTCTGAAAGCTGTCCGTCTTTGTGTGCTAGCTTTTTCCTGGTCCTTTGGTAAGAGAGAACAGTCTTTGTTGGAATGGCTTTTGTCTGAATACATTGATGTTTCTATGTTGCCTGATGCTTTTACCTTTCTGTTAGGGACATTTGAGTGCTAAAGAGGAAGGAAAATCACTTCTGTGATGTTCCTTGGGTCCTGCAGTGCCTCTGGCCTCTACTTTTTTTTTTCTCTGACTTCAGTGTCTTTTTATGCTCGTCTTGTACATGATGTCCAGAATTTTTAGTTATACTTCAGTGAGGGTAGAGGAAAGTACACATACTCTGTCTTCTTGGGGATAAATTCATCATCGTTGTTCACTCCTTGCCCCTCACTGGTCAGCAGGTAACACCTGGTTCATAAGATCTAGGAAGAGGGGCAGGATCAAGGTCTTTATTTTGATAAAATAAGGAGTTTGTTTTTTATTTCTTGCCGTTGTTGTATCAAGGAGAGTTTCATTGTTATGTTTGGTTCATCATCATCTCTCTATTATTCTGCTTTCCATGGACCAGAGTTCTTGGGGAGGAGTTGGGTACCCAAGCTGTAGGATTGTAAACAAAGTTTTCTGACCTTCAGAGGGAGGCTATTTTACATCTGAGCTTTTCCCACATATCCCAGGCTATACAGACAGATCACACACACACACACACACACACACACACATACACACACACACACACACACACACACACACACAGATATACACACACACAGACACAGATACACACACAGACATATACACAGACAGATACACAGACACACACACAGACAGACAGATACACAGACACACAGTCAGACAGACACACACACAGATACACAGACACACACACAGACATACACACACACACACAGGCAGACAGATACACACACACACAGATACACACGCACACAGACACAGACACACAGACAGACAGGCAGATATACAGACACACACACAGACACACACACAGATACACATACAGACACACACACACACACACAGACATACACACAGAATCCTGTATATGTACTTGATAAGAAAGCATGTAATACTTAATTGTTCAAAACAATGCAAAATAGTTTTCCCATTGCCGTGGTTATTAAAATCCTTTTGAGTTCCCTAGAACTCTGAGTAATCTTAGCAATCAATTTCTTTATTCTCATTTACAAGTTGTGTTCCCTCTCTACTGAGATTTTACATGCCCCAAAAGCTTTATAAAACCATTTTCTCTATTTAACATGAACAAGTCACACACACATGTGACACAGAGTGGGTGTTCAGTATGTGTCAGTTTTTTTCTCTATTTTTATGTTTAGATATCGACCACTTGTTGACTGGACATCTTCAGTATAAATTATGTCCTTGTATCTGTGAGAAGCCAGATACAGTCTCAACTCTGAGAGCTACTTCTTGTTAATGTTGGTCTGTTTATTACCTGTATTGTGTCTTGATTTTCTCATCTACAAAACATGGGCAGTAATAGTAACGGTTGAGAATTAAATGACGCCTCCAAAATACTCAGAAGAGTGTCTTCTGATATGTGCACGTTCACTTAAATGCTTGTTTTCATTGTTTATTAACAGTTCTTGTCAAAGTCTCTGAGAATTAAAAACGGTTTTATTTCAGTTTGTATCCTAAGAATATGCCTTAGAACAGTTTCTAATGGACACTAAAATGTTTGAATGAATGAATACAAGACTTAATATGTCCACAGTGGCTCTGAGGGGCACCATAGCATGGGTAGTCACTCCTAACTATGGCATTTCTTAGGCTCATAGGAATGACTTGGGAAATCAGATTTACCTGGTGTATTTCTTTTATTTAGCCTCAGCCCTTGCTACTATTGGGCCACCTACCGAGCTGATTACTTCCGAAGTCACTGCCAGGAGCTTTATGGTTAACTGGACTCACACCTCAGGAAAAGTGCAAAAATACCGGGTTGTGTATTACCCGACCCGAGGTGGAAAACCAGAGGAGGTACTGTGGCAGTCTTTCCAAACTTCTCAATCCCTGATGTCTCTATAGTGGGCATGAAATACAAATGTATGTGCAGGACATTATCTGCTTAAATATTGTGAGTGATTTGAAATTCATCTCTACATGTCGGTAATATTCTCCATCTCTCCAAGTTGTGGAACCCACACCTTCTCTCATCCCATTATACAGTCATCCTCAGAATGGATCAAGTATTCACTTATAGCCTAGTTTACTTTTCTTCTCCAAATTAGCAAGTTCTAAATTGACTAAGATTTAAATCTACCCTTTTATATCTGGGAGTGATCAGGTGTTTCTGCGATAGTGAAGACCGTGCATTTCAAACTATGTGGTCATATGATGAGCTAGTCTTCTGGGATTTGGAATTTCCTGAGCGTTTGTAGACATTAGGACAATGGGAAGCCATCATGAAGCAGCTGTGGCCAGTGTTTTCCATCATGGCTAGTTGTAGGAGAAATAGGAGAAAACTATTGCCAATGGCTGTGCTCTTTCCCTTCCCTGCCTGGATGTAGTGATTCCCTCCCCTGCCTGAATGAAGTGATTCCCTCCCCTGCCTGGATGAAGTGATTCCCTTCCCTGCCTGGATGTAGTGATTCCCTCCCCTGCCTGGATGAAGTGATTCCCTCCCCTACCTGGATGCAGTGATTCCCTTCCTTCCCTGGATGCAGTGATTTCCTTCCCTGCCTGGATGCAGTGATTCCATTCCCAAGTTAAGACATGATGAAATCTCTGCTTCCTTTTGTTGTTCTAACCTCTGATTGACCTCAGAATGTTTCACAATATTCTTCTGTACCAAGAGTCTGTGGTTCCTTTTTACTTTCAAGAGTTACAGAAATTGATCCTGGAGTTTCAAGTCCTCTGGTCCAAAGAGAAAAATAAAGCCAAATCCTCCGAGTGGCTCCACTTTTCTCATGACTAACAAACCTTTGAAATGCTTCCCAAAGTTCCGAGGGGCGGGAAATTATATCTACTGTTATCGTGTAGATATGACTAGGAGAATAATTATCCCAGGAATGACACAATTAGCATTACATATGAATTAAAAAAAATGACTTTGGATGCATTCCATAAACGTGCATCCATTTATGTACAAAGACAAGGAGAATTGATCTCTATAGTGAAAATGAAGACACGGCACCAATAATAAAATATTTAATGAGATGCTCTTGCTGGAAATATTTTTTTGCTTTTTGGTCCCAATTCTGCATATAAGGTAGTTCATCTTTTCCTCACACTGTTCTTTCAACAGGTGGTGGTGGATGGAAGTGTATCTTCGATTGTGTTGAAAAACCTGATGTCTTCAACCGAATACCAGATAGCAGTGTTTGCGGTATCTGCGCACACAGCTAGTGAAGGCCTGCGGGGAACAGAAACCACACGTGTGTATTGAATTCCCCTCTGCTTTCAACATGCGCAGCCATGCTTAGGTGGCTGGTTCCTAAGTTGGGCTGTTCAGGGTGGCTAGACACCCTGATTGAAAGCCACAGGAAGGGGCTGTCATGATGTGTGTGGGAGAGGACGGTACTGAGGCTTCAGCTTTGCAGCCGTGTGTATGGAATGGATTTGACCAATCTCTAGCATGTTTTAGAGAGGACAGCAGGTGGTGAGGGAGGCAGACTCATTCATTCATTCACCAAACATATTTTTAGTAAACGTCTACTGTGAGCCAAGAATGGTGCCAAAACTTGTTCGTTAGAATCGAGAAGAAGTTCAGGACTTCTTTTCCCCAGGGGAGTATTGAGGGAATGACATCACATTTCCCTCACTATTCATCTCATCATAATTAAAAGGAACTGCTGAATCGTGATAGTCCCTTCATTGGCCGTGGTCACAACTACACATATGCATACTACATGCGCACACATACATACATGCATACATTACAGGTACACACTCAGAGGATCATAAAAAGGTAATCTTAAAACGATCATTTTTTAGTCATATTAAAGATTGTGTTCTTAATACATGCTGGGCACTGTGCCAAACTGGCCTAAGTAACTTGCATCTTATAGAACAATAGCTATGTATAACAACATTAAAAATAATGTTCCCAGACCATGGTGCTTTCCCCCTGTGCAGTGATGGGCTTTTGAATAACAGTAACCTGGAAGGCCAGTGTTGATGCTTCTGCTTTGTGGAAATACGTTTTCTCTTCTCTCAATGAGTTTTAAGTTAGCATACGAAGCCATGGTTTCCATTGTGGTATTTCAGACATATGCATCACATTTTGTCCTAAATTGTCCCCTTCCTCCGATGGCTTTCCCCATCCTGCCAGCCCCAGCTGCTTTCCTCCCACTCCTGAAAGTAGTCTCCCTTTGCAGAAATAGTCTGAGGGCCACTTTTCCTCTCATCGATGTTTCCAGTCTGGGGCAAGCTGAGTCTGCAAACCAGGGACATTTGAATATGTTAGTGCCGTGAAGTGTTGCAGGCACTCCAAAAGAAACCTGTGCAGATGGTCACAAGTGTAAGCAAAGTGCCGAACCTGACAGTGTGGTTAGAGAAACAAGTGCGGTCGTATGTGAGGGATCTCCAGTTGTGTGGTCATATGTGAGGGATCTCCAGTTGTGTGGTCATATGTGAGGGATCTCCAGTTGTGTGGTCATATGTGAGGGATCTCCAGTTGTGTGGTCATATGTGAGGGATCTCCAGTTACGCTTGGAAAGAATAAAGTTATGCTTCCACTAGTGTTGTTCAAGCCTTGAACTAGAGGTTTATCCCAATTTCTTTCTCCCAACTCTTGAAATATGATTGGCATTGTTGTTTTTATTACTTTTTTTTTCTTTTTCTTTTTGAGAAAGGTGTCACTCAGCAGCCCAGGCTGGTCTTGAACTCGAAGCAATCTTCCCGCCTTCTTCTGAGTGCTGGATCATAAGCATGGCCCAGCAGGCCCGGCCTCTTGTTTCTTTATTGCTCCATTTTTTTTCTCGAGGGCAGTTGTACATGAATCTTACACAGAGCCTCTTCTTGCAGTGGCCTTACCCATGGCTTCCGACCTGGAGCTGTACGATGTGACTGAGAACAGCATGCGAGTCAGGTGGGATGCGGTGCCAGGCGCCACGGGATATCTGATCCTCTACGCCCCTCTCACTGAAGGTCTGGCGGGAGATGAGAAAGAGGTAAGTCCCTGCTCTCAATTGCAGCCCCAGGACCTTGGACGCCCAGATAAAATTTTTATTGTAAAAATTGATCGTGTAAAATTCAGAAGATTCAAGCTCTCAACATAAAGACATAGGTGTAATCTTACTACTGATACATAGCCATAGTTTTAAAAACAGCTATTCATAAGCCGGGCGGTGGTGGCGCACGCCTTTAATCCCAGCACTCGGGAGGCAGAGCCAGGCGGATCTCTGTGAGTTCGAGGCCAGCCTGGGCTACCAAGTGAGTTCCAGGAAAAGGCGCAAAGCTACACAGAGAAACCCTGTCTCGAAAAACCAAAAAAAAAAAAAACCACCAAAAAAAAACAGCTATTCGTTATTTTGTAATGCTAAGGACTAAACTCAGGACCTCACACATGCTGGCCAAGTTGGACTGCTGAGACATATCCACATTCCTTTTGATGAGGTTTTATTGACAGTCGTTTTAATGCGTTCTGTTTTCTTTGATTTCCCTTCCATTTTCTTTGCCTGCCTTCCTCCTCCTTTCCTTCCTTCCTTTTATAGTTCTGGGAATCAAATCCAGGACGTTATACACAGTAGGCAAGCATCCTACCACAGAGCTATATCCTCTTATCGCTTTAGGATAATTTTAAAGGATTGTTTTATATTTTTAATTACATATATGTATGTGTATATGTGTGTATGTACATGTGTGTAGATGCCTGAAGAGGTCAGAAGAGGGCGTCAGATCCCCTGGAGCTGGAGTTAGAGGTAGTTGTAAACCCCCCCTGTGTGGGTGCTGGGACCCAACCAGGTCCTCTGTAAGAACAGGATGTACTCTAACCACTGAGCAACCTCTCCAGGCTCCCTTCAGTGCATTTTAATCTGCCAAGTGAAGAAAATTTTTTTAGCCCATCGTTTTAATTTAATTTTTTTGTGAATAGCTTTCCATATTATTAAGGAATATTTCTCACAGTAATTTTATACATAGCATTTTATTATTGGTTTGTACAAGTTGTTTTTAATTAATTTCATGTTATAGGACATAGAGATAACTTATCTGGTATACAGTGCTTGAGATTAACATTCCTACCTTGTGTTTTTGCATGACTGCCCCACAGTTTCCTTAGAGTTTATTCTGAAAAGTGGTTTTGTTTTTTTTTAAATACTAGATGATTACCAGATGGCTCTAGAGAAAGTTTATATATTTTACCACATATAGTTCATAAGTGACTATGTGCTATCTACTGAATCAAATTTTTGTCTATGGTTTGAGAGGTAGAGAAACATATTTCCTTGATAAGAATGTGTGTGTGCGTGCATTCGTACGTGTGTGCATGTGTGTATGTGTGCGTGTGTGTGTATGTGTGTATGTATGTGTGTGCATATGTGTGTATGTGTGTATGCATGTGTGTGTGTGTGTGTGTGTGTGTGTGTGTGTGTGTGTGTGTGTGTGTGTAGGCCAGAGGTTGACTTTGCATGGCTTCTTCATTCACCTCCCACCTTGCTTATTTGAGACAGTGTTTCACATGGAACTTGGAGCAGAGCTCCTAAACTAGGCTAGACTGGTTGGCTAGTGCATGCCAGGGATCCTCTTGTGTGGCCTCTCCAGAGCTAGGGGTTACATGTGTGTGCCGTTCCATTCAGTTCTCACATGGGTGCTGGGGACCTGAAATCAGGTCCTCTTGCTTATGCAGCAGGTGGCACTTTACTGTCTGGGGCACCTCTCCACCCCAATAGGATTTTTGCTCGTTTCCATTCTACTTTATGAATATTTGATTTTCACTGGTTTATTATAAGCTTTTTAATTTACAGGGAGCAACTGCTATAATGCAGCCACTGAAGGGAAAAGAGAATAATCTCTCTATGCCACTCAGAGGTGCCTTGCTTCTGTGTTTGGATAAGAGAGGCAGTTTGGAACTTGATTCTCTAACACCCTCAAAGGATTGCCTCAGATAACTGAGTTCCCTAAAAGCCAAAGTGGGGCAACTCTGAGTATCAAGCATTGGTTACATGTGTTCTCTTGTTTTTATGGTTTAGGCTGTTTCTCTCCACTTGCATTTAAAGTTGCTCTGAGTTTTATTTTGGCAGAAGAATGATTTAAATTTTGTGCTGGAAAGATGCTAACTCAAGAGAAAATAAAAATGAAAGGAAACTTACTCAGAACCAACAGATTAGAAAAAAAAATGAACGTATAAAAACACCAAGCATAGTGAGCATGTAAGAACATGACCAATACTCGACTGTTCAGGCATGCCATTTTCCTGATAATAAACTGCTTTTGATGATATTTTGAGATGTTGAATATATGTAGTATGTTAGATGTGTGGTGAGAGGGTAGCATCTTGCAAGTGTTCTCTCTCTCTCTCTCTCTCTCTCTCTCTCTCTCTCTCACACACACACACACACACACACACACACACACACACACACACACAAACTCACATGGTCTTCTTTATTGAGGCTGAATGTAAGGTAGTCCAGGCTGGCCTCCAGTAGGCTGTATAGCCATGAATGACCTTGAACTCCTGATCTTCCTGCCTCTACCCCTCAAATGTGTGTCACCAAACTCAGCTTGCAAGAATATTCAATGAAATTTTGCTTGTTGTAATAGAATAGAACACTGCCAACAACAACCATGGTCATCCCTAGAGGTGGTATATTTATATTAAAGAATACCGTAAAGGAATTGATGTCCCCATGTATCAACATGATAAATCTTGAAACATATTGATAGAGGAAAAATTATATTATTATGGATTTGTTTATGTCTATTGCTAGATGGTATACAACTAAACATTGATAAGAGATGGTGTCTTAGTTAAGTCTCTATTGCTGTGATAAACACCATGACCAGAAGCAACTTGCAGAGAAAAGGGTTTATGTGGCTCATGTTTCCACATCATAGCACATCATAAAAGCAAGTCAGGGCCGGGCGGTGGTGGCGCACGCCTTTAATCCCAGCACTCGGGAGGCAGAGCCAGGCGGATCTCTGTGAGTTCGAGGCCAGCCTGGTCTCCAAAGCAAGTACCAGGAAAGGCGCAAAGCTACACAGAGAAACCCTGTCTCGAAAAACCAAAAAAAAAAAAAAAAAAAAAGCAAGTCAGGGCAGTATCTTAAGGCAGGTCCCTCGAGGCAGGACCTGAAGTAGAAGCCATGAAGGAGTGCTGCTTAATGGCTTACTCCCCATAACTTATCTACTCTGCTTTCTTTTACAACCTGGGCCACCTGCCCAAGAGTAGCACAGCCCATGGTGGGATGGACCCTCCCACATCAATCATTAATTAAGAAAATGCCCCACAGATTTGCCTACAGGCCAGTCTGCTGAGGGACATTTTCTCAGTTGAGATTCCCTCTTCCCAGATATGGATAGGTTTGTGTCAAGTTGACAAAACCCAGCATAGATGGATAAATATTAACACAGAAGCTAAGCAAGAACTGTTAGTTACACATTAGTGTTAGGACAGAGGTGGCAGGCAGCGGTGAGGCTACAGAGAAACTTCTTGATTATTGGTATATATTAGACCTTTCAAAAAGTAGAATCTGAACTCTATAGGGCAACTTTTTAACAGTTATTGAAATTGAGTAAGACTTCCATCAGATTTATTGTTATTTATGTACATTCGTTGCATGTGTTCAGATGGTTTAGCATTTAGAAGCTTAACTTGAATGGTGTGACTGGAGGTTATAGAGATTTTTTTCCTCCTAAAATTTAAAACTGCCCTGTCACATATTTGACGTCCAGTTGTCATACAAGTCATTTGACAAACTCCAAAGGTCAAAAAAATTACCCCCGCATCGAGAGACAAATTGGCAAGTTGGGTGTCATGCCGAGCCTCTCTCTCTTCTGAGTACCTGAAGGGATGTGCGCTTCTTCCAGATGGCCTTCTTGCTAAATGGGGTGACAAAACTGGCCTGGTGCAATCGAGCTTGAAGCAGAATTTGGGCATCTGGCCAGAGGCCTGGTTAGAATTAGCAAGCAGTGACAAATGCCCAGTTTGGCCTTGCCTCCAGCTTGCTGCTCTGAGGCGCACATCTAGAGAATATGTCTAATTCACTCCCACCCCCACCTTCCTGGGGACCAGACAACAGTGTTGTTCTGGCTGTGGTTGCTGTTTGTCCAGCTGTAAAGCATTATCCCAACACAGCCTGTGCCGGGGGTGGGGTGGGGCGGACACTCAGTTTTATATGGATCTATATTATCAGCTTCTAATGTAAAACAACTTGAGACAGACACAAATTTCTGACTGAGGCTTGCTCGATGTAGGTGCTGTGAGAGGTCACACAATCTCATTCTAGGAAGTGTCGTCTGTGTTCAGTCCCACTCCGATGAGCAGGGATACCACACATTGGGACATGATCTAATGACATGTGTTCTTTTCAGATGAAAATCGGAGAGACCCACACAGACATTGAACTGAGTGGGCTGTTCCCCAATACAGAATACACGGTCACTGTATACGCCATGTTTGGAGAAGAGGCCAGCGATCCCGCTACAGGACAAGAGACAACCTGTGAGTGGGGCAGCAGATTCACACGAAGTACTATCCCCAAAGCCCAGATACATGTTTCAGATTCTCAATCCAAAAACCCCAGTTTTGATTAAAACCTCTCAAGAGGCCATTGGGACTTAGGAAAATATGTATTTTAGTTAGGAAGAGAAATGTATTTCTTTTTATCTTGAGCTGACAAGAGAAGCATGGGTGTTAGCACTGAACTTTAGCATCCTTCCGTGAAGTCCATCCATCTCTGTCTCTAAATCTAAGTGTGCTAGGTATTAGATCCGAATAGAAAGGGAGAGCTTTGGAAAGTTCTGGAATCACAGCAGCTGAGGTAGGGAGCTCACCTCAGGTCCGGCTGGGTGACAATGACAATTTTATCAGTTCTGTCTGTAAAGGAAGGAACAATTTCTTATCTATCATGTGGTTGATATAAGATTAAATCCATGTGAAAATATGTAATTACTCAATATCTGTTTTTATACTCATTGAAATTAATATTTTTTTCTAAAAATGTTTGCTGTCCTTCTTACATGGGCCCCTTATTATTGGGCTTGATTTTTAATTGAAATTTTATTAAGAAGGCTAACTTTGACTTTTTTGGTGTAATACCTCATATATGCTGGACAAGTGGTCTACTGTTGAGATATGCCTCTATCTATGAGGCTAATTTTGACTAAATTACTCTTAATGTTTTAAGAAAATGTATGTATTTAACTGTTCTGAAAATATGATAAGAGATTAAGTATGATGGTGTGCTAACAAGGTTTGCCACAGGCCATTATAAACATGGCTCCGTTCGTGATCTTTTGAATTTCATGAAAGTGCAGGAAGCACCACTCTGCTCCTTGGAAAGAGATGAGTAGCACAATATCAATAGTTCTTTGTCTTTACGATTCAACTTGAGGCAACCACATAAAAGAAGTTTAACGATAAAGACGTTTTGCACGTCCATTCTTTGTTAGTTCGAGGCATACTGTTCTTGCTCTTCAGAATTGTAATTAAAACATCAAATCTGGAGAAGAAGCAAAAAATAAATCTCATCGGAAAGTATCTCTATGTAACTTGAGGGGTTTGGGGAAGCTAGCTGTTAAAAAAAAGCCCAACTGTCTGTCAGAAAGAATGCTCATTTATCTGTGTGCTTAAACTATATACAGCTCTTTCCTGTGATTAGTAGCTGGAGGAGGGAAGGAAGGAGGCAAGATCAATTCAAAATGTCCCCAAGTGACATTTCTATGTCCTAAGGAAAACAGACTTTTTCCTGCCATGTCACCAAAATATAATTGGATTCTGGAATGATGTAAACCTAAGTATACATCATGCCTGATTCTCTCACTTTACTTTACTTCCTACACTTTGTTTGTAGCCCCTTAAGTATTAAAATGATCACTAGCTCCTGAGAGCTCCATAATGTCAAGAAGCAGTATGCATGAAGGCAATGAAAACTGGAGTTGACCACTGGAGTAGAAAGTGTTATCCCTCGTGACTGAGAAAAGTGGTAGAATTTGTCCCCAAGGCTTTTATTCTGTTGGTTTCAGCAGAGCAACAGCTGAGTTCTTGTTGTGTGTGTGCATGGGCACATGTGCCTCTGTGTGGATGTGTGTAAGCTGCATACAGGTTAATACTGCTGTTTCTGCAATCAGTTAACTGAGCTACACTCCCAGTGCCTTGTAACAGTGACTTTGGCAAAGTTAATTCTGTCTTGTCACCAGAACAATAGGGATAACTGCCATTCTTGCAGTCTAACATTGTGGTTTAATGAGATAGTATGGTTCTTGTTCAACTCGTAAGGGTCACCTAATCGATGGCTGTTATTGTTGCTGTGGATGGGTGGGAGCTTGAGAAAGTCTCAAAAGCTACAATCAACATGTAGATAGAAGACAGCATCTTCCTCCTTTTACACACGGCAACTTGTGGCTTTTCTAGAGTCACATGACAGCTTAGTGGACTGGCTCAGACTTGGTTTTAGGTGTCTTGTTTTTGAGTCACTGGTTTCTTATTAATATCATTTTCTAGTGTAAAAAAAGGCACAGGGAGTTATCAAAACCCTGCTTCGTTCTAAGCATGTGTAATTTTCTGCTGCTATTCATTCTCTACAAGAAAAAATTCCCTTTTAATCAGGCAACTTTATTGATCTTTATGAGACAATTCACTGAGTATTTAGAAATTATATTATCGAAATGACCTTTTTCCCCCATAACAAGTCCTTGAAGATCAAGGGTACAGTTTCTTATGTTTTCATGTATTTTAAATGATTTTGGTCATTTCAAATTTTAATTATGCTCTATTCCCTTAGTACCCTTAACCCCACCAAGAAATTTGAGAATCTCCAATGTTGGCTCCAATAGTGCTCGGTTAACCTGGGATCCCACATCAAGAAAGATCAACGGTTACAGAATTGTGTATACCAGTGCAGATGGGACAGAAATCAATGAGGTAAGTTGTGGGACATGCTATTTTTGGTGGTGTTGTGGAGTTGTTGATTATGACCTCATAGTCAAAGCCTCGTGGGTTGAGACCATGTTAATGTTTCTTCTCCTGGTGCAATTCATACAAGCTTTAGCCATCTCGAAGGTCTGCTGGGTCTGCCCCCTTTCTAACTCCGAAAGGCCCAACTTTTCCTTTTCTTTCTTTCTGTCTCTTTCTTTTGGATGCTGGCTGGGATGTAAGTATGCTCTTGTCTGCTACTTTGGGTTCTCTTACTCTTTGTCTAATGCCCCACTCTTTGCCATGTGGGTGCCTGCTGTCATGTTGCTGACCTCCATGTAGGTAGCCCAAATGACTTTCTTTTTTTTAATCTTCTCCCCTCCCCCACTTCCTCCAAGCAGCTGCTGAGATGTACACCTTGTCTGCCTTGGAGGTTTTTTCTTTTAAACTAATAAAATTGTCCTTGTGCTTTAGGCAAACAAATAATACTAAGGACATAATATATAATTATTACATATAATACTTATTTCCTTTCATAGCTTGTGGGGCTCAGGAGGTGGGAATTGTATATACTTCTGGCCAGACATGTAAATGGCCTGAGCTAACATGATCTCAGTGACTTTTTACATGTCCAGTGCATGGTCTAGGGAGGTTGGTGCAGTTGACGGCTAGCACTGATGTCTACATCTCTGAGTTTCCTCTTCATGTGAGGTTTTCAGCACACAGCTTCGGGAGGGTTGGTTCAAGAGTCCCATGACACATGTCCAAAGGAGAGAGAAAGTACTAAATGGAATGATATTACTTTAGTAATCTAGACTCAGAAGTCATTTAAAGTCAGGCATGCTCACACACACATGATCACAGCACTCAAGAACTGAGGCAGGAGATACAGTATGGACTCCATAAGAAGCCCACATCTTAAAGCTTTTTTTTTTTAGAAGAGATATCTGATATCATTGCTACCACCTTCCATGGATAGAAACTGTCAGAAGTTTCTGATTGTGGGGAGAAACACAGATTTCAGCTGCTCTGGGCAGTCATGTAGGAGGAGCCTGGGAGATGTACACCAGTGTAGTTATCTCTGAAGAGCACAACATGTCCAGGTGAATGGGAGTGAGGACGTGTGAGTCTTTATGTTTTAACAAACTGACCCCAAATTTGGTTTCTTTCTCTGTTCTTGAGTAAATGGACACTTCAAAGACTCTAGGTAGATGAATTTAAAACTAAGTTCTGATTTAGAAAAGAATTTAGCTTTTGTAGACAGATACTCAAATAATGGAACTTGCTAACACTCAAGAAAATATAGTGTCTTGCATGGGGTGACTAATACTTTTAGGAATTCTTTCCTTAGAAATATGTTTTAGCAAGATAGCAAGGTTATTTTTGTTTTATTTTTCCTTATCTTGGTCCAGGAAGCTAAGAAAAAGAGGGAAATATGTCGGATTACATCATTTCTATTTTCTGACCAAATAAAATAAGTGTTTTCATATGTTGGGACAAACTTTTTTCCTACAATTAAACTCAAGCAATATTCTGCAGCGTGCACTCTCATCAGAATCATTGTGTAATGGAATGTCATCAAGAAAGATTTTCTAACCTGGACAAATTAACGTTCAATCACTCTCTTCAACATTCATAAATCTGAAGAGTAAATAATTCTGATGAGTCTGGGGTCATTGGTTGAAAGTTGCTTTGTTTTTGAAGATAATAGCCCAGAGCAGTAAAGCAATTAAAATAAAAATCCCTGAGCTATAGGTGTTTTGTTATTACTAGTAATAAATAAGTTATTCTCCCAAGAGTTGCACTCTTAGCTGTATAAGAGGATCAGGCAGATAATATACACAAGAGGAGTATGGCAATTAAAGTGTAGGGATGTGTGGCCACCTAAGATACCTCCCATGATGGGGATGTGTGGCCACCTAAGACATCTCCCATGATGGGGATGTGTGGCCATCTAAGACACCTTCTGTTCTAGCAGAAGAGACAGAGGGAAGAAGGGTTTTTTTTTTTTTTGTCAGATTGTGGGACTTCTGAGCAGACACTCATGATCTCTATTTTTACATGTAATTCATCAAGTTAAAAATTGAAGTATATTGCTTAGAGGCCTTTGTGCCTTTGTAGTCAGTTGAACTGTAGCAATCTAGAAAATTATTGCTGCTCTCCAGAAAACCCACAGACTGCAGCCCCTGAGCCAACTGGATACATTTGGAATGGAACGATAGAATCTTCAGTAATACAGAATTATAAGCAACTTAGGATATGTGGAGGAAATGGGCCTACTGAGTTCTTGAGAATGAAGAGCTTTGAACTATTGACCAGTGTCGGCATGAAACTTCAAAGACTTTGAAATAACATCACGTTGCAGCTAATGTCAATAGAGGATTTCCTTGGGTATCGATAATGGAGTGAATGCAGAATAACCTCCTACCTCGTGAAAATCACCAGTTCAAAATGATTAAGCCATGTCTGCACTGGAAGAAAGGAACTTCAAAATACACCCCCCCCCCAGGGAAATGGTTGCACGTAATCAGATTCCTTCTCCCTTTTTTGAGTGGCAGGATATTGAGGGTTGAACCTAAGGTCTCACACGTGCTCCACCACTGAGATCATATGTGTCCCATCACTGAGATTTCTTTTTCTTTTCTTTTCCTTTTTTCTTTTCTTCTTTCCTTTTCTTTTCCTTCTTTCCTTCCTCCCTCCCTTCCCATCCTCCTCTTCCTCCTCCTTCTCCTCGTCCTGTTCTCTTTTTAGCTTCACTGAAATGTATTATTATTATTATTATTTTTAGCAATGTTTGATGGTTATTAGCAGGGTGGAGACATGTATTTCTTTGTCTGGAGTGGAGTGCATCTGCAGCTTGATGCAGTTGTGGAGGTCCTAGGTTCCTAGGCAGTGTTAGAAGAGGGTTATATGGACAGCTCAAGACAAGCTGAGTTCCAGGTTGCTATCTCCTAGGATTACCTGCCTCAGAGTACACCTCAGTGCTTCAACTGAGCCATCAGGTCACCCAGACATTCAAGATAAAGGGAAAACATGGCCACTGTTTTCCTTTATTTGGAGGATCATTCCAGGAATCGTGTGTGGATATAAAACTCATGTTGGAAGAAAGACATGAGGCACTGATGTGCATGTGGTGTGGTGGCTTCATGGAAAAGGAGATAATATGTCTCCTCTCTGGTCCTGAGACTTGAGTACTCAACTATATCATGACAGCTTTGCTAGACTACTGAGGAAGATTACTGAGTTTATGTTCTGACTGCTTTAATCTCCAGAACGGAGCCTTCTTCCTAACCCCCTGTGGGGCTCAATGACTATGGAAGATGGGGATGGTGATGATGCTAAGGGATCTTGTAGCTAGAGTTTTCCTGCCTGGCCCACAGTCAGGACAAATCTTTGTCACCCGCCAGTCCCACAGTCGCTCAGACCCAACCAAGTAAACACAGAGACTTATATTGCCTACAAACTGTATGGCCGTGGCAGGCTTCTTGCTAACTGTTCTTATAGCTTAAATAAATCCATTTCCATAAATCTGTACCTTGCCACGTGGCTTTTGGCTTACGGGCATCTTCACATGCTTCTTGTCATGGTGGTGGCTGGCAGTGACTCTCCCTGCCTTCCTGTTCCTCAATTCTCCTCTCTGTTAGTCCTGCCTATACTTCCTGCCTGGCCACTGGCCAATCAGTGTTTTATTTATTGACCAATCAGAGCAATTTGACATACAGACCATCCCACAGCAGGATCTAACACATCTTGAGTCCCTAGTGCAAGCCAGACACTGTTTTGAGTTTTCTACAGAGAAAATTTCATACAATCTTTACACAGCCAAATGCTAGCAAAGTATTGGTTGTCCATCAAAGGACAGGCTCCATCTCACTACTTACTGTGAAAGCATTTAAGGAGGGGAAAGGAATTAAATTCTGCCCCTGAGTTTTATAAAAGTAAAGCCACCATTTTTAGACTGTGGGATGTCAGTTTCCAGCAGCCATGATTCAGTGACATAGCCCACATCTCTCATTCCTCAGTAGTGCTCTTTCTTCATACCCCCAAAATTATACTGAAGGGAAGTATTTAACTAGACTGTTAATAAAGTTCTTCTCAAATTAGTTGCAAAACAATGAGATCATGGTCATTGTTGTCTTTTCTTATGTCTTATGTCCTATGGTGCTACCAGTAAAATCAGTTTCAAAGCTAATAGTTAAAAATGTATGGCTGTACAGGCTGGTGTGGGAGGTAGACCAGTTGTCAAATGCTTGACTAGCATGCAGGCAACCTTTCATTCAAGTTCCAGCACAGCATAAACCAGTCATGATGGCACATACCTGTAATCTAAGAGGCAGAAAGATCTGAAGGTGATCCTTATCTATATAACACCCCCCAACAAAAGCAACATAAGAAAAGTAACTGATAAAAAATGACACCTAAAGCTTTTTATTTGGTGAAATAATTTAATCAATTCATCAGTTGTATAAAATGTCTGCTAAGTTGTAAATAAAATACTTTAGCAAGTGAGCAGAATCCTTTTTTAATAGATACATATACTACTTATACAATAGATGGTTTTATGCTTAATTCTTTTTTCCCTTTAGACTCTCAGTGAACCTAACAAATTGGGTTTTGTTTCTGTGTAGGTCTAATATCTGTACAAGATTCCCATTTGTCACAGATCTGAGACTTAAAAAGAAAGTTAAGGTGACGCCAACCTACCATTTAAAAGTTTTATGGCTCAAAACAAATTAGATAGACTCCTTAGCCTCAGGTTCTTCTTTGGAAATCCATTTTTATAAGTACCTAGAGTGTGGTCAGGGAAGTCAGGGGCAGGGGCTCTGAATAAATAATATGTGTTGATTCCTGGATTTACCTACAACAGTTAACAACACCAGGAAACAATTCATAGACACCATTTTGGAAGATTTATATTGAATTAATATTTTAAATATGAATTTGTGGGTTTTGTGCACTTAAATAATGAAACATATGGTAAAAATGCATTTAAGACAATAGGGTTCAGAATCTGAACATCTGGGTTGAAGTCGTAGGTCCTAGTTTGTATACTCTTGGGCAAGATCCTTAACTAATTTTTTTCATCTTCAAATTGAGCAGAGAAATTCACATCCCTAGAGATTTGGGGAGGGTCAAATGATTTCTTAATATAGTGGACATAGACAATGGCCAGGCAATACTAAACACTAAGCTCTAAGAACCATCTAGAATATTGCTGATCCTTCAGGAGGGTATAATCCTTATTTTCAGTGACTCTTGCCACGCAGCTCAGCAGCCTGTGGTTATGCAGTGCGGCTGGCCTTGCTTCTCTGTCCTGTGGTGTCAGTGTACAGTGTATCCCTCCAGGAGCTTGGCTGGGGCGGAGCTGCCAAAATGACCTCACTGCTGCTGGGTATCTCAGTCCACTTAATAAAAGTGAAAAGGGAACCAAGTCACAGGCCATCCCACAGTTAGAGTGGGGGGGGGGGGGGAAGGGGAGGGTCCTTCCCCCAGGGGCTCACACTGAATGCAGAAGAGAGATGGAGTGCACGGAGTTGAAGGCCAGTTGACAGCTAATGAACAGTTAAGTGGGGAAGGGACATCTCCTATTTTGGGAAAGGTCACATTGGCTATTGTGAGCAAACATGTCGTTATTTATCTTTGCTTAACATTAGGCATCAAGATTACTTATTGATAATACTTAAAATAAGAGATGGTGTTGTATTGCTTTAAAACACCTCTTGAAATTACTCTAAGTGGCCTCTAATTTGAGAAAGCCTGATTTTAGGTAAATATTTATTTATGGTTATTTCTTCAGTTTTCTAGAATACCACCAGGACTAAGTAAGGCATTTTACTTTATGACACTATATATTGTCATGAGGATTAGTTAAGACATATGTTAAGCTCACAGCTGTGGGTACCATAACCACGATCTATAATTTGATCTCCAAACTATGCAGCGTGGCAGCCCAGCACCAACCTCTCAATGCTAGAGCCATGTCCATTCTTTGTCTTACCTTCAGGGTGATCTGTCTGGGGATTTGTGGTCTAGATCCTGCCCTTATCTCCTCTTTGTACTTTCTTTCTTCAAAGCCTTTTTATATAATATGCCCCTCGTTTCTTTCTTCAGGACTTAATCATATTCTTACTCTCTCTCTCTCTCTCTCTCTCTCTCTCTCTCTCTCTCTCTCTCTCTCTCTCTCTTTTTCCCATAATTACGTCTTTCTGTGAAATATAAAGGAACATTTGAGTGTTGACTCTTTCCTCTGGTGATAATATTTCTCTGCATGGTGGTTACTGTGCGATTAAGACAGAGCTTGTCGTCTATGACACAGCTATGGAGTTGGTTGGAAGAGCCCAGGCCATGAAGCCCAAACTGTCTGCTCTTAGCGGACTTAGCTAGAATCTCTGTACAGCGTTCCGTCAGCCTCCTAAGTTGCACTCACTTTACATACTGCCCGAGAAACAGCTGATAAGCAATGCCAGGAAGGCTAGAACGTGTGCGCTTTGGCCCCTCTCTGGCTCTGTGATTCAGTGCTGTGCTTTACAGTAGTGAAGGCCCTTTCGGCAGCCAAACTGCAGATAATAATAAGATGATTTGTGTAGGTTGAGAGCATTGGGTATAGACTGTGGCGACTCTGTTTTGCAGGTTGAAGTTGACCCCATCACTACGTTCCCTCTGAAAGGCTTGACCCCCCCTCACGGACTACTCTGTTGCCATTTTCTCCATCTATGAGGAGGGGCAGTCCCTGCCTCTCGTTGGAGAGTTTACTACAGGTAAGCCTCATTCTGGATTGAGAGGGTCTCAAACGCAGCTGGTTAGCGAACCTGCGGCAACCTCCTCAACTGTGACTTTGAGTCCATACTAATGTTTAAGACATAAAATGAAAATAAACCCAAATCTCCTTATGGAGACTCTGCTTGGATTTCTCATGGCGTCCTAACAGAGTTTTAAAATCACTGATTTCAAATAAACATCAATGACTTGAGTAGTTATTTTGGGTACATTGGATGTTATGCTTTCTGAGGTAAACCCCCAAAGTGTGTATGGTGTGAGGAGGTGGAATGAACAATCAGTGATATTTTGTCTCTGGTGCTGCCCACACCTCTAGTTAAAAAGGTGGAGGTTCTTCCCCAGGACTCCACTCATGACTGCAGAGCGATTTGATACACAATGTAGAGATCGTTTCTCTAGGCTTTAAGGTGCCCTTTCCTCAAAATTCTTGGAATATAAGGTCTCTCCAAAATAATGAATATGACATTTTTACTTTAAAATAATATTTGTGTGTGTCCACATGTGTGCTCATGCATGCGTGTGTGTGTGTGTGTGTGTGTGTGTGTGTGTGTGTGTGTGTGTGTGTGTAGGGCAGAGGACAATCTTGCATGTCAGCCTCAAGAGTATCATTCACTTTCTTTGAGACTGTGGCTCTCATTGGCCTGGAGCTCATCTATTAGACTAGACTAGCTGACCGGCAAACTTCAGGATCTTCAGTTTCTGTCTCTCCAGAGCTGTTGTTTACAATCACCGGCCACTGCACACAGCGCTTTTACAAGGGTTCTGGGGTGGGGGTGGGGTGAGAACTCAGGTCCTCGTGTTTTTGAAACAAGCGCTTCATGAACTATCTTCTCAGCACCATTTTTTTTTTATACTTTATGAAAATGGCCCAATATAAACAATGTAAGAGTTCTGGAGTTACTGGAAACGTTTTAGAGAACATTATTTCTGTGGTTTCCCTAATTTATGCTGTTGGAAGGCGCTAGAAACAGACGTTCAAGCCACACTGATGGATTGAGGCTGGTCCCCACTCTTCCATGGTTTTCCAAAACCAAAAGCTCTCTCAGTCTTCCCATCCTATGGGCCCCCCGGGAACTCCTTGAATTTTGGTTTCTTGCCTTCCCATTTTTCAAACTCGATCTCCTCCATGGTTCACAGAGGAAGTTCCCGCCCAGCAATACTTGGAAATTGATGAGGTGAAGACAGACAGTTTTCGAGTCACCTGGCACCCACTCTCGGCTGAGGAAGGGCAGCACAAGCTGATGTGGATTCCAGTCTATGGCGGGAAGACCCAGGAGGTGAGTTGACTGGACCACAGCAAAAATTGATGCCGAGCATGTTCCCTGGGAGTGAATGCTTACCACTCCAACCGGGTTGGTCTTCATCTTGCAGGGCATGGTGTTAGGCATTTCATAAGCCTCAAATAATACTATAGTTCAAAGATTAAAATTATATCATTACCAGGGCTTCAATTATATATCTCAGATTCCTTGACCCTCACAAATAACATCTAATAAAACTTTGCAATGCTACTTTTACAGCATTAATAATAAATTTGTTGAGGGAAGTGAAGGCAATAAGGTCCATAGTTTGCTTTTGAAAATGATTTCAGTATTTCACTATTTTATTCAGTTAGTTCTTGCTTATATACAGATTTTTTCCTATTTATTTTTCTTTTAACTTTCATTTCCCCCTTTTAAAAAATATTTCTTTTATTTTTGAGTTTATAATATAATTACATAATTTCCCTTTTCTCTCCCCTTTCCAAACCCTCCCATACACTCCTTCTTGCCATCTTGCAAATTCATGGCCTCTTTTTTCATTAATTGTTGTTACGTACATATATGTCCGTGCACATATGTTGTACCTAAGGCTCAGGGATATTGCAGGAGATGGGATGGGAAGATCTTGAGAAGCAGATCAGGGAGTTTGCTGTAAGACTGTGTCTCCTAGTAATGTTAGAGGCTACACCCAGAAAGTCTCACCAACATGGCTACCTAAACACGAGCAGAATAAGGAAGATAATAATAGACATACCAGAGTAGACAGAGGAAGGACAGTGAGTTGTCAACCCTGCACAAAGAACTACAGGCGACTAAGGATTGCTGAGTTCAGGAGAAATAGTCTTCCCCAGGGAAGAGCACACCCATTTGTTTTCCAATATCAAGTGGCCAATCTCCTCTTTTCTTAAGTAACCCTAGTTACTAAGCATCATGCGCTTTTCAGGTTGCCCTAAAGGAAGAGCAGGACTCCTACGTGATTGAAGGCCTGGATCCTGGAACTGAGTATGAAGTCTCACTGTTAGCTGTCCTCGATGATGGGAGTGAGAGTGAGGTGGTGACTGCTGTTGGGACCACACGTAAGTCCTGTTTGCCCATGTTGAGCTCCCGTGTCCATCATCCATCCACACAGCCAGCCTCTCTTCCCCTATTAGACTTCAACTTTTCTTTGATCCTCCCGAATTTGTTTCATGTGTTATAGTCAGTAACATTCATATGTGAAGCATCATAAATTCTCAGACTGTTATCGCAGTCAAGGCACTGAGCATTTCTGTCCTGTCCACTGTTTTATTCTCCAGCACTGAGCACTGTATTTGACATACCTTAATTGTGCCACAAGCACTCACGGAATGGAAAGATAGATGAATAGATGGATATAATTATAAATGATCAAATTGGAAAATAAGTCAGATATTAATGTAGCCAAGAGTTTCTGGAATTTTCCAAGTTGGTTTTTGTTATAAGAAATTTTTGCAAAATTTACTCACTGATTAATATTCCCCTCTTCTTTTTCCTTTTTGAAATCATATATTAACTATATCCTTCTTTTTAAAAAGTGAAGTATAACTATACATTACATTTTCTTAAATGGCATTTGGAAGACTTATTGGCGAGCGCAGTTGGGAGACTCTTATAAACTGAAGAAAGTATGGTCCTGCACAGGGGAATCCGAAAGAGCACTGTTAGTCCTGTCAGTATCCTGGAGCTAGAATCAGCCTTCTGAATCGTATTGAAGTGAGACAGAGGCTGGGTCCAGTACCCCTGTGTCTTCAGTTGGTGTGGAAAGACTCTATTAAAGAGACTGTGTCTTCAGAGAAGGCAATTCCCAAAGCTAGTTAGTATTTGATGACCTGCTAGATGGATGTGTTGATCGGCAAGTGAACGCAGCACACCACACAGCCAGTCCATTCCAGCATCCACCCATGGTAGATCCAGGACACAGATGATATACACTGCCTGCTTGAGCATGTTACCTTCTTGGGTGGTCTTTTTTGGGGTAACCGTTTTTTACATCTTGGTCTGCAATTTAATTGTCTTTAATTATCATGGTTATGCCCCTATTTTAAAAATAATTGTGAGATTTCATAATTTTGTAGATGTAATTCAAGCACTTATCTGAGGTCTCTAGATGAGACAATAATGTCTTTTCAGTTCATCATCCTTATCTGTTGAAACAACAGATATGATTGCCTTATAGCTCACCTTTTCTTCCTTGCAAGAAGTCATTTGTTGTGGGAAGAAAGTAGGGTAATATTGGTGCAAGTCCCTTCAGAAGTTATTCAATAGTTTATACGAATGTGGAGAACATTGTCTTTACATAATTTGTAAGTAATGAATTTTCTTTCAGTTGATGATTTTTGGACAGAAACACCCTCAACTGTAGAACCTACCAGCCCTGTGACTTCAGGTGAGGACCCACAGGGGCCTGTTTATCCTCAATAAGCTTGATTTAAACAGAAGTTATGTTTCCAGGTTTTATTTAGGTTTTGTTATTGATTAGAAAAGAGATGTTCTTTCCTTGTTTTCTTGCAGACAGTTCACGTGTCACCAACCTGGAGCTTTACATCTTCTCTTGCACAGAGCGCCACTCAGTCTCCTAGTTCACCATCATTACAGCGCTCCACCTTTTCCTCTTCCATCTTCGATTCTCATTCACCTTCCTGAGGCTGTTAACCTTGCAACAGCCACAGGGGTCTTCGTCTCCTTGGCTTCTGTTGCTCTCTGTGGAGAATTAACTATTCACACCACTTTCGCTCATTTCTGTTGGGACCTGAGGCTTGACTTTCATAGTGTTATTCCCTCACCAGTAGTTTCTTTTCTCCTCTAAGCTTTCCTCTACGGCAGTACACCTCCCAGCTATCTGTCTGAGTTAAATAAGTGAAACACACCTTTATCTCCACATCTAAAACACTTCAGTGGCTCTTCATTACCCTTCACCCACTCATTCATTTATTTATTCTTCAGCTAATCTTTATTTGGGCCTTAAGCTCTCTTTGTCGGAACACACAAGTTCTCTCTTGATAGTTTCTGTTTTCATTCTTGGCAACCAAATTCTGAAACTCTGCCTTGAACTGAGAATTTCCCACAATTCCCCTGTCAGGTAGTATACCATGGTTATACCAGTTAAGACTCCTAGCGACTCTGTGTGCTTTTTGCAATTTTTTTTCTCAAGACTTAATCATGCATGTGTCAAAGATCTACATAATATGGCATTGAAGACAGGTTCCATGAATGTTTTTATGAGTAAATGAATGAGGAGAAAGGAAACGTGAAGTGGAGATGGACAGGAGGGGAGGAAGTCAGTGTAGACGGGAGAATTTAGAAAATGAAACATATGAGGGAAGAGACACCCTGACAGATGAAGATGAATGTTCCAGTGAACACAGGTGAAGAAATATGGGCAAATATCCCAGAAAAAAATAACGTGTGTGGGGAAAGATGACTTGTGTGGGCCAAAAAGATAAAGGCAGCTTGTGCTGGGGAGCTGCTCTTGAGTGAGTAGGGTTAAAACAGGCAGAGGTGGGGGAGTTGGTGGATGTGTGTTAGATGCTGTATCACACTGGAGAGTGGTGAGATCTGGTACCCCAAACCCACTTCTCTAAGAGATAACCAGTATGAGGTCCTCAGAACCATGCTCCCTCTTGAGTTTAGTTCGGTGGCTTTCCTTCAGTTCTCTGTCAGCCACGAACATGGAGCGCTGCTTCACGTGGGTGTCCCTCACAGGGCTGCACTGAATGATGCTGGAGGCTACCCCACAGATAGTATCTGTGTCTCATTTTGGGTTATGATGGGCTCCAAGTTCTTTAATGTGTGGTTGTATTTATTCCAGTTCTCCAGACAGGAATCAGAAACCTGGTTGTAGATGACGAAACTGCTACTAGCCTGCGGGTCACGTGGGACATTTCTGACAGCAATGTGGAGCAGTTTAGGGTGACCTACCTGACAGCCCAAGGGGACCCTATGGAAGAAGTGGTAGGAACGGTCTGTATAACTATGCCTGGCCAGGAGTCCCACAGCCTTTGTTGGTGGATCTACCATGGCTGCGGAGTTTAATAAGCTTTCTTACTCATTGCTTGCTGACTCCATGTCTGCAGAAACTAATGTTTTTGCTTAATCCAAACTTCACTGTTGGTTCTGTCACATCCTTTCTAACTCTAAAACCTGCCCCACATGGTTTGCTTCAAGCTAATCAAGCCTCTGCAGCTTTCTCCTAGTATTGCCTTTGCTAACCTAAATAGGATTATAATAGAGCCATTAGGCCAGGCATGGTGACATGTGCCTATAGTTCCTAGGGAGGCTGATGCAGGAGGATCATTCGAACCCAGGAGTTGGAGACTAGCTGGCAACACAGCTAGACCCTGTCTATTTCAAAAGCAAATGAAATCAAGATAAGACAAAGAACCATTGGACACTTATATTTGTATACATGAATGTAGATATGTAGATGCATACGTAAAAGTTCAAGATTAAACTTTTTTTTTTTTGCTTTTGGGAGTCAACTCTAAAGCTTTTAAGCAAAGCACACAAGAACAGTCTAACAGTTTACCAATTTTTCACTGATGTCAACTCATTTTGAGCATATTCTTAACTAATTTTCATTTATTCTTAATCATGGGCATCTTTTCTCAGGGATGTGTAACACATTTTCTTCAAGTTATTTTGCATACATCTCTATGTGGCAAACCTGGTACACTCTTAATCATGGCTTCCCCAGGTTTCCTTAGTTTATAACTTATTGTCCCCTTAGGAATTAATTCTTATACATGTGTCCAGACCAAGGAGAATGCTCCAGTTATCAGCGGAAGGTGTTTGACTTCTTACTCACAGCATCCGCTCTATTTATTACTATAATATGTCATTACTAAACTTTTTTTTTCTGGTGCTGTGTCATTTTTAATGCTCTATGGAGGAAGTCTCCAAAACTCATCATTGCTCAAGAATAACATTGCCCACCCCTTGGCTTTTTAACTTATGAAGACTTTGTTGAAGAAAAGCAATTGTTTGAGTCCAACATTATTTATTTCCAGGTGATGGGAGAAACATTGCAGGGCAGAGTGACAGCCTCCAGGGCCTTGTGCATGATGGATCGCCAGCAGGTTCATGCTGTTGGTCTGAGAGTGTTTCTGGAAAGTTAATGGACACTTAATTCAGATTGCATTGTAATTTCACTCTGACAACAAAAACATTCCAAGTGATTCATGATTGGCAAATTTAAAAAATTATACTTAGGTGTGGCAATTAAACATGATATTTGGGCACTTTATTTTCCCTGTTATTATTCCACTACTATAATTTCATTCCTAAAAATAAGGACCCACAGAGACCTCTCAGCATGAGACACTTTTCTTTGAGGTTTCAGTAAGCACATTTAGCTTCTTGGTGCTAATTCCTGCTGATTTGGAAAAAGTAACAATTTAATCTCACACGTTCACTTGTAAACTCTGCAAAGTCAAATAATAATAACATTTACTTTGGGTGGCTTCTAGATTGTGGTCCTTCTGAGAGTTTCTTTTGTTTAGCACTATTTATATTTGAAACACTTGGATACCTAAATGAAGGGAAACAGATAAAGAGTCTTAGTCTGCCCCAGCTAAACAAAGCTTTAAAGAAAATGAGAAAATATTGACAAGTTTACTGTGCAGTGGAGTGCTTGCTTTCTACTATGTGAAAGGAATCCTAGTGGGAGTCTTCAAATTCCAAGCTCCTTCAGTGAACTTTAATTAAATTAGACTCCTGCATGCAACTTACAGGTGCTTTATGAATTAATAGGCTGGCCTGAGGACTGAGAATTTATAGATGTATTTTATCAAATGCTACTGCAGTATAAATCCAGTGATGTATTATTTTAATTCTTCAGCTAATTAGATAATTGTATGTGTGAGTGAGAGAGACACACAAAGAGAGCCAGAGACAGAGAGATGGAGAGAGAGGGGGGAGGGACAGAGGGAGAAAGAGAGAGAGCCACGCACATTTCCTGTGTCGACTCTAGTATCTTCTTCTATCATTTACCTCATTTTTGAGACAGGGTCTCCTGTTGAATCTGCTGCTTGATATTTTACTAGACTGGATGGCAAGGAAGTCTCCGGGGTCTGCTAGTCTCCACTCCTCTAGTGCTGGGGTTACAGACATGTGCTGCCATGTCCAGATGTTTGTGTGGTTGTAGGGTTCTAAAGCCAGATCCTCATGCTTGGGTTGTGAGTGTTGACCTCCCCAACCTGCATTATTAGTGAGATAGGAAGTAGGATGAATCTGAGTTTAGGATATGAAAGTAAGGTAGGACAGTGAGATGTGGGCCAATGACTAAGTCCAAAGGCCATGAAATCGTGTGGACTAAATGGTATCTTAATGGTGTCTGGGCTAGTTTAGTCAATAAAGTGCTTGCCTTGCAAGCATGAGGAATGAGTTACTGTAGATGTAACCAACCATCTTATTAAATAAGAAACACAGAGCCGATTCAGAGAAGAAAGCCAAGAGGTCAGAGCTAAGAGCCTCACCCTTCCTGCTTCAGCATTCCTCTTCAGCCAAGAGAGCTCTCCGAAGGGGCCTACTTCCTGTGTGTATGTCTTTATATAGTCTAGCTGTTCTGCCTTCTCATTGGTTGTAAACCCAAACACGTGACTGCCTCATCACTGCCTGTATGTACCGCCCTCCAGGTCCTTAAAGGCGTGCGCTACTGCCGCCACGCACTTGCTATGGCTCTAATAGCTCTGACCCCCAGGCAACTTTATTTATTAACATACAATTAAAATCACATTTCAGTACAAATAAAATACCACCACAAGTTACGTTCTCCAAACCCATGTTTAAAAAAATAGTAACACGGGGGTGTGGTGGTGCTCTTGTCTTCCTAGCCCTGGGGAGGCAGAGATAGGTGGATCTCTGGGCTTGGTGGCTATCCTAAACTGTTCAATAAGTGACAGGCTAAAGAGAGACCCATCTCAAAAGTAAAAAAGTAGATATGCCTGAGGAATGACACCCTTAATTGTCTTCTGGCCTCCACATACACACTCACACACATACAAGGTGCATCCATGCACATACATACCTACACACATATGACCTTGCATACAATCTCTCTCTCTCTCTCTCTCTCTCTCTCTCTCTCTCTCTCTCTCTCTCTCTCTCTCACACACACACACACACACACACACGTGTACACTCTCTGCTTGCCCAGGAAAGATGGATGGCTAAGATATACCATGAAAGCAAAGAAGAAAATGTAACCTGATAATAGACATATTTTCTCTTACCATGTTTCCAAGTTTTCTTTCACTGTTACTGATTGTATTTGCATGGGCAAAGGATGGGACAATACTTAGGTTGGAGAACTGTGAACCCCATATAGCATTTGTAAACCAAAGAGGGGCTGAATTTACCAGTTAGGGTATGTGAATTACTTCCGTACTTTTAGGCATAATCAAGTCTAACAAATACTTCAAAGCAAAAAAAAAATTGAACTCTAACATATAAAAGTAGCTGTCAATATTCACAAGGATTGACTTTCACAGTGCTTTGAACCATGAAGAGGCAACAATGGCAGTGACCTCAAGGTTGTTGTCAGAGTAGAGGTGTCTCTCTATAAAAGGCTGGTTGGGGTTCCAGCATCCTATAGCCTGTGTGTCATTGTTAATCACAAACTGAATTCTGATTGGTGAACATTGTCCAAAGAGGGGCTACTTAAAGTGTGCCTTAGTCTCCTACAGGGTGAGTCCAGAGATTAAGGTTGACATTCATTTACTATTGCTGCAATAAGCTTGGTGCTAAAGTTTTCCTGGTCCTGCCTGGCCCATTGTCAGGACAAATCTCTCTCATCCACCAGTCCCACAGCTGCTCAGACCCAACCAAGTAAACACACAGAGACTTAGATTATTTGTAAACTGTATGGCCATGGCAGGCTTCCTGCTATCTGTTCTTATATCTTAAATTAACCCATTTCTATAAATCTATACCTTGCCTCCTGGTTTGTGGCTTACCGGCGCTTTACATCCTGCTCCTCATGGTGGAGGCTGGCAGCATCTCTCTGCCTCAGCCTTCCACTTCCCAGAATTCTCCTCTCTCCTTGTCCCGCCTATACTTCCTGCCTGGCTACTGGCCAATCAGCACTTTATTTATCAATCAATCATCCACAGCGTAAGCAAAGCTTTATTGTATTTGATATAGATCCAACAATGGATTGGAATTAAAACAGGGCCACCAGAACCACTCTGCATCATTCTTCATGACCGGATGGAGATCATGGTCTAAAAACAGAATTTTGTAAGCGGGAAACACAGCAAAATGCAGCGACTCTAGTTTCTTCTACAGGTCACAGCTTCTTGTGTGTGTGATCCAGACAGCTCTGATAGAACCAGACAGAAGAGTTACATGCCAGAAAAAATTAAAAACATGACGCTCCCTAGGGGGGTTTGCATCCCATTTAATCACGGACATCTTTCATAGATGTGTCTTAAAAATGAAAAGCCCCATGTGCCAGGACTGCAGCATTTGTTTTCAAGTAGGAGCTTCTATTAATAAACATAATTTTATTCCCTTCTACTTAAACAAGCGGAGACCGAACAAAATGAAATTTGCATAGCCTAGAGGGAATTTCTGTTTCACCCTTGGGAATGAATATCAGGGTGGAAAAGGTTCGTCCTTCATACTTGTGTGGCATGAACCCCCAGGTTAAGCAAGGCCTAGGTCAGATCTCTGAGGTTTCAATATGGTTCCTGTACTGGGCCTTGTGGGTCTGTTTCCACATCGACAAAATGAGTGTGGTAGCTCTACTTTAAAAAGTTTTGGCTACGATGAAGTAACTTAATGGATTCATATTCTTCTAGTAGCACCTGGCACGAGCTATTTGGTGCTTAATGAGGGCTGTTGTTATAAACTGCAGCAACTACTTTCTGGCAAGCAGTGGGAATCTTCCAGAGTGCTCACACTGCCTTACAGTATTTGACAGGTTAAATTTGATTGGCAACAAGGCCACATGCTTCTCAGTGTGAGACCTGACCCTACTTAAAGAGTATCTACATGGGTGGTTTGCCAGGCAGCTTGGAATGAAAGCCTGGGCTCTGCTCCAGCATTCTGCTGAAGAGAGACACCCCTAAGGAAGCTACCCTGATGGGGCCATACATGTTGGGGCATCCACAGCTGTCTTTCAGCTCCTTCATGCCGGGGTCGACTAACTCATTCTAGATTAAAACAGAGCTGCTATTTTTATAATTGCTTCCCAAGATCCCACACGATGCAACCTGAACATTCCAGTGTCCCCTTTAATGCTGAGCAGAAGCACGGTCACCTAAGGCAGACTTCCTTTATCATATACAAGACTATGGCATGTTGAAGCTTAATTGTATCATGGCAATAGCTGCTTCTGGGTTCACCACATGGTTCTCTAGGACTTATTCCATGATGGATGGGTTCCTTCCTTCACTCAGAAGGAGACAGCATGGCCTCAGCCTGCTGGCATCTCACCCAGCCGTGGAATGGAAAACCTTTCTGGCTGTCCCGGTCTTGTGACTCTTTTAAGCCCCCTTGGGTCAGTTCCTACATCCTCACATTTTTCCCCAGTGATTATTAAGTTCCCAACAGCCCAGGGAAGTGCCAGAATTTAACTGCTGGAGCACAAGCACAATATTTTGTAGTGGAGATGTGGTCCGGAACAGTCTCTTAGAAACACCAAAATCATACTGTGTGCCACGTGGCACATGGCGCACCAGCTGGTGTGGGGTCCCCATCGCCTCTGGATTTCTTTTTCTGGCATCTTTAGTGACAGAAGGATAGTGGATCCAGATGGAGCAAGGACATCTCCTTTCAGATGTAAGAAAGCTGCCGCAGTTTTTAGTGTTGCTGCTAAATATGTTTCAACTCAAAACACTTGGCTCACAGTGCTTGACTCTGTTGCTCTTGGCTGCCATCCATCCCTTCTAATTGAAAGAATAAAATGTTGGGGTCAGGTTATCACTGAGGAAGGAAAGTCAGGGAGGGTGGATTCACAAGAGGATGCTCAAGTCATTTCAGAACAGATAAGCAACAGTCTGTGTTGTAGAATGAGTATGTTAACCATAAGCACCTGCTGGCTGTGCAGATGGTCGTGCAGTCTCCTCCATAAATGTTGAGAAGACATCGAGAGGAGATATCCTGTGGAGTTAATCCTCCTGTATTAGAGATTATAGACTAATGCTTTGGTGAGGCACATGACGGGGAAATGCTCTTGCATGAATGCCTTTCCCTTTCTCGCCACTCTCAAAGCCTATGTCACTCCTGATGCTTTCACAGTGTCTATAGTCCCAGTTCTTTGATAGTCAGTGGGAACAGGAAGTCTTACAAGGTCATGGTACTTTACTTTCTGCTCAGATTATGGTGCCTGGAATGCAAAACAATATCCTGCTGAAGACTCTAATTCCAGACACTGAATACAAAGTCACAGTGACTCCCATCTACACCACGGGAGAAGGTGTCAGCGTCTCTGCCCCTGGGAGAACTTGTAAGTGAATCTTTATCTCCTTCACCTATGCTGGGTAAAGTATAGTGCAATGTAAGGGCAATGTAAGTTTAGGGACCAGAAAATCTGTCTGAATCTTGACTCCACACCCAGAAACAGTGCAATTTGGGCAAGCTATTTAGCATGAATAGGCTCCAGTTTTACTTTCTGTAAAAGCTGAAATGAGCGACATCTCATAACTCATCACAAGTCCTGGAGATTCACCAAGGTGGAGTCTTCAGGCCCTTGAACTTTCTCCATGTTTTGTGGGACCACAACAATCTAAGTCTCTCGGTGGTGCCCCCCCTTCTTCTTTTCCTTTTGTAGGCATAGTTTTATTTTTTTAAATAAGCATATGGCAAATGCGCTTTCTTTTTATTACAGTTCTGTGAGTTTTAACACATGGATGGGATGGGTTCATGTAGCCATCACCACTACAGTAGAAAAACAGAAAGCAATTATGTAATTCCCCGGCACTTCTTATGCTGCTAATACTCTTTGTAGCACTGTCTTGCTCATAGACCCACCCCCTAGCAACCTCTGTTGTTTCAAATTAGTCAGTTTTGTTGTTGTTGTTGTGATACACTAACTGAGACAATCAACTAAAAAGAGGGAAGATTTCTTTCCTTCCACAGTTTCAGAGGTTCTAATTTCTGGGAGCCCATCTATACACTTCACTTTTATATGCCAATCTCTGACAGTACCATGTGGTCCCAGGAGGCATCCTAAAACTTTTAAGATGCATTGACCACAGTTAAATGAGGAATCAGCACCACTAACTCTTTTCTGCCATTATTAATGCCTATTCTTACATAGACCGCCCCAGAATTTAGTGGCTTCAAACAGTGACTATGCTTATTATATTATATTTTCTGACACTGTGGGTTAGGAAATCAGGCCTTGCTATTAAATTCTTTTGCATCAAATAATGATACAAATTATGTATATTCATATATATTACATATATATGCACACATATGTATAAAATGATATAAATTATCATTACTTACTGGTATTGACATTGTTGGTGGGTTGGTCTATATGCCTGACATCTTGGTGAGGACAGCTGCAGGGTCCATCTGTCTCTATCCATTCACCTCAGAGGCTCTCCATATTTATCACAGGGTGATCCTGCACTGTAAGAGGAAGATTTCCAAGAGATGCCACTGCCACATAATCTATGGCTAAAATAGTAGTCAGAGAATCCATCCAGATTCAAACAGAGACTCATTGCTTCCAGTTCTTAATGGAAAGAGGGTCTAAAAAAATCTGTGACCATTTTAGTCCATCACTATTGACAAATAGTTACATGGGATTGAGTGCAGAATAATGTCAGTGATTAAGTTCTGTGCCTTACTCTTGTATGTGGGTTTTCACCTAAGTCAATATAAAGAAGGAAGCAGAAATTCCTCTGACTCTCACCACCAAGGATAATCACCAGTCACATTGTGTGAGTAGCATCCTCAATACGGACAGACATGTGTATTCTGGTGTATGTGGACCACATTGGTGCAAAGATAGAGTTTTTTAATAAGCACCATTCAATTTTATTTTTGGTTAAAATTAATTGAAAAGAGAACCATCATAGTTTGAATGAACCTCTAGATCTCAGATGAAACTCATTCATCACAAGAGCAATTTTTCACATAATGTAGTTTAAAAACACACACACAGACCCCCCCCCCCCACTGTGAGCATTATTGCTTGTCCCTTGCAAACATGTTTAACTCTGTAGGGAAAGGACTTAAATTTCATTGGCAACAAGAGAAGGTCCCCAAGAAGGAAACTATACTGAACCTCTTCCTTCCCCTATTGTGTTTGCACAGTGCCATCCTCTGGTCCTCAGAACTTACAGGTCTCAGAAGAATGGTACAACAGATTGCGCATCACATGGGACCCACCATCTGCCCCCGTGAAGGGCTATAGGATTGTCTACAAACCTGTGAGCGGTAAGTTCCTCTCAGAACCACGAGTAGATATCTCAAGTATATATTTTTTTTAAAAAAATTTAATTACATTTCAAAAAATTGTGTGTGTGTGTGTGTGTGTGTGTGTGTGTGTGTGTGTGTGTGTGTGTGTGTGGTTTCCTTTGCCACAGCATGCAAGTAGAGACCAGAGGACAACTTGGAGTCAGTTCTCTCCTTCCATCATGTGGGTACTAGGTGTCCGACTCAAGTGGCCAGGCTTGACAGCACTCACTGCCACCAAGTATATTTTAAGATCATTTTGGACACTGTTTCCATCCGTGTTTGCTTTTATAAATTAAACAGCTAAGACTTGCTTCCTGTCTTTTCTGAGGAGAAGAGGTTTTTAGTATGGTCCTTGTTGGGTAGACATCATTAGAAGGATGAAACGATGACCTCATGTGGTACACTAGCAGGCATACCAACTAACAGAATAGAACATCTACTTGGTGTGCATCTCCCTGACCTAATCTCACCCTAGGCCAGGAACAAGTCTAAGGAAAGCTGGGCTCCCCAGGAGTAGGAGGGTTTATAGCTCAACGGATGCTCAAGCTCTAGACATTTAAAATTTGTACGTTGGACTTCTTCTTTTGTTTCTTCTTGCATAAGCTGGATAAATTCCATCAATAGACTTTTCTTTGTCTTCATTTTAAAAGTATGTTGTGGGGTAAAACCCATCAAAGTGAAAAACTGCTTCATGAGAGACTCTCTTTTCTACCTCCAGATCACTGTATACTCTGTGTCTTTATTCTCTGACAATATATGTATGCAGTGTATCTTGACCATATCTACACTTAGCTCCCTCTTCCCACTCTCTTTGCCCCCATGTATATCCCCTACATCATTATATTTTAAAGGCAGACGAACAGTTAAAATAGGGAGTGCCTTTACCCTAGGTCTGTAGGCTGTGAAGGGGAACTTCGGTAGCAGAACTCATTACAATTCTGCCTCTCTAATAGCTTCACACTCTCATGGGAGTTTAAACAGGAAAACTATGTATTATAAATACGTTTTCAATTTTCTAGACCTGATCTTCAGAACTCTGGCTGTTCAGCAGAGATCAGAAATCCAGTTTTTCTTAATTTGGCAGGAAAAAACAGTTAAAAGCTATTTGGAGGGCCATGAAAAACTTTTTTTTTCTCTCAAAAACTTCAATGGTCTCAATCTGTCATCTTAGGCTTTGCTAAAGTCCTTGTTTCAATCTTCATTTTTATTCTTCTGATAATTATCCATCCCGCATGACTACAGTAGCTCCACTCCAATTTCTCCAAGAAAATAAAGTAGTGGGCATAGACAATGGCCTGCTCCACACTGACTTCTTCAGACTCATCACTGATTTAAATTTTTTGTCTCTTTGTTGTAGGTCTAAGGTGTATACTAGTTTGTAGAAATCGTTATAGATGTTTTCTGGATCTTTTGAAAAATATGTATCATATTATCTGAGTACAAATATTTGCCTTGTATTAAACTTGTCAATTGCTATAGTTTGCCCTCAGTAGAGACAGGTTTGACTGCCACACCCTGGGGTCTGAAGCTTTCATCTAGTAGACACTGGTAACTATTTTCCAATTCCCAGTACTCTTCTTCCTTAGAATAATTGTCTGCAGTGTCCAGCATGTCGGTAGTCTTGTGGTTATCCTGGACAGGTGATCTTTGTAGCATAGGAAAATACTACTGCTTACAACACATACATCCAGAAACACATAAATATGCTGTTAGAAGGAGGTTTCTGGAGGAAAGTGATGAGTGTTTAGAAATTATCACTAACTCAAAGCTCTTAGAAGAATAGACACATAAAAGACAGCTAGGTAAAAATTATAATGGGACACAGCACAGAATGCTCTTAAATATGTAAGACTCCAGTGGGTTGAATCCAGTCGAAGACACAAATGCCTCAAAATCCAGCTGAGCTAAGGCCATGGTATAGGAGTAGATGGAACTACAGTGGTGACCTCTACACAGATCTTCCTGTGACAAGATGTGGTCTGGTGTCCAGGATAGAGCTTTCTGTCCTTAACATGTGCTGTGAACAAAGCAGCTCTGTAAATAGAGACAGTTGGGAATTAACTAGGCAAGTGCTGATTGCTTTTTAAAATATAGACGTCAGAATAAGGTGATGGGTGGATTAGTGAGGTGCACCAACTTTTGGACTAAGTACATGGGGTAAAACATTGCTGGAAGAAGGACTAAGTTTTAGAGATACTAGCTTCAGCCTACTTGTTTGATGCTGGGTCATCCTGGGCAACTGCCAAGAGTTGGTTGAGTAGTTTTCTCTGAGGACGCATGCATGTTGTGACTGTAGTATGTACTCCGTCTCTTTTAGGTCACGGTCAAACTCTGGAGACTTTCGTGGGTGCTGACATTAACACCATTGTTATCACAAACCTCCTCAGTGGAATGGACTACAACGTGAAGATATTTGCTTCCCAGGCCACAGGCTTCAGCGATGCTCTGACTGGCCTCGTGAGAACACGTAAGCCTGATTGATGTCTGCTCGCTCCAGCCCCGTCGGTGACTTTGTGCTTGGTTTTTCCTGTGACTCATCGCTCGATTTCATTTTTAGTGCAACCATTGGCTTTTCTTCCTTCCTCATTACCCTTTCTGGAGGGCACTTTGTGGAAAGAAAGGTGTGGTAGTTTCTCAGGGCTGTCCAGAGACCTAGTTGGCAAGCAGATGCCAGCAACTGCTTTTTCCAATCGGCTTGATGGTTGCAGATAGGATTTCCCTCTGGAAAATCTGTTGGCACTTTTCAAATTAGGTGAATTTTTCCAAGCAGCCTATATTCTGACATGGCCAATGCCAGCCAAAGCTGGGCCAAGGAGAAGTTTGCCTTTTCTCAAAGTATTGCCACTCACCACCCACACAATGATCTCTCCTCTCTGTCTCTGTCTCTGTCTCTGTCTCTGTCTCTGTCTCTGTCTCTGTCTCTCTCTCTCTCTCTCTCTCTCTCTCTCTCACACACACACACACACACACACACACACACACACCCCACCCCACATCATCTATTGAAAGTACATGTCATACCACTCTAAGGACTTCGCATAGTCTTTTATGGATTTTCAAGTTGGGATTTCTCATTGGCATCAGAACCCTAGACACATATGGAATTATGTAGGGCTTGCTTTCCAACTTTCAATAGATGTGTTCTGTTGTTCTGAAATTTGTTATATACTTCCACACCATCTGTTGTATGCATTTCTTTAGGTCAACTTATATTTTTAGATCCAAATACTTAAAAAAAACCCATATACCTGTGATACACACTATTGGTACTTTTTATACAGAGTGATTATACATCCCAGCACTCAGGAGGTAGGGGTAGGCAGATCTCTGGGAGTTCCAGGACAGCCACAGCTACATAATACAGGGATCCTGTCTCAAAAACAGAACAAAATTAAGCACCCATAAACACACACACACACACACACACACACACACACACACACACACACACACACACACCACACAAATGTGCTCTCTGTGTTGGAGTACTCTAGGATGCCTGTAGCTTCTGTCTCTCCCTTGACCATTGAGGCGGCACTGTTTTGGGTACTAGCACTGTCTCTCAGTACGTTCCCCCACTTTGCTGTGACAGTGACCCACAACCTCCCCCATTACCACACCCAAGTCCCGTGTGCACGTCACATCTTCAGCCTCTCTGTCTTCTGTTCACCCCCTCTGGTTCACCCTTATGTCTCTGCCACTTGTTGTGTCTCCAGAGTAACTTTTATTGCCAGCTTTTTTGTGTGCTTATTTCCCCCCTTCTGTAGTTCTTTTTTTCTTTTCCATTTCTCTTCATTAGTAAGTATGTTGAACATTCCAAACACATTTTTGAAAACAGAGAACATTAAATTATTTTATACTCCTATCCATTAAGTAAAATTTAAACAATTTTTGCTTGTTCTCTTTCTCCCAAGCAAAATACAACTACACACAATGGCAGATAATTCAGTTTTTAGCATGGTTGTTCTAATTCTTCTTGTTCTTTTCTTGTGTGGGGAAGGGGTATTTCAAATGACTTTAGGAAGTGAGACTTCTCTTGCTGCTCCAACAGATAGGAGTCATATAAGGATGTAAATTGTGCTTAGGTAAGATTATTTTACTATCTTAAAAACAATAATTATGAAGTATCTTTTTTATGAGTTAGCTAAGAGACAGGTGACATAAGAGAAAAATCATATGGAAGGAAGAGATCATTTGGGAAAACAAATGTGAATTTTTTGCTTTTGATTCTAAATGATAAACACCAAATGCTTACTTTTATATTATCCTGGAGAAATCTTTCCATGGCTTCCCCACATTATCTTCCTTGTAGACCAGCATTCTAAGATGAAAAGGAATTCAAGGGTGTTAAATTATTTGTTACATGTGCATATTCTACATTTGAAAGTTTCAAAAAAGTTCATTTTTATTCAATTTGTATTTTGTTTTATTTTTATTTTGATTGAACATTAATTACTGCACATATTTGTAGGGTATGTTGTGGATTTTTAATACTTGCATACATCACAAGATCCAATTGGGATCATTAGCATATGCCACCTTAAATGTTTATCCTTTCTTTCTTGGTGGGACTACTCAAAATCTGCTGTTCTTTTGATTCCCAAACCTGCAGTGCACTGGTAGATGCTATAGCAGCCCCACTGTGTGGCTAGCCCAACTGTGTGATGGGACTCTTGACTTCATTCCTCTCTCAGTGACTCAGAACAGCTAAGGAGCCTCTCTCTGTCATTTCCCAGCCTCCCTACTGTCCCCGGTGGCTGGTAGCAACCCTCTGTCTCTAATTCTATGAGGTCACAATGGCGCATCTATTGATATTTAAAATAATGAATCCTGTCATTTTCAAAAAAGCGTATGAGCCTAGAAGACATTGGGCCAATACTGGACACAAAAGGACCAATGTCACAAAACCGTCCACACAGTGCCTAGGCTTTGCAAAGCCACTTTTGATTGTGTAACAGGCCCATGTCTACCTGCTCTTCCTTTTGATTTAAGCCACGGCTGTTCTCATTCCCCTGTGAGTCCATCCTGTATTACTCTGGGTTATATGGTCATTGTGGAACAGGCAAAGGTACACCTCATAAAGGGGAAGCTTAGGTATCCCCCATTCCTTCAGGACCCGTTGCTCTTACCTTTTCCTATGAATATATGTGTCCTTTTCATTATGACTATCAGACACTCTGCTTCATAGGTCTTGTTTTGCACACATTTATTTAAATGATAAAATAATTATCTTCTCTTCTTCAGTTTTTTTTTTTTTTTGTGTGTGTGTGTGTGTGTGAGTTGATAAATTTCCCACTTCTGAGTCTGGTGCTCTGAATGAAAATTTTTATCATAAATGACTTCCAGAACTGGGTATCATGTGTGGCATTATCCGCAGTGTGACAAAGTTTTGTTTCTGTTTTGTTACAGTGTTCCTGGGTGTGACAGATCTCCAAGCCAATCAGGTTGAAACAACAAGCTTGTGTGCTCGGTGGCAAATACATCGCCATGCCACAGCCTATAGGATAGTTCTAGAATCCCTTCAGGGTAAGAACAATTTTGTGAAGTACTTGCATGCTTGGTTCTATGCAAAACATGGTGGACAAGTCAAATCAGGCCAGAGTCCTCTTTTGGAAGCTTCATGTTCAGGGCTCAGAGATGCAGCATGTGACATCAGACCAGTTGACTTTAATTCCTGAACTTTTCCCTCATCTGTTAACAAATATTACCATAGCATTAGTTTTTTTTGGGGGGGGCGGGTTGTGAGGTATAACCTGAAAAAAATGCATGTAGAAGCTCATCCATTGATGCTCTGCACCCAGCAAGCTCGTAAATGGTGTGAACTGCCATTGGTCATACATACATACATACATACATACATTCAAGTTTCATGCTGTTAGCATCTTGTTACCTGCTCCATGGTGACCAGCTTGAAATGGCATGTTTTCCTGAGCATTTCTTCATCTTAGTGGTAACTGGTGAACATATCCTAATTCAGGAGGAGGCCTCATGTATCAATATCAGCCTGAGCAAGTTGCAGAAATTTCTTCAGAACATCTATGATTTGAAACTTTGCTCTCAAATTTTAACACTAAAAACCTCTCCTTGTCCTCTTTAAAAACATCAAAGACAACAAGAAGCCAATCATTCCCAGGATCAGTGGTCATTTCAGTATCAGCATGGACACTATTTGGCAAATGAAATCAAAATGAGAATTACTATGATTAAGCTAATAGAAAAGTATAAAATCCTGGGGATTACATGAGACAATGGAAAAATCACAAATGAAAAGTTTTAGGTTCCAAACTTGAAACAAAAATTATTTAAAAATGTAACCTGTTTTTTTTTTTCTGAATAAGTGTTTTCCCCCATTTATTAAGATAAGAGAGAAAGAAACAGAAAGTTGAAGGAACCTTTGTTTTTCAGTTCATTCAAAATAAAATAAAATAAAAACATTCAAAATAAAGAAATATCACTTTTATCTCAATCCATAAGGTAGAAATGTGGCTTAATAGGCTGGTGGGACCATTTGGAAACATGTCTCCTGTAGATCATGAGCTGCAGTAGAAGGAACTTTCTAGAACAATTTTTTGGTCAGCTCCAGTCAAGATAGTGTCTCCATAGACTTATGCCACCGTGTCCTTGATGCTCTCGTGTAATAGAAGCCCGACATTGTCTTCTTATACAGGAGTGGTTTAAAATAGAATAAACAGTGAAGGCAAGGAAAACTTTGAAAAGAGTTACAAATTTTGCGGTTGTATGAAATATGAATTATGGATGCTTAAGCCAAAGGATATGAAAGATATGCGTGGAGAAACAGCTGCAGAATTTGAGTTATATTTCCTATCTCTTTATAATAACCATATTTAATATAGCAAGGTTGATATTTACTGGCATTTATTAGGTTTAAATAAAAGCTTAATAACTACCCTCCCAGACTGGCCCACAATAATCGTATCCTTTTGTGTAGCTTAAGAACTCACAAAGATAATGTGAGTTCTTGTAGGTAGTCATTATATTTTATAAAAAAAATACTTTATCATTTGGGTTGATGAAAATTAGCTTAATTACTGGAATTAATACCATTTAGAGGTAATTTTTGTTCAAGATTTTAGGACAATGTATTTGCAGAGAAGCACTGGGATTCTTTAGCAGAAGGTATGATTAGTGTGTATAACTATTGATCTGGTGACTTCTCGCTGAAGCTAGGGCCTTTGGTGGCCACAAAATGAGTCAGTTCCACACTCCCTCAGAATTATTTTCAGGCTGCCAGAAACCTTCCACACTGGATCACTCTAGCCGTCAGAATGTACAGAAGTGTTTCTTTACTTACCATCAATGTTTGTAGCTGAGGGATTTAGGAGCTGAATTAGCTCAGTTGCCTCTCATCCAATGGCATTTATCACACCAGATATCAATCAAGAGCTGCCAAAAAGATGTTTGGTGAGGTGAGTGTGGGGGTAGCTGGAGGGAATGCAAGTCTGATGTTTTAGCTGATAGAACTTAGTTCAAAGAATTGGGTTTCTTCTTTGGAGGGGGAGAGAATAGGGTGGAGCATCTTCATCTTACAGAGAAATGTTGCCCTGGCTCATTGTCTGTGAAGGACTTGTGGGAAGATGCCCTTCATTCCAGAGGGAGAATAAATCCCAGGTTTTGACCATGTAACATATTTTATTGGCTACATATATTGCCTCTGCAGAACTTTCTCTCGCTCTGCCCCAGTCAGAGGAGCTAGCAGGGAGAAATGGGGCCGATACCTCCTGTGGTAGGCCCACTTACTGCTGAACGCCTCAGTCACGTTTCTAGGGTTGCGTGAGTAAATATTATTTTTGCCCTCATATATTCCCCATGGTGTGATCATGTACACCTTTATTCTGATGTGACATCAGTAGAGATGTCTCTGCTGGGACCTCAGATTCTTGTCAGCTTTCTTCTCCAAGCTTCAGTTTCTCAAAAATCACCTCATTTGAAATTATTAACTGTGACAGTTACCCACACATTCCCAAGGATCTGTAAGCAAACTTACAGGCTGGACCATTCAAACGTGTTTATTACATTTACAGAAACCTAAATAAAGGGAGTTAAGCAAAGGATCCGTTCACAGGCTTATACATTGAGAGACTTGGACGAGTTTAGCTTCAGGCACATCTGGATCAGGTGTTTGAACCGTATCCTTGAGCTGGAGTCTTGCTCCCTCCGACTCTGCTTTTCATTCTCAACCAGGCTCTGTGAGTGGGCTCCAGTCACATCCACTGTGACATCCTTGCAGTTTCTAGCTTCACAGGCTTGGTGAAAAGAGAAATTTCTTTCTCAATATTTCCAACAGAAGTCCAGAAACTGAGTCATACTGGTCTGGTGTGATCACATGCCCCTAAATCTGTCATTGAGTGCACAGGGATGAAATAAACAGACTGGTTGGCCCTGGTTGCTTTCCCTGACTGTGTCTGGTGGCAATGGCCAGGAGTCGCAGGGTGGTATTTAATGCTGTCCAGATTATAAGTATGAAGAGGGGGAGGGATGGATCCAGAGAAGGAAGGATGCCATTCAAGGCTGGCAAACACAATACATCTGCTTGGGTAAACATTATGTCATTTTTATGGTTAGGAGGGGGAAAAAGATCACCAGAAGGACAAGGCCCCTCCGGGAAAACACTGAAAGAAAAGTTGCCAGTTATCCATTTGCCAAATTCAGGAATAGGCTTTGGTTAATTCTGGCATAGATGGAAGTGAGAAACTTTCAGTTGGTAACTCAGACCCCTGTGAGAGCCCCATTACATTCACTGTTGCTCTCCTTTTCTATTTGTTTACAAGTTGTCATGGCAGCTAAGGTTAGATACACCATTTCTCTTTGAGTTCCAGCCACAGAGGCCCCAATGCTGTGTCTTCTCGCTAATTTGTATAACTTGGTGAATTCCTACAGACTGCTTAGGAAAGAGTTCAGAGGGCAGATCCCCTCTTTTCTCCCTTTAGGTGCTCAGATGCCAACTGCGTGGGAGTATCTGCTATCTGGGATAGAGGATGGCAGAGTATTGGAGTATCTACCTTACCAAAGGCCAAGGTTCCAAAGAAATGTGCACAGAACCTACTTCAAAATCAAATTGTCTAATGCAGAGGCACGGTGATTGGAGGTCAGGTATTTGAGAGACCCAGGAAAAGGAAGTATTCATGTCATAAAATTCTCACATGGTCCTTGTCCCAGTCCTTAGTAGCCTCTGCATATAGCTCTCAGTAGCCACTCAAGACATTTTGGGTGTGGGGTTGGGGAGTCAAGGTGGTGATGTCATTACCAACGTGATAACAATCCAGAGAATTTAGATTACCTTGCTTCTTAGAAATAAATATACAAAACCTGAACATCGTATCCTGTTCCAAAAAGTAAACCAAATTAACTTTCTACTTTGGGCAGAAGGATCGAGAGGATTAGTCATCCTCCGATCGGTTTAGATTTTGTTTTCCTTTAAGACACAGCCATTAGGCTTGAATGGCACATGCCAAAAGCGATATGTGTACACCCCAACTCATGGAACCCCTCTTTGTTAGTGTTGGGAGTCAAACTAATACTGTTTGCCATTAATTTTAATGTGCCCATTCTAATTTTCCAAGAGTTTATAGATTTATTATTTTTTGCGGTAAAGTCCATTAATATTCTATTTTCAAGGGTCTTTAAACTACACAGATATCCATGATAAATAGGAAATGGCAGAAATAGAGCATTTCTAGAGATGATTCCCTGGAGAATCCATGGAAAACTTTTGTGGTCATAGATCTTTATGCTCCATGAATAAGATTCAGGAACTGCTTGTATTAGGGGCAGCTTACAGAGACCTCCAGGCAGTTGCGAAGGATGCTAGGAGCTCAGAAAGAAATAGGTATTGGGGGTTTCTGAACCTTGGAACCACAGAGCGAGCTTGGAAATTAGCAAAGCCAAGCACTGGGTTTCCTAAGTCTGTTTCATTCACAGTGAAACATAATCCTATAAAATGTAACGATTTTTAAATTTAGTGTTATTATCACAGAGGGAGGCCATGTGGAGGTCAGAGGGCAGCTTTTGGAATTGGTTCTCTCTTTCCACGTCTACATGAGTACTAGGGATCAAACTCAGGTCAGCCGGTGTGCTGGGCCAGCATCTTCCAGCTGAGCCATCTTGCTGGCTCAGTAACCATGCTTTTTACTTCATCATTACATGTGATATATGAGAAATAACTAAGGTAGGCAGTATTTAATTGTGAACAAATATATTCGGCTTTCTTTCTTGTAGTGCTGAGGATCAACCCCAGGCCTCATTCATGCTAGAGAAGCCCTGAGCTATACTCTCAGGACAGTGCAAGTATATTAATAAATATTACTTTATAAAGTTCACTTCTGAAATTATTTAATATTCACAATATACAAAAATGAATTTCCAAAGTCATTTACCAAATGACTTTAATTTCCAGTCAAGATTTGTCCATAGCCAAAATTCAAAATAATGTTCATTATGATAAATAAATATTGATACAGATTAAAATATAAGATCAAAGTTTATCTAGATGACATACGTTCTAAAAGACAAAAGTTCTCTGATGTTTTGACTTAATAATTAATTCATCAAAATAGATAGATTTTGAACATATATTTTGTATATATTCTTTTAAAAAATAAACTTCTAAAGTGATATATTTGGAGAAGTAGATGGCTCTTATTAACCATTAAACAAAATATGTAGTAAATTGAATCCATGAAGCCTTTGACAGTAGTTTCTAAATTCCTAGCAATAAGCAGTTGTAAGACTTTGATTAAGCAAATGCAATTTTGAGTTGGAGAGATGGCTCAGCAGTTAAGAGCACTTGCTGCTCTTGCAGAGGACCTGAGCTAGTTCCCAGAACATTTGTGAGCATGGCTCACAACTTCTTATCACTCTAGCTCTAAAGGGCTTCAACACCTTCTTCTGGCCTCTTCAAGCACCCACACACACATGACATACTCTCCCACAGACATACACACATACACATAAATAAAAAAAAATCTTTAGGAAAAAACAAAGACACGATTTATGGAATGGAATCTAGAATTAATCCTAAGGGAAGTTTTGAAAGCTACATTTTATTTGTGTATTTGGTGGCAGAGGAGTGGGGAGGTGGGACACATGCATGCCACAGCAAGTGTGGAGGACCATTGTGGGAGCTGACTCTACTCTTCTACCATGTGGATTCCAAGGGTCAAACTCAAGTCCTTGGACTTGGTGGTAAATACCTTAACCCACTGAGCCATTGTGCTGGTCCCTAGAGGGGAATTTTAATAATTGTTGTTTTTTAGGTAATAGTGATTCTTCCTTCCAGTCTGTTATCCATTATGGCAAAAAGTGAATATTATGACTAATTCTGAAACTTTTCAGTAATTTAAAACCAACAAAAGCCAGCATGGAATTATTAGGATCCTTTACCTGGTCTCTAGTTAGTGAGCACTACACAACTCTCAAATTGTTCATTTTGAAGAATGGAGTCTTTAATTTACATTGTTTTATGATGTAGTAGTGGATCGTAGAGTGACTCCTTCTGAGACCCAAATTTAGAGTTTCAATTCAAATTTCAGTTCTATGGCTGAGCCAGGGACTATAGTAACTGGTCAATGTTTCTGGCCTCCATTTCTTGTCTTTAGATTGACAATAATTACAAGTGGTATAAGAATAGAGTGGACTAAATATACATAAAAATTTTTATGCTAGTTCTTGGCACATGGTAAACATTTCATTCAAATTTTTGACCATTATCATTTGTAATGGTGGTCATCACTGAAGAAAAAACATGGAACCTGGAATAAAATAGGCTGTCAATAAATGATACAGCTGATTAATCCAACTCCTCTGGTTCTGGACCTCAGGGCCAGCATTAATTCTTCCAGAGAAGTATAGCAATTTTACTGTGGATATGGGCAAAGAGAAGGGGACCAACAGTTACTCTTCCACTATTCTTTATGCCTTCAACATGGTGAAGACAGATATGATGATGTGCAGCTGGTGTATGCAACACAACTCTTTGGTAGAATAGAATGGGCCTGATTACCAATGACTGGGAGACAATACTCCTGGCTCTGTGGCCTTAAACCACTTAAATGCCATGTCCATGTTGAAAGAATAGAAAGGGGTTCATAGTGCAGTCAGGGAGTTTAGGAGGGCACATTAAGCTTGCTGAGTCTTCTTCATGATAGACATGACAAGCTAGACATGGCGTGACATGATAGACATGACACAGGTGTCAGCTAAAAATCACGACTGGAGATGGGGGATGTTGCTTGGGGATAGAATGCTCCCCTAGTCTGCACAAGGCCCAGGGTTCAATCCCTAGCACCCAATAAAAGTGTGCATGGTTGCACACATCTGTTATCAGGATCAGAAATTCAAGGTTGCTTTTAGCTACATAATGAGTTCAAGATCAAACTAAGCTTGGGGTATGGGTAGGGGGTAATGAGAGAGGAAGAAGAGAAGTCTTCAGTGGGATAAAGGGGGAAAAAGAGGGTGATAAAATATGTGTGACATGAAAGCAAAGGGGGGGGGATCTATTTGAGGAGACAAAGGGGACCACAAGGAGAACAGGGAAGGACAGTAGGGAAGGGGAATGATTTAAAACAAAGTATAATCACACATATTCATGAAAATGCTGCGATGAAACCCATCATTTAAATACTAATTGAAAAAGTATGAGTGACAGAGAAGAAACTAGGCTCTCTGGAACTCCTACATTATTCTGGTAATTCCCCAAACTTTTGTGCGTGCTTTTTTTGAGAACAAATTCCAATTACAGTGTCTTATATGATGCTAAATTGCAAGGAGTTAAAGATCTGTCCTTCTATGTCATTTTGTGACCATGTGACTATGTTCTGGTGAATCAAGCTGAATAAAAGGAAGTTTAGTGCAACAAATGGGCTAAGATGCATGCATAAAATTATGTGCAGCAATAGTTCTTCATTTATTAAAGGCTTGACGTTGGCAATTTTAAAAATAATAAGCCTTATTTTGTCCATACTAAATGTAATGTTTAACAGGAAAAAAATTCAGTGGATATATAAAACCTTTTTTTTTCTTTTCAGTTTTTTTTTAAGACAGGGTTTCTTTGTTTAGCTTTTTGGAGTCTGTCCTGAAACTCGCTCTGTAGACCAGAACTCACAGAGATCCATCTGCCTCTGCCTCTCCAATGCTGGGATTAAGGGTGTGTGCCACCACTGCCCAGCTGGATATATAAAATCTTTACCTGGAGATACAATACTACCAATGAACATGAATGCTGGGGTTGAATGATAAAAGACAATTCCTATTACGCATTTTAGAAACTAATAATTGAAATAATGACTGTTTCTTTTTTAGCCATTATATGTATGTTTTGTTTTGTTTTAATTGTAGATACACAAACACAAGAATCCACCTTAGGAGGAGGTGTAAACAGGCATTGCTTCTATGGACTTCAGCCAGATTCCGAATATAAAATCAGTGTTTACACAAAGCTCCAGGAGATTGAGGGACCAAGTGTGAGCATCCTGCAAAGAACACGTAAGTCAAATGTCTTCTGCTGATCCCCCTCATTAGGAGCGAATAGCGTATTGATAAGGCTCCACATCTTTGCTCTGTTTAGAAAAGTAATAGCTACTGCTGCCCAGGAGTATGGGCAATTCCCCTTTCTTTCTTTTATTACCCCAAAGTCTTTGCAATGCCCCTATACCGTCATCAGTATGTTTTTATTTCCATTCTCTATACATTGCACAAGAGACCACAAGGCCATCTGATGGCAAAAGGCTTGAAACAATGATTTACATTATGATCCAAATGCATAAGAAGCATTCATGGTATGTGGTGTGTGAAATTGAATTTGAGGACAATACCATCTTACCACAGCGATGAGGCTATGCTCAAAGCCAACATGTTCCAACTGGGTGACCCTGGAGTCATTGCCTCTTTAAGAGGCCCTTGTGCTCTTTTTCAACTTGGAACCCAGATTTGATGCATGGAATGGAAAAGCAAAGTATAAAATTAAAACAAAGCACTTTTTGCATGTTCTGAAGAATGGAGGGTATCAGCTTCTTGGGATGGCCTTTAATCTGAAGTTCTGACCTGCAGGCCACAGCTGTTAAGATGGATAAAATAGATTTAATAGTAACGGGCTGGGAGCAGTGGTGTTTGTATGCCTAACTGAATATCCTTAATTTAAATTCAAATTCCTGAGGATGAGCATCTGAACAGGTGATGGGCGATAGGCTTTCCTTCCTTTTTTGCATGGCATTTAGAAGGAACTCCCACCTTGTATAGATCTTCCAGCCTCCAGGACCATGGAGAAAGAAATCACAATCAGCACATTCCCTGAAAACACATTGGGTGAGCTGATGTGAAATAGCTCATGCTTTTAATTGCAGCACTCAGGAGGAAGAGGCAGGGGGATCTCAGTGAGTTCCAGGCTGTCCAGTGCGACACAATGAGATGCTTTCAAAAAAAAGTTGGTTAAAATATAATAAGTAGAATCATCTAAAATTTTTATATAGAAAATTTATTTCACAATAAATATATTTAACATTTTATACATGTGTTTTGACATATAATTTATGTATCATAAAACCTAATAGTCATTTTATGTGGCAACTCAGTTATTGTCAGTACATTTGAAGAATCATATAGACATCACTACCATTCCATCTTAAAGCATTTCCATCAACTCAAAGAAATCTTATCCATCTCTCTCCCATTTCTGTCTGTATGTAAGTCCTTTATTTTTCATTTTCCTTTCGTGGACACTTCATATGAATAAAAACATATAACATACAATACTCTGTATATGTCACATTTTGATTAGCATGTCTTTGAAATTTACCAAGGCCATAAAATGTATCCAGTGTTTATTTCTCTTATTGTTGATTATAATTCTGTTTTATGGATATGTATCATATAATTTTTGAAGTTCACAGGTCTTGGAGTCAAGCATGTATTATTGGATCTCTGTGAGGCCACTTTCTACTATCATAGTCTTGGGCTGCTCAACGCCTCTGAGATTCTTTTTGCTCTTCAGTAGAACTAACTATCTCTTTTCTTACCACCAATGTTGACAGGAGAGATTCAACATCTTTGAGCATCTGTTGAGCTTTTCAACTTATGTTTTATTGGACACATACTTTCATCTTCTCCCTTATTTTCTTGGGAGTCACAACCTATAGCCAAAGAACTAGATCTCACTAACATGTATTTTCTCTAGACCTTTACTTTGAAAGAAATTAAAATGTATTTTGAACACTTTGGACATCTTTCAAATACAGTCCATGTACCCTCCTGGTGCCAATCTGCTGGAAGCTGTTAATTGCTATGCTCTCAGGTTTATAGGCTAAGTTCTTTCTTCACACTCAGTGTTTGACTGTTAAAAACAATTGAGCCTGGGACCTCTGGTCTATTTTAGTATCCCCTAACCTTAATCTCAACAACTGTTAGCTACCATCTCAGGGTTAATTCCAATTGGGATCTCTTAGTTTGATGTAAATATTTCCCTGATGTGGAAGACATCTGTCTTCTTGTAGCTTCCTTCCATTGGCTTGAATTCAACTTTCTGAAGCAATGCAGATCAGGACTGTTTGTCAGCTCTGGGGCAGCCCCTCATATGGTTGAAGATAGGGACCATCTGTGTGCCACGTAAAGAGGATAAACACGTGGCACCAGCGTGTGTGCTCTTGATACCCAAGAGATTCTTTGGCCAGATGTTCTGCTCAAACAAACTGCCCCTTGATTTGACTCTGAGTGTATTGATGAAACTGAGGATATGTCTCAATCTTCTGTTAAAGAAAATGCTTAACAGTAAAGATGACCCATTACTCCCAAGTTATTTAAAGTTCATAAGCCAGGCTTTGGAAGCATTTTTAGTGATCTAATGAAAATTTTGCAATCATAGTTTTAGTATTAAAAACTCTCCCTTTCTCTTCTCTCTCTCCTTTTTAATTTTAGAATTCTCAAATAAGCAACAAAAACCTTAAAAGAAAAAAACAACAGTGATTCATGTATCCACAACAGAACAGCAGCAATGTACAAAGTGTCTCTTCCCTCATGCTTTCTTCCAGAAAGACATATTTCTACCATTGTGGTTTCTTCAACAAAAAGCTTTTTATTTTACGCACAAATGGGATCCTGCCATGGTGTTCCATGACTTGCTTTGTTTCACATAATTAGTTCATGGACATTTTTTTCTTTATCAGTAATATACAGTTACCTCATTCTTTCATACTGACTCATGCCACCTAGATCATTTAATTTCATTGAATCCCAGATTAGAAGAGACTACAAAAATTCATCTCTTCTAATGAAGGAATTCTCTTTATAACATCTGTCAGAGCTTGAACTCTTCCAGCTGCTGGCTGCTTGAAGCTGGACTTCCCCTTTGTGAATGGCCATTATGAGTAGAGGGACTTCCCAAATATTAAACTGGGATGGTCAGATTTTTCTGTTTTTTTTTTTTCCCCTAAGTCTTCAGTGTCAAGTCTTAATAAAAATGAAAAATAAAATATTACTTTATCTTTACCTAATGATACTGCAGCTCCTTGGTGCTTTACCATGTGAGTTGGCATAAGAATCACTCCTCTTTCTAACTTTCCCCGGGTCATCTTCATGGCAGGTTGAAAGTATCTGAACGCACTAAGTTTTTATTCTTGCTCCTCAGAACCGAAAGACTTTTTCCAGATGCACACTGAACAGAATAGACAGTGAATCACATTTCATTCGCAACTGGTATCCTTAGGGACACAGGGTGGGAAGGGTTAGAAGTGCCAGGGACCAAGGATTGATGGTCAGTACTTAGGCAGAATGGAAATGAAGTTCACTGTGTATGTGAAAACAGCCAGAACCTACATCTCAAAAGAAGGCTGGGCTTTCTGCCTTAAATCAACATCAGAACCACTTTGTAGTTGGCAGTTTGATTACGCGGACTCCTGCTGGGCAGACTGAATGGGGGCAGAATGGCATTTCAAGCCTTTGGTGTGCAATGAAAGGATGGATAAAACCACTTTTCACAGGCGGCGGCTAGTTTATAGCAGTCATTAAATTCTCAAAGAAGTCAGTTATCAACATCCTTGATAACCTTGAATAAAGATTTACTATATTGCTTCCCTCTGTTCCCTACAATGAGATCACTAATGGGGACTCTTTGTCCTTTTCCTTCCCAGAACCACCTCCCACGGAACCACCGACATTCCCTCCAACCATTCCACCAGCAAAGGAAGGTAAGAGAACAGTGAGGACAGTGTGAGTCTGCAGTCAAGATTTCTATTGCTTTTGTTTGTTCATTCAGTGAAAACCAGAGTGGCTGCTGGAGAGACGGCTCAGCAGGAAAGAGCACTAACTGCTTTTGCAGAGGACCTGAGTTGAGTTCCCAGCACCTCCATCAAGCAGCTCATAACCCTGTAACTCCAGTGATCCAAAGCCCCTGACTTTCTTGGGTATTGCACTTACATATGCAAACTCATATGTACAAATACACATCATTAAAAGAATAATAAAAATAAAAATTTTAGAAAAAAACCAAGGTATTAATACAAAATATTTATTGCCCCTACATAGTATAAGTGAAAAGCTAGTATATAATTTTGAATTCAAGGGGAATGGTCTCCAATTTTCCCCCTAAATGCCTCTGCAGGTTCTATTCTCATCTCAACACTTGGAGCTGCCAAGGTAATTATTAGAGGTTAAGCCTCTAAACAATGTAGTACTCATTAATTTTTCATCCCATTAACAAGCGTTTGTTACCTCTACTAGTAATTTTCAAAGTTCTTATGTGTGGTGGTATTGTGTTCCCCAAAATATTGTGTACCCTAATAAACTTATCTGGGGTCAGAGAACAGAAAAGCCACTAGATACTTAGGATAGGCAGTGGTAGCAAACGCCTTTAATCCTAGCATTCCAGAGGCAGAAATCCATCTGTTCAAGGATACAGCCAAGCATGGTGACTCACACCTTTAATCCCAGGGAGTGATGGTAGAAATCAGAAAGGTATATAAGGCATGAGGACCAGATACTAGAAGCATTTGGCTGGTTAAGCTTTCAGACTTCTAGCAGCAGTTCAGCTGAGATTCATTTGGATAAGGACTCAGAGGCTTCCAGTCTGAGGAAACAGGATCAGCTGAGGAACTGGTGGGGTGAGGTTAGCTGTGGCCGGTTCTGCTTCTCTGATCTTCCAGCATTCACCCCAATAAGTGGCCTCAGGTTTGATTTTATTAATAAGAACTTTTAAGATTCCTGCTACACTTATGTTAGGCACAAGGAATGCCATAATAGTACCCAACTGCTGCCGTTTGCTTACTTTCAGTATTATAAGAGAAATACGTACTAATGCAGATAGTAATGTCACTGGTAGGAGTGATAAAAGAGAAATTGGGTTATGATAGCCCAGGAGTAAGAATAATCAATGCCGCAGTTGATTAGTGACTGATAAACAGGGGAAATTTCATCTATAACTGAACCAGCTTGAGAGAGAAATAACAGAATAAATAATGCTCAGTGTCATAGAGTGATGTAAGTCCATCATGTGTTTTGGGGAACCATCAATGCTTTAATGAGACACACAGAAGAGAGTAAAGAGAGTGATGAAGGGAATTGTGTGCCAACATCAAGGATTTGTCCTTCAAAAATATGGTGCACAAGAAGTTCCCTTAAGGTGAGGATGACCTAATAAAATCTCTGCTTAGGAAAGATAACTCTGGGCCAGGGAGACGGCTCAGTTGGTAAAGTTCTCACTGCACAAGCATGGAAGACCTGAGTTCACACCCTACCATCAACATAAACGTTGGGTAAGATATATGTAACCTTGGGCAGATTATTGGAGCTTATGGCCCAGGCAGTCTAGCAAAAATGGCAAGCTCAAGTTCCAGATTCAGTGAGATACCCTGTGGGAAAAACACCTGGCATCAACCTTAGGCCTCCATTATGCATGCATGCACATATACACACATGAACACATGTACACACAAATGTTACGGTTCATAGTATTCACAGCTGGGTAAAAATGTGGGTGGTTTTCCCCGGATGCAGCCTACATAGTGTCTTCTGGATCTATGAAAGCTAGCCAGCAGGAAGGAAGCTTCCTGGCAGTACAGATATGATTTCTCCATAACCTGTGGCAAAGTGTGTGGTGTCCTTAGCAACAGGGTCTTACCATCTAGTTCTGGAGGGCAGCCGAGAGCAATAGGAATACCCTGTATTGTTTTGGAAATGTCTAGGACACCCTTGACCAGCAACCTTGAGGAGAGGTATTCCACATCTGGAATTTGGCTTTTTATTTGAAAACCTAGAATATAGGGTTTTTTTTCAATTATCAAAGTTATACTGGATACTTATTAGACAAGTATTTAAAATTAGAAAAAAAGGCTTAAAGAAGAAAATTAAAAACACAATTTTATATCCTAAATGTAATTTTTTCATGCATGTTGATGAATTTTCTTTTATTCTAAGCAAATGTTTCATTAGTAAAATTTAAAATACATTTTGAAGATGAAACTTAATGTTTGTTTCATCTTTCTTTTTAAACAGAGGACATGACTTCCTTTCTTGTTTATCATTAGGAGGCTTATTATAATCTTTTTCAACTCTACAGTCAGACTATGAATCTATGAAATTGTGCAAGTCACAGAGTTCACAAAAGCAAGCTTGCCAGATCCCCACTGTCCCCGAGTGTAAACCCACTTGAAGACGATTTGTCTTACCTTATAGGCAGCTGACAGGAGTGAAGTTACTATAACAGTAACCAGGCTGTTGTTTCTAAGGGAGAAATGCCGATTATCTCCTAGAGTGCTTGTATGAGACCGAACTAAGATGAAAAAATTGAGATTACTGAAGAACAAATTATGCGCATCATCATAAAACACAGTTAATCTCAATGATCCACATTAACAGAGGGTTGCATCCTGAGAAACAGCTTAGAGGACTTTGAAAGGGGGCTTTCACTGGAGAAGGGCCTTTTGGTTATATTATTGTGTGGGCTTTTTATTATGTTGGTATCCATAGTAACTACTGTTGATGGCTTCCTTCTAGTATTATTGTACTTTTTTGGGGTCCCTGTGTCAGTGGATGGTAAAAGGAGATAGGAAGAATTTTTGAGCAATGCAGTAATTAAAGTTTGCTTCTGTTTATTCCCAACGAATTGTAGATTTTTTTTTTAAAGACAGAGTCTCATGTAGCTTAGGCTGGCATCAAACTTGTCATTAGCCAAGAATGACCACGAACCTGTGAACCTCCTGCTCTACTTTGTCAATGCCAGGTATACAGGCATGGGTCACCTTCTCAGTTTTATGCCATGCTAGGGATCAAACTGAGCTCAAAGGTTTTGAGCATTCTGGGTGGGCACTCTGGCTCTGGCACCATATCCCCAACCCAAATTGTAGTTCATCTGATTCCATCATATCACACGTCTTCCTCCCGAGCTCGACTCCTCTGCTATTACTTCAGACTCACCAAGCAGATGACTGGGTGCACAGTGTGACTGCATAGACTTCTTCCCTGTCGGTAGCCATTAGACAGTGCCTGCTGTTTGCTTCTGACTCTACATCACATTCACCTCCATTTCTCCTATTCCTCATTTTCATTCTCTGTGGTGATTGTTGGATTTATTCTCCTCCCTATTCTCACATGTTCAGTAGAAGCTTTTCAGTCATCAATGGGCATGAAAGGGAAATAGTGGTGGTAAAGTTTTAGGAGCGTGGATGGTGATTCTTAATAGTTGAAGCTTTTTCTTTGGGAAAGAGCTTTAGTTACCAGAAGGCATCTGCTACCTGTCTTCTGGCTTGATAAAAATGTTATTTTCCTCTTACCTCTGACTCCAAATGTATTCTTTGTCTTCAGTATGTAAAGCTGCCAAGGCAGACCTAGTATTCATGGTGGATGGATCCTGGAGTATTGGAGATGACAATTTCAATAAGATCATCAATTTTCTGTATAGCACTGTGGGAGCCCTGGACAAGATTGGTGCAGATGGAACTCAGGTAAGGTTAACCAGCCAATCATTACATTATCCTATCAGGTAAGGCTAACCAGTCAATCATTACACTATACTATCAGGTAAAGTTAACCAGCCAATCATTACACTATCCTATCGGGTAAGGTAAACAAGCCAATCATTACACTATACTATGCATCCAGGAATTATTTCTTAGTCTCTTACTGTTTCCACTTGTCAGGGAATGTAATCAAAGAAATGCGATGAAGGAATGCTAATCCTTATAGGCATGTCCAGCCTGTTGCTAATGGATATATGCATCCAGGATTGCTATGATATTGCAAATGATAGCCTCATACTGTAACTTCAAAAGGTTGGACATCACTGCAAAAGCTATTGAGATTAGCAAATTAAAGATAGTACAAAGGACATTAGGGAGTATTTATTTTATATTAAGGCAGAGTATTTCCTTTACACATACTGTTGTCCCTGCCCTAAAGTACATGGAAGTCTTGAAAATCAGAGGCCAGGCCATGGTCACACATTTCTTTTTATTTTTTCCCTTTTCATTTTTCAAGACAGGGTTCCTCTGTGTAGCCTTGGCTGTTCTGGAACTCCCTCTGCATACCAGGTCAACCTCAAACTCACAGAGATCCACCTGCATCTGCCTCCCAAGTGCTGGGATTTAAGGTGTGCACCACCACTGGCTGGCGGTCACACATTTCTGAGGATCATGCAGAATATGAAACTATTTCATTCATCCAACAGATATCCATAGTTCATTGTTCCAAAAAAATAAAGCAGTCAACTGAAAACTGTCCCATAGTGTCACAGGAATAGAAGTAAATTGTAGGAAATTAAGGTAGAAAGATTTGGGCAGCAATGAACGAGATCACAGATTTTGAAATAGAATGTACTTGGCTTCAGCTGTTTGCCTTTGATCTTGACCCTATTACTTGATTTCATGTATCTCAGTTTCCTCCTTTGTACAGTGGGTGGAATCATAGTGGCTACTTTCTATTTGTGTCATAGGAAGCTCTTATAGAGAATACAACCCTGACTCTGTGGCACATCCATTTACCAGATTTAGGTCAACTTTTACTTGTTAAATGAAGTGGCAAAAGTATTTTAACCATTAGAAAGAATTTTTAAAAATCCTACTTCTTAATATGTATCTAGAACTTGAAACTTGGTTTGCCTTCAAATCTGATAGGTAACCTTTACGAAAATTTAATGTGAGGATTGGGTTAAGGAAGAAATGTAAATGATGGGTGATACTGTGCTACTGTGTTGTGTTTTCTGTGGAAAGTCCCTACCTGTGTAAAAGTGGATGTACCCTCTCTCTCCAGGTGGCGATGGTCCAGTTCACTGATGACCCCAGAACAGAATTCAAACTCGATGCTTACAAAACCAAGGAGACACTTCTTGATGCAATCAGACACATTTCCTACAAAGGAGGAAATACTAAAACAGGTAAGACCTAAACAGACAAATGATGCCCAGTGAAAGCTCACTGGAATCATTAGAAACTTCAGGATGACTTTTGTTATGTGACTTGTTGGTTTGTTTTGGTGCTGTGTATGGAATCCAGGGCCTTACATGTCCTCACTGGTATTTTCCCCTTGTGTGGCTGCCTCAGCTCTCAGGGCACAATAATTTTTCACTGATGTAACATCTCTGTCCTGCCCTTTGCTGTCTGTGAAAGCATGCGGAGGAGTGAAATGGAACTGTTGATTCTCTGTTTCAGGGAAAGCTATCAAGCACGTTCGAGATACCTTATTCACTGTAGAGTCAGGCACGAGGAGAGGCATCCCGAAAGTTATCGTGGTTATAACTGATGGGAGATCACAAGATGACGTCAACAAAATCTCCAGGGAGATGCAGGCCGATGGTAAGGTTCCCTTATGTGCACCATCATGGCTACTGAGAACAATGTTGGCACCAAGCCAATCAGCTTAATTAAATATCCCCCAGTGGATAATATGGGCTTTAAAAATCGCATACACTTATAATTCTGTAATTAGATGCTTTTATTAGAGACAAATATATGATTTGTTACAGCAGGGTTTCCTGTCTAAGGAACACCAGCAATGATTTACAATACTACTGAGAGGACCACTCTATAGGGTTAGGGAGAGGAAGGAGCTCATTATAGAAACTTCCCTGTCTTCTGATCTATAAAATAAAGGTTCTCTCGGGATGGCTGTGAAGATTCAGCTATATGAAATATGTATGATGATTTGTGTGACATCATCTAGACTCACCTGGAAAGGAAGTCTCAATGAGAGAATATAGAGATCAGGTTGGCACATGGGCATGCCTGTGAGGGGTTTTCTTAGTTAGATTAATGGAGGTGGGAAGGCCCATGCTGCATATGGGTGATGCCATTTCATGGGCTGAGCCCTGATCTGAAAGAGGAGAGGGTGAACTGAGCATTAGCTTGTGTGTGTTCTTTACTCTCCATTCCTGATGATGGATGCTATGTGACCAGTTGCCTCAAGTCCCTGCTGCTGTGACATCCCTGCTGGGATGGACTGTGACCTGGAACTGTGAGCCAAAGCAAACCCCTTCTCCCTGAAGTTGCTTTTGTCAGGGTGTTTTGCCATAGGAAAGAAACTAAGATGACATGCTTAGCATGTTTTTACATGGTGACCCAGTTTAGGCTGCTAAGCCTTAAGTTGTGCTTCAGAAGGGGGGAAAAGAAACCATTACTATTTAAATAGTACCTCATGCCACAGATGTCAAAGTAACTGTTAAGAATATGCAACTGTGAATATGTTACTCAAATGAGAAACATTTCTGGCTTATGCACCAACTGGGGCTTTAGTTTTGCTGAGTCTATTTTAAAATGGAAAATTTCTTCAGGGTATGATGGAGTAATTCTCACATAATGTAATATGCACATGAGGAATTCTGATGAATGGTAAGAAATGAATTAGCCAATCCTACTGGGCTTCCTAAATGAGTACATTTTAAACATCTGGGCATTCAGCATCTTGCATTGTTTGTATTTTGTGAAGCTTAAGTAATTGAACACCTGCTGTGTGTCATCATAGGATACAACATCTTTGCCATTGGTGTGGCCGACGCCGATTACTCAGAGTTGGTTCGGATCGGCAGCAAACCCAGCTCACGTCACGTCTTCTTTGTGGATGACTTCGATGCCTTCAAGAAAATTGAGGATGAACTGATTACTTTTGTCTGCGAAACCGCATCAGCAAGTTAGTTCTTCAGAAATTGCATTCCTGAGCATTGTTTAAAACCTGAAATATCGAATACTGGTTAAGTACAGAGTCCCATCTAGAACTGAGAAAGAACTGTTGATTCCCATGGGGTATTTATCGTGCAGGTGTTAAGTCCTATGGTTTTGTGCATATGAGGTAAACGTCTTCTCTGTTTAAGTTGATGAAGATGGTCCCAAGTTGATGACAATTTGTATTAAACACAGGAATGTGAGACAGGATGATGGCACCAAGGTTGAGGCCAGCTTGGAATGCTTAGTATCAGACAAGGTTACATAGGAAGACCCTGTCTTAAAGCAAACCAAAAATAAACAAATGTAGGAAGTAGTTTTCAAAGATGTCTTAATCAAAACATCTCTCAACTTGGGCTTTCAAGTAACAACCATTGATTTAATGGATCCGGGAGAGTGGTTAGAAGCTATGGCCCTTTAGTTCTAGATGGAACACTAGATAACCACAGCCACATTGTCTTAGAGTTACTCCACAGTTCAGGTGTGGGAAGCTTAGGGAAGGTTGTGTTAATTGCCTGTGCCCACAACAATGAAACCATATATTTGGGAGATACATAAGATGGGCTTTTACATTGCTTGCCTTGTTTTTCAGCCTGCCCAATGGTGCACAAGGATGGAGTCGATCTTGCAGGTATGCACTGTCACAATTTTTTTCTGTTTTCTTTTATTGAAATAATTTTTTTCATATGATATATTTTGATTATGGTTTTCCATCCCCCAACTCCATGAGATTTTCCCTCCTCCCCTCCCATCCGAAATCCACACTATTTCTGTCTCTTGTCAGAAAACAAATAGGCATCTAAAGAATGATAATAAAATAAGATATAACAAAAACAAACAAATAAGGACAAATAGGACAAAACAAGCAAACAAACATGAGAAAGAAGAGCCAAAGAAAAAGCACAAGAAACATATACAGATGCCAAGACACACACGTTAGCACACACAGGAATCCCATAAAAACAGAAGCCTTAATGTCTATGCAAACGACTTGTACGGTGTTTAACCCCAACAAGGCATTATGAGACGAAGAACCGCCAGTGATGCCTTTGAGTTAGTTTTGTGTTAGCATCTACTGTTGAGCACTGGACCTGGCTTTCCTAGTGTCCCCAGTGAGACTCCATTGGAGAAATTGAATTTTTCACTTGTGAGTGGTTATAAATTAGAGAGAGCTTCTGCGTTAGGGATAGAGGCTTGTGTCCACTTCTCTTAGTGCTGGGACCCCATCTGGTGAAGTCCTGTATGGGCCTTGTGCTTGGTGCCACAGTCTCTGTGAATTCATATGTGTGTTGGTCCTGCTGTGTTTAGAAGTCCTTATTTCCTTGATGTCCTCCATCCCCTCTGGCTCTTAGAATCTCTCCTCCTCCTTTTCTACAGGGTTCCCTGAGCCTGGGAAGTATTTGATAGAGATATCCCATTTAGGACTGAGTCCTAAGGTCTTTCACCTTCTGTACATTGTTTGACTGTGGGTCTCTGCATCTGTTCCCATCTACTCTAAGAGGAAGCTTCTCTGGTAATGGTTGAGCAAGGCATGGATCTATGAGTATAGCAGAATGTTGTTAGGAGTCATTTTATGACTGTATTCCTTTAGCAGAGCAGTAGTATTTTGCTTTATCCTAAGTCCCTGACCTATCTAGTTTCAGGTTCTTGGCTACCCAAGTAATATCAGGTAGTGAGCCTTAAATCCAAGCATATTGGTTGGTTACTCCCACAAGCCTTGCACCACTGTTGCACTAACGCATCTTTCAGGCAGGTCATCCCTGTAGACCAAAGGTTTTGTAGCTGGGTAGGTGTTTACCTTTCTTCTTTGGTAGCATGCAAAGTATGTTCCATGAATATTGGCCCATAGGAGTGAAGGCTCTAGGTAGGCACCAGCTCCATATTCAGTGATCTGTGTAGGTGTTGTCTTCAACAATTCGGCCTTATTGTCAGTTTGTACAGAGCAACCAACAGTCTTGACAATAGTCTAGGTTGTTTTGGAGTTTTCCATGGGGCCTCTTTGGCCGACAGTTCAATTAGATGCAACCCATTCCTGATACTGGAAGCTTGATTCAGTGATAAGAGATGCCCAGTTGGGACTCCGTCTTCCCTGTTATTTAGTGATATTATTTAGATCACCTTCATACACAGATATTTTAGGAAGCTTCTACTGCATTAAGTTTCCACATGACTCCTCAAATGGCCCTTACTTTTAGCTGTTCCTCTCCATATTCACTCCCTTGCTCCCTTCTTCCCTCCTCATTCCCATTCAGTCCTTCCATTTCTGTCCTCCTCATCCATCCAACTATTCTATTTTTCCTTCTTAGAGAGATCCATTTCTACCCCATAGTCCCTTGCTCTATACCTAACCTCTGTTGTTAGAAGGATTGTAACTTGCTCATTGAGCACTTAAGCAGATCAAAGGGATACAAATAGGAAGGGAAGAAGTCATATTATCTTTATTTGTAGATGATATCATTGCATATATAAGTGACCCAAAAAATTCCACCAGGAAACTCCTGCAACTGATAAACATTTTTATCAAAATAGTTGGATACAAAATTAACTCAAAAAATCAGTAGCCTTCCTCTAGACAAATGACAAATGTACTAAGAAAAAATAATGGAAACAACACCTTTCACAATAGCCTATAAAAATATCTTGGGGTAGCCGGGCGGTGGTGGCGCACGCCTTTAATTCCAGCACTCGGGAGGCAGAGCCAGGCAGATCTCTGTGAGTTTGAGGCCAGCCTGGGCTACCAAGTGAGTTCCAGGAAAGGCGCAAAGCTACACAGAGAAACCCTGTCTCGAAAAACCAAAAAAAAAAAAAAAAAAAAAAAAAAAAAATCTTGATCAAACAAGTGAACACTTGTATGATAAAAATTTGAAGACACTGCAAAATGAAAGTGAAGAAGATATCAGAAGATGGAATGATCCCCCATGCTCATGAATCAGTAGAATTAATGTAGTTAACATGACCATCCTACCAAAAGCAATCTATAGATTCAACACAATCCCCATCATTATCACAACATTTTAAATATAAATATTAATCAATACTTGTTTGGGGTCCAACTGTCGGTGTTTAAATATTTAGTAGAAAATTAAAAATCATTTAATTTCCTGTTTGTTCTTATATCCTCTCCCACCACCTCAGGATTTAAGATGATGGAAATGTTCGGTTTGGTTGAAAAGGATTTTTCTGCAGTAGAAGGAGTTTCTATGGAACCTGGCACCTTCAATTTGTTCCCGTGTTACCAAATCCACAAAGATGCTCTGGTTTCCCAACCAACCAAGTAGGTTTTCCTTGCAAGATGCTAAAGTTAATCATGTGTTTATTATATCTCAATATAAAAATGATGTCAATTTGTCCACTGGCAGTGGGACAAGGATTTATCCCTGGGTCATGAACTGGCTTTTTGGAGCCCATTCCCTGTGGTGGGATACCTTGCTCAGCCTTGATGCAGGGGGAAGGGGCTTGGCCCTGCCTCAGCTTGATGTGCCAGACTTTGTTGATTCCCCTTGGGAGGCCTTACCCTCTCTGAGGAGTGGGTGGGGGAGGGGCAGGGGAGGGGTAGAGGGAAGAGGAGAGGGAGGGGTACTGTGGTTGGTATGTAAAATGAAAACTTCCCAAAGCTGGAGAGAAGGACAGTCTAAAACAGTGATCTAACAGGGATTCATGGCAATCTCCTTTTGTTTTTTCAAAGTGTCTATAATGAAAATACATTACTTATGGTCATAGGATGACTTTCTCAAGAAAGATACAATAAGGCATTATTTTATTCCATCATCAGATATCTGCATCCAGAAGGACTGCCTTCTGACTATACAATGACTTTCCTGTTCCGGATTCTTCCTGACACTCCACAGGAGCCATTTGCTCTCTGGGAGATTTTAAATAAAAATTCTGACCCACTGGTTGGCATCATTTTAGACAGTAAGTATATTTATGTGTATAGCATTTGTTATATACATGATAATGCATGTGGCATCCCATCTTGCCATTTCCTGTTGCAACGTAACTTATGCAGTGTATAAACAACAAGCAGTGGATTATGAAATCATTGATTCATTCTCTTGTTAACCAATACTTTCAAGAAATGCTCATTGAGCTCCTGCTTTGTGCCAGCATTAGGCTCAGATGGATGGTAAAGCAAGGTGAAGCAAGACAAGCAGTTTCTACCAGAGAGTGAAGACTACAGGCAGAGCAAAATTAGGGGGTCATGGTTGCTTGGAGAAATGGGATCAGAAGTTCATTGATTGTACATGGATATGATAAATACATATGCCTATTTGATATTCTATAGAGGATGCCAATTTGTCAGCATTGTATTTGGAAAGAATTTTGGGATAGATTTAAATTTGTAAGTTGTGTATGTGCTACCAAATCCTATCCTTGAGAAAGTGAAGAGAAGCGCAAGTGTTCAGATGCTGGGAATCTACAGTGCTCTGAGGCTGGAAACTGAGGAGGAACCAGCCAGGGAAACTTTCCCCTGTCCTGCTTGGAAGCGTAGCACACGACGCACAGTTCTTCATTCATGTCATGGAGTTTAGTGAGTCCCATAATTAGAATGAATCCGTAAAAGGTATCTTTACTTAACTGACTCAAACATTTGGGTAAGGAGATTAGTTTGGTCTTATTTCCAAATCATGGAAAATGTATGGGAGTCAATTAACAATCACACATAGTATAGGGGAAATCCTTTTGCATTGATATTGAAACTAAGGAGCATCTACAGATTGGAAGGGATTAAATCATTAACTCCATATGCACTCTGGGCTTAAAGATAAAGAAATCTTAAAATGACTAAAATGAATTTGATCCTTTTCCTAGTTAGCTATAACAGTCAATTTGACATAGCATAGAGTCACATGGGAAGGGAATCTCTAATAAGGGACTTCCCAGATTGGACTGGCCTGTGGGCATGCCTATAGGGGAGTGTCTTGACTGTTAATTGATGTAGGAAGGTCCAGCCCACTGTGGGTGGCACCTTGCTGGCAGATGGTCCTATGCTACATAAGAAGGATAGGTAAGCATGAGTTTGCTAATGAATCACTAAGCAGCATCTTCCATGGTTCCTGCTGTATCTTTTTGGTTGTGTGGAATAACAGACAGGCTCGGCTGTAGGTTCTTGCCTTGAGTTTAATGATGGACTACAAGATTAAACAAACTCTTTCTTCCCATAGATTGCTTTTGGTCAGAATGTTCACTTAAGAGCAAAGTGAAAATTAAATTTTAGTGTAACAAAGCTCTGTTGAGGAAAAAAAAGCATTTTTATTTTTAATAATGAAAATTCATTGTAAGACAAAAGATCAAAGATTAGGAAGCCTATGTTTGTCTGTGCATAACAAAAGAGACATCAGTGTGGGAGAGCATCATGTCCTGGGAAAGTTGATGTCTGTAGTGGGCTAGTAGTCAAAGTGCCTAGTTTTCCTTTCCTAATATTTGTTGATAATGTCCTCTCTCATTATCTTCTTTTACTCTAAGCTTTGATGACCTCTCTCCAGAGATGATGTGGATAAGAGTTTAGGTAGAAAGGTGTAAGGGAAGGAGACATGTAGGTTCCTGGTCTCTCCATCATCACATGTCATTAAATCGAGTACTTTAGCCCTGAAAGCTTGTAACAACCTGAGGAGTGTTCGGTGTCTCATCCCCCTCATTTTGTTTTAGACATGGTTTCAAAATGATGGATTCACTGTTTTCTGTCAAGCTGAATTTTAGAAAAAAGTTATTCACCAATTTAAGTTATTTCTGAAGTATTTTGCCTTTTCTTTACTTGACTAGATGGTGGGAAAACTCTAACTTATTTCAACTATGACTATACTGGAGATTTTCAAACTGTCACTTTTGAAGGACCTGACATCAGGAAAATGTTCTATGGGAGCTTTCACAAGGTTTGTGAGGATCTCTGTATAATGTATAATTCCATTTTCTGTTAGGAGGAGGAACAGAAATAAGTGTGTGCAATTGTTTTTGTTTGTTCATTTTTTGTTTTGTTTGTTTGTTTGTTTGTTTTGCTCTGTTTTTTTGAGACAGGGTCTGTCTACATAGCCCTGGCTGTCCTGGAACTCAAACACTCAGCTCCAACAGGCTCTGCCTCCTAATCCTCCTGGGATTAAAGGAATGCTCCACTATGCCCAGCTCAGAAATATATTTCTTAAAATTCATGGAGCTTTGGATTTCAGAATTTAACTGGAGTAAGAATTAATTCCTTCAGGACTTGATAATGACACTTAGGTTCTGAGTTGGGACATTGAAATGTGCATTCATTGCAGGCACTCCAAGAGACATTGACAGATTTGGTCCAGGTTCCCCCTTTGAGTAGAAAATTCCGCATTACTAATTAGCCAGTGCCCATTTGCTGCGTTATGTGTAATGTAGTAAAGATTGCTGGCTGTGTTGGTGACATAACCTAGTGGGTAAATGCACTTAGCACCAGATATTACAGGCTGAATGACCTGACTTTGATCCCTGCGATTCATTTGAAAGATGGAAGGAGAAAACCAACTCCACAAAGTTGTTCTCTGACATTACACATGTTATGGAACATGTACAGACACACACACACACACACACACACACACACACACACACACACACACGCACTTAGAAAGGATTACAGGTCTTCCGAGTCAATTGGAATTTTCTTTCTTTCTTTTTTCTTTCTTTTTTTGGGGGGTATCTTTACTGCACACTGTATAATTAAGAATGATTATATATGAAAACTTATTTTTCATGTTTGATAGGATTACATACCTATCTTAAAAGTGTGGGTGTGGGTGTGGGGGGTACAAGTGGAGGTTTACTAATTAAAAGTTCCATTGACAGCTCTTTGAATTTCATTAGAATAGTGGTGGGATGCTTTTCCTGGTTGTGTAGAGTGTATCGCAAGGCTGCCAGGGAAAACTGTAGGGGAGATGAAAAGCATATCCATCTGTGTTGAAAGATGTGTTATTGTCATCACAACCTGTGGCTTAGGTATGGGCTTGTGTTCTCACTTCAAGGAACTCTTCATGTGTCTTAGGCGGTGTAAGACTTGATTTACCTTACCAGAACTCAAGGAGCTAGAAGTGTGGTTAATGATTGGCTTTACATGTATAAACCTTTAAATTAGTTAAAGCTGCATAATGAAATACTTGCCTCTAGCTTATGTGTTAGTAAAGCTAAACAAGAAACAAAATAAAAGGAGAGGCCTACTATGTAATGAACAGATGCAGCATATGACTATTGATGGAAGATGTCAATGAAAGTCCAATTCTCACAGACCAGATTTTATCTGTTCAAAGCATTACAATTGAATAAATATCCTCACTCTTTATTGATTATGAGTTAGCTCCATCTTTTACATTTTTGGATATAAAATACAGTCCCCAAACCTTTTTCAAATTGTTAGTAATTATATAAGTGGAATAACCACTTGTATGTGTAACCAAAGAAGCTAAATATTTTTGAAAATGTTTCAATGTCCTTTGTAAAGCAAGATACTGTTTTAAACATGAGAACAATCTCCCCAGAACTCACAGAAGTCAATTTCTACTCTTGTAAATGACAATGTTAGCAAGAAGCAAGTGATGTGGTGGGATTTCTCCAGGGATGGTCTCTGTTTGAGTAATGGTTAGTTTCTTTTTGAGAGAAAAATTTCTAATGAACTGCCCTGCTGACTGGAATTTCTTTTACCTTGATGTATCTTAAATAAAACATTAAATAATAATAGGTAGGAATACATGTGCTTTCATCTTTATATAACCTTGGGACAAAACAATATTGAACAAAATCTGGAAAGTTAAACTATCTTAACATAAAAGATGTTACATTATTGACGTTCTGAGTCAGCTCATGATTTGAACACGGTGTTAGCTGATTTAGCTCTTAAAAGCTTGATTCACATTGCCTAATCCTCTTCATGGAGTTGCCATGGTTGTCTTACTTTGGGAGTGCAATCATTATTGGAGTATGGATTTTACTTTCCTTTCACTAGCCTGCCACAAAGAACTAGCATTCCTGAAGCAAACAGTCCAAATCAAAATGTGTAGTGGGCACAGACAATTTTATGTGAGAACTTGGTTACAGTGTGGTTACCTGGTTTACCTACAATATACTTACCCTTGATGGTTACTTAGAGGATAGAAATATCTGCCTTTTCCAAATCCTCACGAAGAACTGGTAACTGCTGAAACAGTGTCCTCCGTGTCTTGTGGTTTGAGAAAACTGCATCAGACACTATCTAAGCTGAAGGGCTTCTCACATGTGTTCCACTGCTTCCCTTCCCCTCCCTTAAGAACATGTCATTCATTCACTCTCATGACTCCTTTCAGCTTCAGGGAGGTGAGGAAGAAGGGGGAAGGCAATGGAGCAAGGGAACAAATTAGAACTAACTATAATGACACCTATAAAATTTTATAATAACACACAATACTTTGTGTGCTGAAGCTTGTTGCTAATTAGTATTAACAATAAAAACCCGGAGTCAGACATTGAGGGTGAAAGCTGAAAGGTCAGAGAAGCAGAGCAGCTGCCGCTAGAAACTTCTAACCTCTACGAATCCTCAGACCAAATGAGGGGGCTGAGATCCTGTCTCCACCTGCCTTATATCCCTATCTCCACCTCCCTAGTGCTGGCATTAAAGGCATTAGCCTCCCATGTGCTGGGATCAATGGTGCGAGCCTCCCAGGTACTGGAATCAAAGGCATGAGATCCCAAGTGCTGGGATTAAAGGTGTGCACCATCACTGCCTGGCTGTTTCTCTTTTACACTGGTTCAATCTCATGTAGCCCAGGGTAGCCTTGAACTCCTGATCTTCCTGCTTCCTCTTCCCAAGTACCAGGATTAAAGGAGTGTACCACCACTTCCTGGCCTCTATGGCTAACTAGTGGCCAGCTCTGCCCTCTGGTCTCCAGGCAAGCTTTCTTTGTCAGAACACAAACAAACTATCACACAATAGCATGCTAACTTAAAACACCATTAAAAGTAAACTAAAATTTCTAGTAAAAAGTGACTCATTTTAAAGTCATGTCAGAGAGAGGTATTTTATAGAGCTTATTTTTGAATGTTGAACAGTTTCAGAAAAGGTCTAGCAAAGTACATAGAGACAGAATTCCTTCCTTTCTCGGTACTTTTTAATGATGAGTTATACAATTACACAAATTGGTTGACAGTTCTCCCTGCATAGGACTTCCTAAAACATCTTTTCTTTTACTTAGCTCCATGTTGTTATCAGCAAGACTTTGGCCAAAGTGGTTGTTGACTGTAAGGAAGTGGGCCAGAAGGCAATCAACGCATCGGCGAATATCACATCGGATGGTGTGGAAGTACTGGGGAGAATGGTCAGATCAAGAGGACCCAACGGAAACTCTGCACCAGTAAGTAGATAAGGAAGTGAAGCTGTGTGTCTATTACAGGAAAAACCCATTTAATATACAGTTAGCTGTTTTCAAGGGAAGGAATTTGGTAATGAGATAGATGGACAGATGATGGATGGATTGATAAATAGACAGACAGACAGACAGACAGATAGATGGTGACTCTTTAAACAAACCTGGATGTTCAAGACAGTAGGCTGCTGGTATATGATAAAGAGAATGCTTCAGGTACTAGGCTAGTTAATTATCTAAATGCACTTTAAGATCTGAAGATTAGGGGGATGTGGGGATGTTGGGTGGCTTGGGAGGGAGGGTTAGGGGTGGGAGGAGGGAGGAGGTGGGATCTGTGGGTGGTATGTAGAGTGAGTAGAAAATTTCTTAATAAAGAAAATTGAAAAAAATTAATATTATAATATTCAGCACTTAGTTTGTGACGTAAGTGGTTTGTTGTTGGAATTCAAAACTCTACATGTATAAATTTATGCAAGAAAATACAAATCCATACAAAGTTTCTCAATATTATACCTAGGGAAGTGGCATTTGCCTCTGATTTGGGTTAGATTTGTATATTTTAAAACTGTTTGTGCTATCACTAATGTGAGATTTACCCTTTAATTATTAGTCTTTGCTTATGTAAAAATCCTTCTAAAATAACTTTTATAGCACTAAATGAAATTTAAGTCTGGGAGACTTTCAATTGGCACAGAAATCACATTCCTTTCACTCACTATCCACAAAAAAAGAATAGTGTGTACAGGGTTTTGTTTTAACAGCATGCATTCACAGCTAATTAGTAGCACACTCTAATTTGAGTCATTCTAGAACTAGTAACTTTCTTTTTAAAGAACTCTGACTATTCTTATCTGTATTTCTTCTTTATATAACACTAGAAACTGTTGGCCAGAGTGTGTAAAAATACAGAATTAACAAACTAAGAATATGCAGGATCAACACATTCAAGGATGAATAGATGGACTCATTTAAGAGAGGTGGGGGTGGGAGGCTTGGGGAGGGACTCTAGGCCCAAATCACTTAGTACTACTATGATTGTCTTAATTTTAGGCACGGGGCATCTAATATCCCTGACAGTGTAGTACTCAAAGGTGATCAGCTGTGTTACTGGAGAAATGAAATTTTTCGCAACAATAAATTTTCTGTCTTCCACCCCACATTTTACAGACAACTAAATACTCATTTACAAGTTGATTATTGACAGTCACGGCTTTTTGCTTTTTCATTTATTCATATTTTACCTCTCTAGACAATATAAATTCCCTAAAATAAAACAACAGCATGGGCTTCCTTTAAAAACCACCCCAGTGTCTAATATATTTCTACAAGCAGAATTAGTACCCAAGAAACACTTACTAGAATGTGAACAGAAATGGACTATTTCTCACATATAGGGTTTTGTTTGTGGTTCAGAGGCTTGATCATAGGACCTTGTGACTGTCAGGCAAAGGCCTCCAACTGAACTACATGCCTAGTACCAGACTATTTGACTTGCATAATCTCTTTCCTTCAAAGGTAGTAGACCCCACATGTGGCATCGACTGCAATCTCTTAAACATATCCTACTCTCCCCTACTTGTATTTTATAATTATAACTTTACAGTCATTATGTTTCAAATTACACCATGGGTAATAATGTACTCCATGTACATAACTAATGAAATATCAAAAAATTGATTTCGAAACCTAAAAGTGCCTGTACATTTCAGGTGCACTGATGGTAACTTTTCTCTTTGGGACACCAAAGAAATGCAGTTAAACAGAGGGCCCTTTGTGGCAACTTGTAGCCAGAAGCAGACAAAGGGGAATTTATAGATGTCAATAACTAAAGAGTTCTTTGTAAGGCTACTAAGAAAAAAAGCCATGGCTTCCCTTATAATCTAGAAGTCTACATAGGGCTACTAAATAGATTTCCAGTCTTCCCACTTACTAAAGAATTTGCTTACACTGAATTGGATAATATTAGGTTAGGTCATAAAAATGCGATTGAGTAGTCCTAGTCTTGCTTCGGGAGGCATTGCTTACTGGTATCAGTGCCTCATGAGAGAAGTCCTGGCCTTTGGGTTTCATTTTTAAAAAATATCCATCTCAGTGTTCGTCTTCCTCTGATAACCAGCAAAAGGGGACATGTAAGGAGCATAGTTCAGATAATCTCAGGAGGGGGTATGAGCAATGGGCATGGTTCAGTTAATTCCGGGAAGGAGTACGTGTAAAGGCTTGTGGTTCAGATAATTCAGGAGGAATAATTATAATAGTATCTCCCAGGTCAGCATCATCTGCCAAATCTAGCAATAATTCAAAATGTTAGAGGACTGCAAATACTCTATCTCTGAAGGAAACGTATCCTTTCAAACCATAGTCAGAGAAGGAGAAAGAATTTAGGGACATAGTAACTACTGTATAGAAATTGCTCACATTCTTAACAAAAACAACTTGTGCTCAGAAATGCAAGATTCTACAGGCAGTGGCAGCCCCTGGGGAGACTAAACTAAATAAGCAGGCCTCACTTAGCTGTCAAAACACATGTGGAAAGAAAGTAACTGCCTCTCCCTTCCAGTTTTTCCTCTAAGAGGTCTGTTACCTTTTTTTTTTTTGGATGATTCTAGAAAAAGTTTGAGTTTCTGGCATGGAACTATGTTTCTTAAAGTTTCTCTTCTACTTTTTTGAATCTAACACTTAGGCAGTTATTCAATTGGCATGTATTCAGGCTCCTGCTATTGATATAAAAGAGAAATATGTCAGGGAGCCACCTATAATTTTATTCACTGAGTAGACTTTTTGGTGTAGAATTCAACAGTAGACTAGTTGATGATTCTTTAATAGCCAAGTGTCAATTTTTTTCTGTATGGAAAACAGACTTCCCTTCACATTATATATTCTGATCACAGTTTCCTCTCTCCCAACCCCCACCCGCAGATCTTCCCTACTTCTCCACCCACCCATATCCACATCCTTTCTTTCTCTTACCCATTAGAATACAAACAGGTATCCAAAAACAATAATAAAATAAGACAAAATAAGCAAGGCAAACAAGACTAGGACAAACCAAAAAAATCAACACAAAAAGAGCCAAAGACTCAAGAAACAGATACAGATGCACACACACACACACACACACACACACACACACACACACACACACACACACACTCACACAGAAAACCCATAAAAACAAAATCAAAAACCATTATTTATAAGCAAACCATTATTTGAGCAAAATGGCAAGGTACAGAACGGGAAAATATTTTTTTAACCAGCTACACACTCAATAGAGGACCAATATCTAAAACATAAAAATAACTGAAAAAGCAGGACATTAAGAAAACAAGTGCTGGGGCTGGAGAGGTGGCTCAGAGGTTAAAAGCATTGACTGCTCTTCCAGAGGTCCTGAGTTCAATTCCCAGCACCCACATCGTGGCTCACAGCCATCTGTAATGAGATCTGGCACCCTCTTCTGTGTACATAATAAATAAATAAATCTTTAGAAAACAAGTGCTGGGCTGGAGAGATGGCTCAGAGGTAGGTTAAAATCCCTGACTGTTCTTCCAGAGGACCAATTCCCAGCACCCACAGGACAGCTCATACCTGTCTGTAACTCCGGTTCCAGGGGATCTGACACTTTTACATAGACATACATAGAGGCAAAATATGAATGCACATGAAATAAAAATAAATTATGTATTTAAAAAAGAGAATAAGTGCTAAATTTTAAAAAAGGAGCTTTCCATGTGTTGCTTTTTTAAATCCATAAGCTGTAACAGTAGCTAATACATATGTCTGCTGTGGTCTAGGAAACATGATTACCCTGAAATATCAATTTAATCTTCTAAAATCACAAAAAGAGATATTCATATTGCCTTCACTCTATTGATGCTAAAACTGAGGCTTGAAGAAGTTATTGAGAGTTCCTCTTTCAAAAAATGAACTTGAGATTTGAGATTCTGTCTGCCCTCCCCAGGATTGTGTGCCTTCTATTCCAGCGCTGTCTTCCACTAGCGCACACTTTGATTCTATAGATCTTAAGGCAGAGAAGTTAGTCTCGTCCGATCCAGTGACCATGTGCCCCATCTAATCTTTCACAGCTTCAAAGACTCGTTATTTGAGTTACAAGCTTGCAAATACTGTGGTCAAATCTTATTTTCAAAATGCTTCTATACTTCAGCGTTTAAATTTCTCGCAACAGCTATAAAAGTTGTTAACTTTCATTTCTGAATTTAATTAGAATACCCATGGTTTTTCTAAAGTTTAATAATTTAAAAGCAAGTCAAATCTCCAAGCTCTACCATGACAAGGGCTAAGTAATTTTTGATTTGTTAATGAGGTAAATGAAAAGTTGGACACCCAATGAGAAGTGGAAGATGGCTTAGGTCTCTGCAGCTCTACATATGGAACATTCTTATACACAGAACTCTTTCTATTTGTACAAATACATGAATGTACTTGCATTATTCAAGAAAAAGTTAGAGGAGAAAATTTGGTACTCAGTGGAAAGTGGAGCCAAGAGAACTTTGAAATTCCCATTCATAGATCAAAATGACTCAATGGGCAAGAAATATTTTAATCTTATTTTCTTGCTAACATTTGACCCCAAATGACTTGTCTTTTGAGTTACACCCAGACAAAGTGTCCAGTGATGGAAAATGAGCATTTGTAATTGGCTAAATATTCCACTTAGAGAAATTACAAAGTATAAATGTGGAAGGTTATGTGTCCTTTCTTGTGTTTTTAAAATTGATCTTTTATGTTTTGGGGGTTAGTTAAGTAAAGGGGAGCTGTCTCTTGTATTAACTGCCTGAGGTATGACTTCTTTTGAACCATGTCGTTTTGCATTCTAAGGCACTCAAGTATGAGATGCTTTAATATAGCATTGCTGTGTGATCTCCTGTGTAAGTTGTACAATTCTGCATACCATTGCTTTTGGAATAAAAGCCAGAAGCCTTTTTTATTTTGTTGTTGTGGTTTAATCTGTCTGCAGAAATGTGCCTTGGAAAAGAAGTCCTAAGTACAGGCTAAGGAATCTAAGCTATCACAAACGCAAAATGACTATGAATAAATTGGTTGTACTCAAAGAAAAAGCTGTTGATTCCATCTAACTTGCGAAAGAAAAGGCAGCCCACGTAGTAGCATTCCACAAATGATAATATTGGCTTCATTAAGTACTTAGTGGATGTTTGATCCCTTCAGGAGATAAATTGAGCTCAAACAAATCCTAATCACTCCACAGGGCAGAGAGCTAGGCAAAGGTTTATAGGTAGACATTATGCAGCTCTAGTGGCTGAGTGTTGAATGTTTATTGGAAAAACTTCAAGAAAGCTTGATGCATACTAGGGGTGGTGAAGGGCTTTTGCTTTAAGTAAATCTTTCCATTCACTGAAATATTTTGACATAAAGACTTTATCCAGGAATGTTAAATTTCTTAATGCACGAATGATTTCCAGACATAACTGACTGTAGCTGATGCTGTCATCACGAGACCCACTGAATAAATGTTCTCAGATGCAATGACATTAAAAAGTCAGGCTGCACTATCTTTAAGTGTTTACCCAAAGATCCATTTATTACAAAATAAACCACACTGGTTTAGACCACACATTGGTTGTACTGTTCAAATCTCAACTGGAATTGAACTTTCACAATGTACTTCAATTACTTAGGCTTTCCTCACTCCAGGACCTAACTACAGACCTGGACTACAGAATGGGCATTCCAATCACTGTGCTCCACAGTGATGATCTGAGGAAAAATGATAGCCATAGAGTGCTTAGAATAATACCTGGTACAGAGCAAATTTTCAAAACCTGTTGGTTGATATTGCTTGTTGCTAAGATTTTTTTCAAACAAAATGTTAAAAGTCAATAATAATTTAGAAGAAAACTATTTTGTCTCTGCCCTTGCTACTATCACTTTTATTTTGATTTTTACAGTTTTAGTGCCTATACTTGAAAAGTAAATCATGAGAGAGTTGCGTATAGAATTTTAAAATAATATTTATTTTTTATTGCAGTTGTGTTTCAAGCACTGTTCTAAATAATATTATCTCCATATTAACTCATTTGGTCTTCACAACAAACATATGACTAGCTCATAGAATGGACAGTCCCTTATCTGCAGTACTTGGAATCAAAGAATTTGGAATTTTGGAGTATTCAAATACACACAATGAGATATTTTGAGGATGGAATCCGAGTCTACACACTAGATCTATTTATGTTTGTGTATACCCTTTACACACACTCAGCAGGAACCTTAGATATCTTTAATGTGCTTGTATTTTATATGTAACCCACCCAGCAAGGCCAGATGTAGAATTTCTCATTCATGGCATCATTTCAACATTTAATAAGCTGCGTATATTCAGATTAAGGGTGTTCAACCCGTGTCAGGGCAAACTTTTACAGATGAGAAAAAATGAGAGTTTAAGACAGAAACAAATGCCTTCAAATAACTCAACTCACTAGGGTTGGAGTCAGGACCCTCACCCCAGCAGTCTGGCTCCATAGGCGCTAATATTTGTACTCTCTGAACTAATTCTTGCTATCTGTATTTACAAAAGTCTGCTGTAGCATGCTTTTGGAAATGTTTTCATTTTTCAGTTTTTTTTAGTTGCTCATTATTTGTTGTATGGCTTCCCTGTTCTGGTTCATATATTGTACGTTTGGGGCCTGAGTGTTAAAATATCTAGGAGAACAAAAGTTATGTGCTCTGCTGTTATTTCAGCAAATAATATGTTGCTATGCATAAGTTCAAGAAAGTATGGACTACCAAGAGAGTTCCAGGAAAGGCGCAAAGCTACACAGAGAAACCCTGTCTCGAAAAACCAAAAAAAAAAAAAAAAAAAAAAAAAAGAAAGTATGATATTTTGAATAACCAGTCTCTTTTCAAAACCCAAGGTTATTCTGTTGACTTGTTAGAATAAATGTTCCAATAATGCACACAGTTGTTCTTAGCATGAGGACAGAAAGCTTGGTTTCATTTCCTTTCTGTTAGAAGTGGCTCTTTGGTGATGCTTCCCAAACTTCCGGTAGCCGGTTTCAATAGTCGTAGCTACTTGAGCGCTGTCATTTGCACCCTGGAGGCTCTTGGCCAAGGATGAGTAGCATTCTTTGGACAACATATTTATGGCCCTTCTTGAAAACATTACTTGCTGAAGGAAGGTTGAACATTAAAATGGAAATATTACCATCTTCCCAGTTCTGCTATTAATGGCATGCTTAAATATTTTAAAATAATGTAGAAAGAAATAAGTAGAAGTAATCAGATCATTAAGTTAGTGTTCGTCCTCACGAATGTTATAGAGATATTTATGTATGTTTCACCTTGTACCTTGAGTTATACCAACACATGTAGGTGAAACAAGACTATATATTTACAGTGTGACAAGTGGCTTAAATAAAAATACACCAAGTCCATGTACTCACTGTGAATCTCTCACAATACCTCTTTATATAGAATATTAATATTAATATAGTAACATAATATATTGATTTTATCATATGCTAATATAATTAATTAAATCAATTAAATTAAATATAATTAAAATCAATATGATAATAATTATTATATAAGAATAGTATAATTTTATATTACTATTAATATTCCCTATAAGTTTTTCCAGCAGAGGAATGTTTTGTTTTCTGATTTTACTACTATCTCAGAAAAGGCTATACAATATCTTGCTTACAGAACAATAACTGCACAAAGGGATGAACTAAGAGTTCATTCCTTTGATAGCCTACATGTTTATTATGTGTTGCATACTGTGCTAAGTGACTCAGAGAGGAGCATGTCTCCTTACCTTGAGGAATTTAAGGAACTGATAATACAAATAACTGAACTGTGGATGGGAAGTAATCTATGAAGTCATCTAGAGTGCTCTATGATTACAGGGGCTTCCAAGGAAGGCTTTGACCACAGAACTAAGCTTATTGCAGTAGATCTGAGAAGGGGGAGTTATGATTCGGGGAGGATTTGGATAGTAGACAGAGCAACTGTAGACAGAAAGTTAGAACACTGTGTGTTTCAGGGACAAAATTAGCTTGAGTTTATTTTTAAATTTACATGCTGGAATCTTACGTTACATATACTTTGGTATTTTATCTTTGTATTTTATCTTGGATAAAATAATTATAACTATGAACACCTTTTTTCTATATCCCCCTTATTGAATGATGACTATCTTTTTAAATCAGTTCCAGTTACAGATGTTTGATATCATTTGCTCTACATCATGGGCCAGTAAAGACAGATGCTGTGAACTTCCCGGCCTGGTAAGAATTCTTTCACCTCTATCAGAATTAAAATCTATGATTTCTTTGGAATTGAGGGACTGTTTCTCAATATTCATACCATAGGCAATTCCTTTTGTGTTGATAACTAAAGTCAGGAAGTTTTAATAAATAGACAGAAAAGAAGAAATCAATGAGGCCATCACATATGATCCCACATGGTTTGGTATCACAGATGTCATTGACACACACTCCAGATGCTTTTAAACTTTCTGCTTCACAAAGCTTCCTAGGCCAAAGGAAATACTTAAAAGTTCCGCTTATGAAATGTTTAGCTGTAAGCCTCCTCCTTATCCTAACCACTCAGTAGCCATAGGAAAATATTATGCAGGCATTGAAAGGAAAATATGACATTTCTGTTTGATTCTTGATTAATGATGATTATTTATTAGTGAGAAGTGTATGTCTACTGAACGTGGCAATGTTTCCATGTCTTGAGGTTAGATTATGCCTGTTCCTCACTTCCTTTTACACACTGATTTGCCCCCTGGTCTTGCTTTTCATCATAGCAACTACTGAAAATCTAGGATTATAAAGATAGAACACCAAAAAGATGTTTCAAAATATGCTGTTGAAATTGTAGACTGCTTTTGTTTATCCATTTTGTTCTATGAGGAGGGTGTCATGTCATCCAGGCTGTACTCAAATTAACTATCTAGCCTAGTGTCCTATTTAGATTTGATTGTCAGTTTGACACAGCCCACAATCTCCTGAGAGAGGAATCCTCTGGTTATTATTAGCCTGAGGACCTATCTATAGGGAGTTGTCTTGACTGTTCATTGTGGGAGAACCAAGCTCACGAAAGGAAGTACTATCACTAGTCAGCAAGTCCTTAACACTGTAAGTTAGGTTACCTTAACTCCAGGTGAGCATGGGCCTGTGAATGAACCAATGAACAGACTCAATGCATGGTTTCTGAGTCAGGTTCCTGCTCTGACTTCTCTCAAAGTCAGCTGACATAGACCCTCTCCTCCTCTAAGTTGATTTCTTCAGAATGTTTGATCACAACAGCAGAGAGGAAACTAAAACAAGGATGACCTTGAACTCTGTCCCTCCTGACTTTACCTCCCAAGTCCCGGGATTTCAAGGTAGCATCCCTATGCCCAGAATGACGCTCTGAACTGTCTTGATCTAGTTATGCACATGAAGTCCAATGGATACCAAGTGTTGCTTTATTTTCCTTGATTTTTTTGAAACATTCACAGTGTCTATAGGAATTTAATAGACTGCCCCAGGCTATCTTGTCACACAGATTTGGAACTGTAGTCATCATCTGTATAATTTGACACTATTAGAAAACTAAGCATTTCCCATTATTCTCTCATAAAGTTGTATTTGTAAGTCTACATATAAGCAGAAAAAGAGATCTATATCTTAGATCCTCATGGAAAGCAAGCTAATGTAGGAGGCTGTGCTGCGGCTGGGCAGTTAGCATATCTTAATAACTAAACCCGCACGATAAGAACAGTCAAGTCGTTATGAAGTCCAGAGGATTTGATGTTAGAACCAGATTAAAACATTTATTACAGGCAGTAAATTCCTGGAGGCCTGTTTAGGGAAGCAAGTAACTCATTCTTTCTTCATCCAGATAAATTTCTAAACTAATGGTGAATTAAACAAGACGTCTTAGTGTTAGCCATAAAGGAAGATAGGTTGGGAAATAGAAGAAGAAACAGAATCTCACGTTGTATCCAGCAAAAATGTGGTCCCCAGTGCCCCTAAGAAGGACCTAATTCCTTTTCAGTACTTTTCTCCTTGCTTTATTCATTGAAGGCTTATAATGTCATACCTGGACCACATACTATCAGCAGTAGCAAAAACACCCCTGAGTCTTGAAACAGGAAGCCTGGTGCCAAATTCATTTGAGGGAGCGAGGTCTTTTGGAATATTTAAATTTATGTTTTAATCTAGCCTACAAAATATTAGAACAGATGAAATATGTTAGCAGGAGATTTGAATGGAAATCTTCCTTTATTGTCCATCATTTAAAGAAAAGGATGTAAAGATTATTTAGGTTGTTGGTTCAGCTGTTTTGGGGTTTTTAGTTTGAATATTTGAGAGACTTACTTTCATCTTGGTAATTTATTGTCTGTGCTCTGTTACATCTCACCTCACTGTCCTGTGAGGTCTTTTTTTTTTTTTTTTTTTTTTTTTGGTTTTTTCGAGACAGGGTTTCTCTGTGTAGCTTTGCGCCTCTCCTGGAACTCACTTGGTAGCCCAGGCTGGCCTCGAACTCACAGAGATCCGCCTGGCTCTGCCTCCCGAGTGCTGGGATTAAAGGCGTGCGCCACCACCGCCCGGCTTTCTGTGAGGTCTTAAATGATGAAGCCCCTTTCCATCTACTCAAAGGGACTGGTGGATGCTAAGTCCTATAGTGCCGAGGTCCTTTTGGCATCTGCTCCAAATGGGATATTTAAAAATGGTACAAGATGGTTACCAGGAGTGCTGCTTTGCTCTACATTGGAGTAACTCACTTGGATTTATTCAGCCTGACATTACCAATCATTTTCTAACCTCACCTGTCAGTAAATATCCCAAGAGAGGAGAAGAAGGACCCCTACCATAAAGCTTCAGGCCCACAGTGTTTTCTTAGTTTCAGCTACAAACCCTGATAGCATTGTCACAGGACACAGATGTGCTTAAGCAGTTTTAGTTCTTTGTTTTAATTCCTATACAGTAGTTTTGACTGAGCCTTTCAACAAAGTTTCTTTCATTCTTCAAAACAGAAAAACGATGTAGCATAATGAAAGTGTTTAAGGCCTTTAGTTCAAAGAGCATTGCTATTCTAGATGAATTAGATAGAAACGAAAAATGTCCTCTGCTCTCTTTTTTCTTTGTTTCTCCATTTGGATTTCTAAGCCAGTTTCAGCAAATCCCTCTACAGCTGGGATAATGGATGATACATATGGCCCATGTGCAGCTGGGAACTTTATAGTATAATGTCCACTTAAAATTTTAAAACACCTCCTAAAGTATTTTTCTTACAGTTAATAAAGCAATTTATATAGACTGTCTTGTTCACAACTACCCTTTATTTCCCTACTCAGAGGGATGAAGAGTCCTGCCCAGACCTTCCACGTTCCTGCTCTTGCTCAGAAGCTAACGAAGTGGCTCTAGGACCAGCTGGTCCCCCAGTAAGTCTTGCTAGCTCAGCCTTGAATGTTCTTCAATAGCGTTAATGCCATCACCTTGGGTCTCACATGCGCTGCCTACTGAACTAAGGGGGTGCTACCCACTTCATCTTGAGTAAACTTAGACACATCTACAAGATGATCCTCTTCCGACTATGCCATCCACCTTCCATTGCTTTATGTGCAAAGTCCTCCCTTTAAGCCACCGTGGTTTATCTTCAGTATGAGTTTCAGTCATTGGCCCCCTGCTTATAAGATTAGCATATTGGCCTGGTGATGGTGGCACATGCCTTTAATCCTAGCAGAGCCAGGCAGATCTCTGTGAGTTCGAGGCCAGCCTGGTCTACAGAGCAGGACAGGCACCAAAACTACACAGAGAAACCCTGTCTCAAAAAAACAAACAAAAAAAAGATTAGCATATCCTCTTGCTGCCCACTCTGTATAAAAATGTATATGTGAGCCGGGCGGTGGTGGCGCACGCCTTTAATCCCAGCACTCGGGAGGCAGAGCCAGGCGGATCTCTGTGAGTTCGAGGCCAGCCTGGGCTACCAAGTGAGTCCCAGGAAAGGCGCAAAGCTACACAGAGAAACCCTGTCTCGAAAAACCAAAAAAAAAAAAAAAAAAAAAAAAATGTATATGTGTTCTGTTGATGCTGGTCAGCCATTTTTAAGTAAACCAGTGCACCTCTTGAAATAAATTGGAATTACACAGGGGGAATGTTAAGTTTCAGTGATCTTCAGTCCTTTTGTTCAACTGAAGAAGTTGTCTGGTGTCACCCACACTCACACTGTTCACCTCTCCATTTATAGAGCACGTTTTTCTATACAGACTTTAGTAGGAGCAAAACCTAGGTAAATTGAATGACATCATCTATACTGTATTCATTTTTTTTTTCTTTTTTTTTTTCGAGACAGGGTTTCTCTGTGTAGCTTTGCGCCTTTCCTGGAACTCGCTTTGGAGACCAGGCTGGCCACGAACTCACAGAGATCCGCCTGCCTCTGCCTCCCGAGTGCTGGGATTAAAGGCGTGTGCCACCATCGCCCGGCCTGTATTCATTTTTAAGGTGATCTAGCAGTACTCTTTTCTATTTATTATAATTCTTTATTTGCTTTGACAGATTTATTTAAATGCATTAGCCAATTAAAATATTCAGAGGATACACACATTGTATGTAGATGTGTGTTTACAAATGTGAACAAATACATAAAGAATGTATTCACATGTTTGTTGTGTAAATAGATATGTCTAATAAAGGAAACTTCCACTAAAAATGGCACAGTTGGTGTACTGATATGTCAGAACATCTTAGGAAGAAATACAAATGATTGTAATTTCAGAAACACTAAATTACTTTTACTTCTGTATAAATAGTTGGAGTTGAATTGTTGCTTTTTCATTGGCTTTCATTTATAAGTTATGGTATAAAACACACATAATCCCATGCCAACTGAGTATTTTATTTTTTTATATGTGAACCAAAGTAGCATTATATAAAGCTCTAAATAAACAAATCATATAAGAATTTTTAAGGTTTAAAAGGACCTGGCAGCAAAGGTTTTCTGAGGCTATGAAATGATCTGCAGGAAGGGCCAGAACTGGGTGGGGAGTTTCCAGTTGAAGATCATGATGAACATTTACTGGTACACAATGTGTGGGCTTCATATAAAATAGCAATGACCTAATCCCATATTATGAAGGCAGATGAATAAAGTATGCTGTTTTGAGATTTGTTCTTGAGTTAATACTTAACATCTGTTTGCAGGGTGGTCCAGGACTCCGAGGACCCAAAGGCCAACAAGGTGAACAGGGTCCGAAGGTAAAGTGTTCCCTCTTTGTCTCAACTAGTTATCACTTTGGAGTTAGATGTGACTGCCTTGTGACTTATAGCATCTTATGCGTTTGTGACACTCAATTTTGACTTCTAATGCAAATGTGTTATTAAGTACTTAATAACTCAGTCAAATGGAAGACTTTTGGGACAGACAAGAATGCCAGTGTTCTGTATGGCTTAGTCTACAAGGTGGCCCTACAAGTCTGCAAGGTGCTTCTCTTTTTGCATCTATAACAGAAATATCTTAAGCAGGATCACACAGTCACAATTCAGCCTCAGTCCCTCCCAGGAAATTTCCCACATTTTGGATTGCTTTTCCAGTTTTGCACTATATATAATCAAACACCTAGCTTTGCATTTTATTCTCAGTACCCAAGGCAACCAAGTATGATGCTCCAGGTCATGCATTGCAGAGGCATCAGCCAGCCAAACTGACCAGGCCATGCCAGCCCACATCAAAACACACATTTTTCTCCTTTGCACAAAGCCATCCTAAGGACTGGCAGAAGCCCAGCTACTAATGGAGTTCAGGCCTCATCTTCTTCACTTTGGATCCTGGAAAATCTTTAACTGATCTATGTCCAGTGCCTTGACTTTCTGACTGATTCTACACATCTGTTCTGAGATTAATTTCCTGAGCCTCTATGCTGGATTTATGCTTATTTAAAACTTTCAGCCATGGACCATGGTTTGGCCATTGTTGGCATCATATTCATGGCTCTTCCTTCATTCCTTCCTAAAAGATTTATTTTATGTGTATGGGTGTTTTGCATGTATGTCTGCACCAGTGTGTAGTCCCTGTGAAGTCCAGAATAAGGCATTGGATCCCCTAGAACTGAAGTTATAGGTGGTTATGAGCCATCATGTGAGTACTGGGAATCGAATCCAGGTCCTCTGCAAGAGCAGCCAGTGCTCTTAACCACTGACTCATCTTTCCAGCCCCTCTAGGTCTGTTCTAACTCAATTCTCCATCTCATTCTTGTGACATTGCTTCTCATGATTTCCACAGCACCTGTCTTACTGATTTAGTGCTTCAAATATATTATCTCTACATACTATTTATTCATATAGAAGAGACTGTTGCACTAAAAAGGAGTTTCACTTTAGAAATGGAAACAGATGATGCAAAGTAGGACAAGATGTGAGCATGAAAAAGAAGTAAATGAAAGAAAGCTGAAGATAATCAATCAAGTATTATCCAATTCAAAGACCATGGGATGTATCCTTTGTGGTTTATCTGTTCCATTTTCTGAGACAGGCTCGCTGTTCCTTACTTGGCCCCATCTCTTACCATGCCGTAAGAAAGGCTAGAACCGAATACCTCCTCTCAACAGGGCTGCTTTAGCTCTTTCTCTCCGTCACCCATGGTGGAGCCCAGGAGCTCCTATGCTTTCTGGCTTCTTCCTCTCAGGGCCTCCCTCAGCAAGACTTCAATAATTTCCCCAACATTCTCAGTGGACAATGAATTAATTCTGATATTTGGTGACTGTAAGGCAACCCATTTTCTCTAATTATCCACTCCCACAGGATTGTCACTAGTATGGTTATTTCTGTGTGGCAGTTTTGACAAACAAAGGATACTGCTATGTAGTAGATTTTGGACAGCAGAGTATTGTGTAGCTACCTTTGTGGACAGTATGAGAGCAGATAAACTATATCATACACACACACACACACACACACACACACACACGCACGTATATATACATGTAGGGAAATTCCCAACATGTAATCTTTTTTCATTTTTTTTTTTTTTTTTTTTTTTTTTTTTTTTTTTTTTTTTTTGGTTTTTTTCGAGACAGGGTTTCTCTGTGTAGCTTTGCGCCTTTCCTGGAACTCGCTCTGGAGCCCAGGCTGGCCTCGAACTCACAGAGATCCGCCTGGCTCTGCCTCCCGAGTGCTGGGATTAAAGGCGTGCGCCACCACCGCCCGGCCTTTTTTCATTTTTAACGCCAAGTAGATAATAAGAATTTGGATCAAAAAGCAGTGGTCACTGGTCTCTTCTAGTCTATTTGTTTTATATTTTAAAGAATAAAATTGGCCACTTAACCTTCTGCCCTACTCATCAATAGTACTCGACTATTACTGTTCAACATTCTAAGTGGTATTTGTAAGTTGCCCCTTCTCAAGCACATTGCAATTTTAATGCTCTAGCCCTCTTCCACATAAGCCTTGCATGCTTCTTATAAGGAGAGTTATCATTCGGTGGTCTACAGTCTCATTTTCTACACACTTCTCAAATCACGTGTGATTTCTCATCCCCTCCGAGTCCTGTGTGGCTGTTCTCACTAAAGTCACCGCATGTGACCAGTTCCACGGGCTATTGTTTAATGTTTATCTTCCTTGCGATCTCTGCAATAGTTGACTCATTTGGCTAGCTCTCCGTTGGAATTTGTTTCTTCTTTGCCTTTCTCTCCTTGTTCTGGCACTAACATTCTGACTTTTTCAGATTCTTTCCCAGGATTTCTCCCTCTCCATTCTAATTGTCACGTCAATTTAATCAATTTCTACTTTCATTGTGGAGTTTAAAAAGTATTTAATTTTAATTTTATTGTATTTGTGTATGGGTGGTTTGCCTACATACACTTCTATGCACCATGTGCATGTCTTATGCCCATGGACAGCAGAAGAGGCCATTGGGTCCTCTGGAACTAGAGTTACAGACAGTTGTGAGCTACTATGTAGGGACTGGGAACCAAGCCTGAGTTCCCTGAAAGAGCAGACAGTGCCTTCAGCACTGAGCTGTCTTTCCAGCCTCTTTCAACATGATATTTACGACCTCATCTACAAGCATGTCATCAGCACTCTGTGGTCTGGACAGGTCAGACTTTGCCAGCATCCTCAGCTTCTGGACTTTTCCATGTGATTTTTGCCCATACACTAAATCTTAAGGAAACTTAGTCTGTCCTGATCACCTATCTGCAGTTGACCCTATTAGGATTTTTTTTCCTATTCTTTGTCTCAAGAAATCCACTGGGCAATTTCACATTTGAGATGATTTACAAATTATACACTTGAAATTATACACACAAAAGAAATCAGTATTTTGAAGAGATATCTGTACTGTTGTGTTTATTGCAACAGAACTCACTATAGATAAAAAGTGGAAACAACCCAACTGTCCATCAAAAGATGAGTGGGTAAGAAAAGGTGATGCCTGTACTATTTAACCATTTAAGAAGGTCAAATCTGGTCAATTGTGAAAACATGGATGGACCTAGAGATAATTATGTTAAATGAAATAAACCAGGCAGAGAAAGCCATGAATGATTTTATTCATATATGGAATCTAAACATTTTGTAAAAAATTAAGAATAAAATAGTGGTTACCCAAGGCTCAAGGGTGGGGATGAAGAATGAGGCAGAATTAGCAAATATGTAAGTTATAGGGGAAATAACTCCTAACATTCCACTGCATAATAAGGTCTGTAGGTAACAATAACATACTTTCTATTTCAAAAAGCTAGCAGAAAGGATTTTCAATGTTTTCAACACACGCACACATTTGAGGAGTTAGATGTTCTTACCATGGATTGATATATTGCACATGCATGTGTGGAGAAGTACCATGTGGAGAAGTACTGCATTGATATGCACAGTTGTAGCATGTCCACTACACAGAATAGGATGCTACCCAGGCACAGCGGATCATAATTTAATATAGGAATAGTTTTTGTTGTCATCAAGAAATTTGACAGGAACGAAGACATTGAGAAAAAATAGGTATTTGGAGTCTAAGATTGTTCATTGAGTTGTTTAAAACCCAATAGGGTCTGAAAGAAGTGGGAGCTACTGATGTGAAAGGGATGTCTGACCCTGGATAAAAGGGAAGATGGTTTGGAGCTGAGGTGCTTGGTGGCTGCAGAACTGCACTTTGGTGTTGCAGGGAGGTTGGGGAGGAAACAGGCGTGTGGGAAGTTCTCAGAGAGAGGCTGGGGCTCCCCACCAAGGTGGGAGCTGACAGCAGGGAGGATGGGGAAGAGCCTGTTCATCCAGATTCCTTCCTGAACCAGGAGGGTGGTCCTGTAGTGCTTCCTCTTGGGGAAGTGTTGGGCAGTTGTGGTAGATTACTTGCTCACATAATTGGCACAGCATTCTTATTTGCAGAAACAAAATAAATATAGTTAATGAAGTCCTGGTGTGTTTGTTCTGATGGCTTACTAATGACATTTTACCTGGGAAGTAAATCATTTGAAGCTTTTGGTGTCTTGCTACCCTCTGAGCATTTCATATTTTAGAAGTTGTAGTAAGAAATAAGTGTTGTACGCAAAGATGTCTTTCAGATTTTAGAGAATCTAACTTCTAGAGTAACATTTCTCTCTTGCTTCTAGGGACCAGAGGGCCCTCGGGGAGAAACAGGTCCTGCAGGACCCCAGGGCCCCCCTGGACCTCAAGGACCCAGTGGTCTGTCCATTCAAGGCATGCCTGTGAGTTGTGTGCACATATTCAGATGGGTTTTTATTATTATCTGTTCTCCATGAAAGCATAAAGAATGAACTTTTATATTCTGTGTCCTACCAATGAGTCCCAGTCCCCAAGGAAGTCATGACTGACTGACCATTCATTAACTCAACTCACAATCCGTTATTTGCTCAGTGATGGTGGTCTTTTGACAAACAGGTACATGGGAAGGGCGTAAACATACCCAGAGCATTGCACCTAAGGAGGATGGCAGGGCCAACATGGACAGCCTTTGCTTGTCCATCTAAATTCTTTTGTAAAATCGTTATTTGTGTTTGTGCACGCATGCACCTGTGCATGCACTGTGCACAAGGACATGTTTTTTTGTTTTTTTTTTTTGTGGGTTTACTGAATCCAGGTGCACATGTGCGTGTATGCAAGTGGAGGCCAGGGTCAATCTTGGGTGTCATCCTCAGGAGTCACCTACTTTGGTTTTGAAAGACAGTGCCTTCATTGGCCTAAAACGTGATGAGTAGGCTAGGCTACCTGTCCGGGGAGCCCCAGGGACCCACCTGTCTCCAGTGTCCCACCCCAGTGCGGGGATTACAAGCATGTGATACCATGCTCAGGTTTTTATTTTTAATATGGGCGCTGGGGATCAAACGTGGGAAGTCCTCATGTGCTTTACCCACTGACCTACATCCCCAGCCCTTGACTAAACTTTTAACGTCTAGAAGGTAACAACTGTTATACCAATTTATTATTGCTGTGTAGCCATTGTGAACATAGAAGAATAAAAGCCATCCTGTGATCCCCTATTTCGACTTTCCGTTAGAATATAGTTCGCTGAGTGGATTTTAGAGTTTGGATTGTGGGCATTAAATGGCTACTTTGAAATATTGGATATCTTTGAAAAGAAATGTAATTTAATTCATTGAAATGTATGTGATTTTTAAATCGCAAACTATAAATGACATTTAAATATTCAACTCGTCCCCACATGTGTTAGTATTATCAGCTTGGCCATCTGGGACTGCACATGATGGGTCGGAATTGTTCTGGGACATAAACATCCAGCTCTGTAGGAATCTTTACACGGATGGCTTAGCATATGTGAGAAGTGAAATACGACATGCGGGTGTTAGTGCCAAGGCAGTGGACTTTTGAAACACTCTAACAGTGTTTTGTCAGTGGATGGATGAACTGAGAACTTACAGCTGTGAACTAACTCTGTACTTCTGGACACTCAGGGTATGCCAGGTGACAAAGGAGATAAAGGAGATGCTGGCCTTCCTGGCCCACAGGTACTATTTTTGCTGTTAGTCTTTTGCCAAGGACAGAAGCTTGCAGCTTCTGACATCAGCTGTGACCTTGCCAGGGGCGTCTGTTAATGACATTTGCCCATGTTCGTTGACTGGTCTGAAAGTCACACTGATTGAGACTGGGGACATTTATTTCTCAGTAGGAACTTCTGGGTCGCAGTTTTGTGTCCCAAGGGGGTTCCCATTGTGCCAATGGCTTTGGTTGGAGGCTGTGGTCTGTCCCAGGGAAGCAGACCAGCTGTTTCTGTAACTCTGACTCTTTTCTGTTTTTGTCCACCCTAGGGTGTCCCTGGAGGTGTGGGTTCACCAGGACGTGATGGCTCTCCAGGCCAGAGGGTAAGAATTTGCCAAATATCGGTTGTTGGCAAGGTAGACTTCCTGCCTAGTCACTTTGCTGCAGACAGGTTTTTATATATGGGCACCAAGTTAGGGTTTGTATATTATCTTTTGTCAGTCTAATTTCTGTCTATTACATATTTATTTTCATTCAGCCATGTCTTCTATGTCCATTTCTTTCATCAAACTTACCCCACTTGGCAGCATCCAGCTCTGAGTGCTCCCAAGCCTGATTCTTATTTGCACTGAATTGGATCTATTGGCTTAGTAGGTTTTTCTAGGTTTTTGTTGTCTCTGTTTAATCCTTGAAGTATAGACCTAAAAGAAAGTAACAGCCACATAAGTAGAAAATTAAGTAGTGTGGCTTATAAAGGACTCTCCATTGGTTTAGTATATCTCAGTTATCTGTTGTTTTTACCAGCTCAAATAGCCACAAAGTAACATACAAAAATCATCAAGCAAGGTGTACGTTGAAATAATGACATTTGTTTCATTGACAAGTTTTCACTAAGGCAAGTTTGGAGGGTTATAATTTATTGGGGGAAATTGAAATTTAAAACTTTGTCACATGTTATGATGGGGTCAGAATCCTGTTAGGACAAAAGAATGGAAAAATCAAGACAGGCTTGCAGGACCTGAGGGTTCTCTGAGGAGGGGCTGCTTGATTGAAAGACAGAGGTGGCCAGGTGGATAAGGAGAAGAAAACAGTTGCAAACAGGGAGAATGGTTTATATAAAGGAGGAAAATGGGAACAGTGGGGTGTCTTTAACAGGGTATGTTTGGCTAGAGATCATAAATCAGGGTGTGTGTGAATATGGGCACACATGTGTACATGCCTGTGTAATGTATAGGAATGCAAGTTTATTGTGAAATGCAGTTGGAGTTACTTAATACATCAATTTTTTTTATCTAAAATTTTGAACTTTAACATGAAGGAAATGAAAATTCACTGTTTTCAAGGGAAAGAAAAGCTATCTGATTTTTTAAAATGTCTTTATTTTTAAAAATGTTTTTATTTATTCTTTGATAATTTCATATATGTATACAATATATTTTGGTCGTATCATTTTCCCACTTCACCCCCTTCAACTCCTCCCAGATACTCACCACCAATTCTCCATCCCAACTTCATAGCCTCCTGTTTGAATCTACTGAGTTCAATTAGTGTGTCCTGGATATGCATGGGTATAGGACCATTCACTGGATCATGGGCAACCTACCAGAGGCCACATCCCTAAAGAAAACTGTCTCTTCCCCAGCATCCGTCAACTCCCAGTAGCCCCTCAGCTAGGAGTGGGGCTCTGTAAGCCCCTCCACCAAACATGTTGGCATTCTGACTGGCTTGATAATGTGTAAGTCTTATGCATGCAACTGCAGCTTCTGTGAGTTAATATGTACCGCAGCCCTGGCATGTCGAGAAAACATTGTTTTATAACAGTCTTCCCCAATGTCTGACTATCCCAATCTTTCTGTTCCCTCTTCCATGATGTCCTCTGAGCCTTGAGGGGAAGGAGTGTGATACAGATGTTCAGTTTAAATCTGAACACTACAATCATTTGTTCTCTGCATTTTGACCAGTTGTACCTCTGTATTAATTGATATTTACTGCAAAATGAAACTTGTTTGATGAATGTTAAAAGCTGAAGTAATCTATGGGCATAGAGATTAATATTTATAAAACACTTTGATACTGAGTCTATTTAGCAAAATATATAGTAGTAGGTTCTCCCCTAGGGTCTATGACCTACCCACCATAGGATCTTGGTCCAGTTTACAAAACCAGGCATGAGTTCCATCCTGTTGAGTGGGATTGAATCCAAACAGAAAATAGTTGGTTACCCTAATAACATTCATGCTACTATTGCATGAATAAAGGCCAGTCTTTAATGTAGCTTGCAGAGTTCACAGCTGGATTAGACTGTTGATGACTTTTCTTCCCTAGAGCCCACACAGCACCTTCTAGCACTCTGAAAGCTAGACACTAGGGAGGGAGCTTCTAAGTCTGTACCAGCTTGATTTCTCCATGTCTTGTGACCTGAGCATGTGTCTCTTCAGGGGTCTATCTTCCTAAATGAATGCTGGTTTGGGCTTGGGAGGAACCCTACATTTCTCTAATCCCTGAATTAGAGGCAATGGCAAGCACTTACATCTTGTCCAATGAAGACCAACACGTATAGCATCCCCTGGGAGTTGATACACTTTAGGAGGCTAACACTGGACTAGTAAGTACACTTACTTCTCTCATCTGTCAGGCCTGACTGTGGCTTCCTCTCACTAGACTGCTCAAAAACATGGAAATGGGGAAACAGGCCTGCAATCCTAGGAGGTTGAGACAGGGGGACTGCAAGTTGAAGGCCTGCTTGGGCTGTGCTACAGTGAGCTCAAGGCCAATCTGGACAACTTAGTGATTCCTTCTCACAAAATGGAGAGTAAAAGTACATTCCAGTGGCAGAGTACTTGGCTGGTTTGCATGGAGCCCTACTTTCCCCAATACTGAAAAAAAAAAAAGAAAAGAAAAAGAAAAGAAATTAATTTTTCTTTGGGTGCATAGGTATTGGATTTGAAATCTCTTCTTAACCTCGTTTAGCAACATATTTCGATTTCTTTAAAATCTCAGTGCAGTCTCTGTTTACCAAATGGACTAGGCTATAGAACATGTTTAGGCTAGTGCATCTGAAGAAGGCCTTCTCCGAGAGTTAGATTTATGTAGGGATCTTGTGCATGTGGGAGGAGTGTCTAGAAGTATTTATATGTTTTGGCCAAGTGCATAGGCTAAGAGCCTGTGTGGTTACACAGCTAGATTCCTTCAGGAAGCCCTGAAAACAGCATGTCTGAAGATTTGGTTGGGTGAGTTTATTTGATTTATCTACGCATAGAGCCCAGTCTTGGCGAAGAGCTCGGAACCAAACCTGGTAGGCTAGTGTTTGAGTCCTTTGGTTTTATAATTATTTCTCTTAAAATCCATATCTGAAATCAGACTTTTAATAAGTATTTTTCTATTCACATGTGTTCATCTTTGACAATAAAAGTTTAGAGCTGTCATAAAATGATAAGCTATCTACACTTGGCTTTTGTTTCCCCCTCTCCCTCCATTTGGAAATAAAGTTTGAGGATATATCTGATGCTGATTATGAAATCCTCTTGGATGGGGATGGAGTTCTTTTAAAAATCTGATTGTCAGGGATATTCATCCAGTATGAAACCACATGTCCTTTAAAGAAGTGGATTCAGTGATTATTACCTTAGGAGAGGTATTTGAAGATAGTATCATCTGGCACAAAATTAAGGAGATACCATTCACATGAAATAAAACAGTGGTGCCGTGGAACTGTGATGTAGCTGCTCTGCATGAAGGAAGAACAAGTCACACTTTTCTCAATCAGCCATAACTGAGCACCTGCACCATGCCATTAACCACCCTCAGCGTGAAAAGAGTTTCCCATTACCGTCTGCAGAGAAGATTATGAAAGCAGGAATACTTTTAGTCGCTAAAGAGCGCAATCTGCAGACCACTTACAGGAGGCAAAAGCAGGACAGGATCTCCTGGGCATGGAAAACAATGAGTCTTTTAGAGGCCGTGGAGGAGGCAGGAAGAAGGGTTGGTTAAAGAAGAGGCACTTGGGGGACTCTGATATATTTAGTCAGGTGATCTGAAGGCTGGAGGGTGGTCAAGGTCTAAAAGAATTACTTTGCAGGGACTAATTTTGAAAGAAGTAGACAGACATAGGTTGAAAACCCTCGTCAGGAGACATGGAGTACCAGGTCCGTCTGGTTAGGCAGTGGAAGATATGGGGATACTTAAAGAATACTGAGAACAAATACTTCATGATTATCCTGTTCTGCTGTAGGATGCTATCAACAATAGCAACAATCGTGGCACTCTGCTGACTGAGAGTGAACAGAAAGTTGGGATTCACAACCAAAGTGACTGGAAAGCCCCCTTTAGAACATTCTGCAGTTCTTGTCTTTACAGCACAAACCTCACACCATCACCTGGTGGATAACTTAGGAAAAAGGGTAACCTCTTTTATGAATCTGGTGCCAGTGTTACTTCTGAATTTACTGAGAGGGTAGGAGGTCTTGAGAAATAAAAAAGAAAATATAACCTCTCCTCATATTTCCAGCTTATTCTGGCTTTTCCCAAGGGGAATCTTGGACTCTTGGAGACAACTCTTATTCAGCTCTGGGCCTGAGGCCATAAGCAAGTCTAGCTAGACTTCCCAGAGTAAGTTTCCGCCTCGACCTTGGGAGCCAACACACTAGCTTGTTGAAAGTGGTGGTTCAAGCTTACATTTGCAGCTAATTCAGTCAGGCATCCAGGTTTCACTCTAAGCCATTCCAACCAAAATATTCTGGGCCTTTCCTCCCTTTTCCTGTAAATCTTGCACCCCTGCCCATTATCCCCTCCACCCCCTGCCTACTTTCTTCTTTTCTTGGTATCTGAGTACATAGCCTTTCAAGAGATCTTCAAATTCCTCTGGTGTGTGGTAGATTTCTCAGTCTCCACCCTACACATTCATATGGTCCTTAGGAAATCAGATAGAAGAGGGATGTAAGGCAGATAGGTGGGTAGGTAGGTAGTAGGTAGGTAGGTAGGTAGCTATCTAGCTAGATACATACATACATACATACATACATACATACATACATACATACATACATACTTAGAGATACAGGGGTAGATAAATACAAGGATAGAAAGAGATAGATTATAGAGAGAAAATATAGAAATATTAGAAAGAAAATTATAGAAATATAGAAAGATAATCGGTAAAGAATAAAGATATAGAGACAGATGATAAAGATAGACATATAGAGAGAGCTAGATTATTGATAAATGAGAGCTAGATATGTTGATGACAGATAGATATGTTATGGAAGAATTAAAAATAGTACAGAGAAAAGAAAAATGAAAGACAACCTTTTTCCTACTTCTGAGTTTCATTTCCTCCAAGTTCAATTTTCCGGCCAGCACCCAAAGAAAAATTTTAGAATTATGC